TTTTGGTTTCCTTGTATCATACATAAAGTTCAGAGGCAATTTAATTTAGTACTTATTTTTACAAATTAAATTATCCCTATTTTTTTAAAAAGAAGTTTGAAACTTCATTCATAGAAAATCAAATATTTTTATACGATTTTTCTATGTTGGAACACTTTTTCGTGCCCGTTTTAAAAATATGGATAAAAAACTTTAAACTTTTGAAAAATTATATATCCAGGGTAAAATAAAAAAGATTCATTATTGATTAATAACGGAAACTTTTCTTTCTGACACCATACTGTCAGCTAGAAATGACCCATAATACCCATAGTCCTCTGCTTCTCCGCCAGAGAGAATTGAGATTTGGTTTGGTACAAACGAACTCTAGTGGAAATAACCCATTTTTAGAATTAAAATGGCAACCGTGGAAACTTATTTACTGGTTTAAAATTACTGGTATAAAATTTAATAAAAATTTCTATGAATTCTCGTATCTCTGCTCCTATAGCCTTTGGGTTAGAACATTTTGATACCGTTTTCCTCTAGTGGAGATAAACAGTTTGTATCATTAATGCAAGGTATTTTATCGCTTTGATTTTGTTATCTTAGCTTAAAAGCTTTCAGAAATTAACACTTTAAAGCATAAGTCAGCTTGATATTACCCGCTTGCATATGCCTAATAAGAATATTCCTTCTAAAATGAATTGTTTTGGCATCAAAAATGACAGGGGGTCATTAATCTACGGGGTCAATTTTCTACAATGCACACGGAGAAATATGACCCCAAGGCCATGATTTCTACAGAAAAAGGGGTCATTTTTCTACGTAGAATATTGACCAGGGGGTCAAATTTCTACGTAGAAAAATGACCCCCGGTCAATATTCTATGGGGGTCACTTTTCGTCGTTACAGCGGTAGCATGCCAAAAATTACGGTTATTTGTTATTTGCTGTAATCTTTAACATTCATTTGATTCAACATTCTAACAGAAAAACGTATTTAAAAAAAAACATATCAAATTATGAAATTTATTTCAAACCACCTTTAAACAAAATTGTTATACCTTTTTAATTGCCCCCCCCCCCCCCCCCCCCCGAAAAACGATGTTTTAATTTACTCGATCTTATCTGTTGATTTTACAATTGTCTTTTATAAATGTCTAAATATATAAAATCACCAAATATTTTGATAGCTGTAAGTCCAGGCTCCTAAAATGCGAGATGGGGTGGGGGTGAGAGGGAGATTCTAACTAAAGACAAGTCTTTTGCTGTAGTTTTTATACGAAAATTTCAATTCCAATGCTGTATACCCTGTCCCTTTCCATATTTGTTGCTATCAGATCAAAATACAGACAAATTCCACCGGGAGTTCAACTTTACCGCTACATCGCTTGACAAATTTCAACTCATTACCGCTATATTTTTTTTTTAATTTTCGACCGATCATTACCGCAACATTTTTTTGGTCGAAAATAACTCATTACTACATATCGAATCAGCTAGGTATGGTAGGGAATATGAGTTTCAATCGCAAGCTTTCATAAAGTTTCTACAGCTCATCCTAACAAAAATAGTAAAATATGATTGAGGTGAAATTATACAATAAAGCAGTATGTCAAGCAAATGGCATTCAAAGCTTTACTGATTGAGTAAAGACAGTGTGAAGACTGTGGGTTCAGGCGCGGATCCAGGAATTGAAGTTAGGGGGGGGGCGCCAAAAGTAGGCAAGGGGTCTGGGGGCCGCCTTGAGGCCCCCAGTGGGTCCAGGGCAAAGCCCTGGTGGGGGCCCAGGGGGCGAAGCCCCCGGAAGCTCCTGGGTTCTAGAGATTTTGTAGGGTAAAAAAAGGGGTCTACCACGTAGACATATTTACATTTTCTAGACGAAACTGTGATTTACGTTAACTTTGACAATTTTAGGGGGGGCGCGCGCCGGGTGCGCCCCCCCTTAAATCCGCCACTGGGGTTTTATCTACGAACAGTGCTTGATAAAAAAAAAAAATTAAAGTGTTTTAGTAAATAAAATAAAATTAAAATTAAAAAAAAAAACAAACATCTTGCTCAAGGTCCTTCGTATATATTGTGCTTTTATTTAATCTGTACACGCATAAGTGGCCAGCGGTAATGTATACTTTTATATGTAGTGGTAGTGACTATGTAGCGGTAATGATACGCACCCATTCCAACAACTGGGAAAGATACCCCCCCCCTTGCAAACATGAAATTTTATAAGATTTTCCGAGTTCAGAGTCAGATAGTGTGGGTTTTTAGCCACCTACCTCTTTCTGGGTTTTTAGCCATCTACCTCATTCTGTGGGTTTTTATCCACCTACCTCATTCCGTGGGTTTTTAGCCACCTACCTCATTCTGTGGGTTTTTAGCAACCTACCTCATTCTGTGGGTTTTTAGCCACCTACCTCATTCTTTTCAAATCCTTGTTACGGATCTGAGTAGAATGCCCCGCATCATCAGGTATTTTGCACAAATGAGTGTATGATATTGTACCTCACTGAAGCAAAACATCAAACATGTGTTCTTAGATTAAATTATTATAGGTTACAGGAGCGGTCGATAATTTCGTGGTTGCATTACAAAGTATGCATGGGGGATATGAGAAGTTATTCATTAATTGGTTTGATATAATTTGTCAATGACAATGATAAAATAACGAGTTCAATTTAAGAAAATTACTTTAAATTTATAAAAAGATGGGTTTATGTTTTATTTCAAAGTGAAAAAATATCATTGTGTGATTTGCTTTATACCTTGCTGAAAACAATATTTATCTTAGTTTTACCAACATTTTCAATACCTAAATATTCACCATTTTTGTCACTTTCATTATTATCCGTACAAAACCAGATAGTTTGCTTTCATCATTCCCACGTTGCAGAGTTGTTCATCATCGCGCCATGAAGCATAGTCTGCAGATCGAAGTCATTAACATCATCACGTGACAAATACCCCAAATGGTTCATCTGGTGATCCGCATTTCATTATGATGTTAATATTGGGGGGGGGGTGTTAGAAGACAGCCTGGAATAAATGTATCCACTCCTTCAGTTTTGAATACTGTATGTTGCTTTTTTTTATTCTTACGCACACGTCTTTGTGAAAATTCTCTCTTTTAAAATGCTAATTTTTGTTTGTAGCCGATATGATGCTTTGCATAAACATTGTATTTTATTGAGGAAGGCATCGTCTGATCTTAACAATCCTTGTAAGCGCCGAATATTTGTCGTGATGAGATACACAATAATATGTTAAGTGTGTCAAAATGGTTGAGAGTTTTCGACACCACTTATATACAAATGTACATGTACTCTCACATGCGCGGATCTAGAGGGGGGTCGGGGGGGTCAGGACCCCCCCTGGAATTTACCAGGTTAAAAAATGTATATACTAAAACAAGAAAAAAGTTACCATGGACCCCCCCCCCCTGGAAAACGCTGACCCCCCTGGTAAACGCGAATATGTGTGAAATGGGTATGAAAAGTGAAAGATTTGAGGCAATAGAAGTCACCACTAACCCCCCCACCCCCCCCCCACCCCCGAAATAGGTTTTTGACGTTTGGGCGAGTTTTTTTTTTTTTTTTTTTTTTTTTTGCTTGTCAAGAAATTTCTGGGATTGGATTTTTTTTTTTTTGACTGGGGTGGACCCCCCCTGGAAAAAAATTCTGGATCCGCGCCTGTCTCAGTAGAATAAACTAATAATTTGTTACATCCCTGAAAGACAAATATAATAGTCGTTATTCTTGGATAATAATTTTCCGAGTGCGTTTGAGCTAAAGACATATTTCAATTGTTGGCCATTACTCAGTGATTTGACCAAACATTCTGCCCAAGAACCCAGTCAATAAACATTTAATTGTACCTGCCTTGCCTTCCATGTTTGCGATGCTTCGATGCAGATGCAAATATTTGATGTAAATATCATTTACCCGCAACAAATATTTTTATCCCAGTAAAGTTTTTATCAAGCAAGTATCATACCAAGTATGAAAGCCCTAGCACCAACTGCTTAAAATTATCAGTATAATGAGTATATCAAAAGGTTAATGCCTTTAGATTTTGCAAAAGTGTATCAAACTGTATTCATGAGGAATACATCTGTGAAATATGATAGCTTTGGCACCAAAATGTCAAAAGTTATAAGCAAGGTTCAAGTATTTGCAGATAGACAGATGGACAGGGTTAAAACTGTAAACCCCAAAATCTTTATTTACAGGGCATAAAAATTAGCACATGATTCGATACAGTAGTGGCTAAGAAATTAAAAAATAGACAGTAGAGTGTTCTTTATTTTGTTTGTATGAGCACTAAGTGTTATTGAAATCAGTCCACTTACTAAAGGAGGCATCTTCGCTAGCCAAGGGTTTCTGATACGCTACTCTCCTCATAAATGAGAGTAGCGTATCAGAAACCACTTACTGAAAGGAGGAGACAAATTTTAAATTAATGAATTATAGTAACTTGGCTAGCGAAGATGTAAAGGAGGAGACAAATTTTAAATTAATGAATTATAGTAACTTTTGAAGCACAGATTTTAAAATCCAGTCCTGGGTGGGGGGGGGGGGGGGGGGGCATAAAACTTAGATGAGCTCACTTTTGATCTGTCTCACTTTTTCCAAAGGAATGAATTGTGGAAAGTGAGATTGAGATCAAAAGTGAACTCATCTAAATTTTATGGCCCCCAAACCAGATATTATTTACCAAGTTATGTATCATTTTGAAAGTAAATACAAGTGTAAAAGTTCAGCATTTTTCCTTGAAAATTAGTACATCTGTCCTTGAAAATTGCATGCCATTGCCATGGCAACAGTTTACTAGCAAATATTAAAATAAAACTGGCTTCACTCCTTATATGTATCAAAAATTTGAAATACATGTAAATCTGAATACTTTGACCTATCACCTATACATAATTGTATGATAATTGACTTCACTCCTTATATGTACCAAAAATTTGAAAGACATGTAAATCTGAATACTTTGACCTATCACCTATACATAATTGTATAAATTTCATATACAATAAGGTTTATTTTCACAGCAGATATAATATCACATCTATACATGCAAAATATGTACACAAATAACAATTGCTGTATGGTGGTTTTACTGTAAATACATAAATATTGTGATTTCATATGGAAACTTTTCAAAATGAAAAAAAAAACCAACTTCACCCTAACATGAATAATAAATTGCAGTCAAGTAAGACTTTATTAAATTGGACTAAAAACTACACAAAGTAAGTATGCATGTACTTATATAAATGGTATTCATGGTTGGAAATCCAAGAGACAAGTCTTGACTAGATGAAGTCAAAAGAAAAAATTGCAGAAAATAAAGAAATGATCTTCTATGTTCTTTGGAACCACTGCATATCACATTCATAAAGGATTGAGAATGACTGAATGAAGAGAAATGAACATAAAGAGTTCCTATTAACTACAAATACTTTGTTCTCTATATGCTAACATTAAATGTTAGATTGAAGTCTCATATTCAGAAAAAAAACCCAGATCATTTATATGTGCATCTACATTTCTATAAAATTATAAAGAGTACACTGAAAAGAACATGTGTAAAATTGTTCTCTTTCACATGAAATTCTTTGTTTTAGTGTAAAAGGTACAAGTATCATTTCTTTAAGTACATACAGTGTATACTTATAAGTTTAATATAATATCATGATTAAAAAATCCCCAGTTCAGTACAAATCAAGTAATTTGCATTTTATGCAAAAACAAATAGGGTGGTTTAATTTAAAGCATCTGATATTTGAAAAAAAACTATAAATATAAAAAAAATATTTGCATAAAAAGGTGGCTTTATTTAAGTGAAATTAAAGCAGCACACAACCAGTGTGTAAATAATAACATATTATATAATTGTATATTTATCACATGGCACAAGCAGTTACATTACCTAAAGAAAAATTCGACAAATGGATATAAATAAGCATTAAATAAGCATTAAAGCATTATTTTGTGTATATTTTAGATTTACACAAAGCTGCAAAATTAAAACTCACAACCAAAAAGCAAACATATTGGTTGTTATTATATTGCAAAATTTGATTAGCAAAAAATTTAAACAAATTGAAATACATATACGGGTAAATAACAAAAAAAGTATTTTTTAATTGAAATTAATTTGAGTATCTACAAAATGCAAATAATAATTTCAAAAAAAGCAAAATTAAAAAAAATGAACACATGGAAAGTACCAATAAATTCTTTGGAATGTATTATTCAATATGTTTTACATAAAGCAAAAACATATTTATACATCTGTATACTATAAAGCAATTTATGCACCAAATTACCCTGTTGGTGTAAGGAACCTATCAGTTGACATTATATAGAAATTAAATAGAAAGAACAGATTTCCTGACTTCATTTCAAATCAAAAGATTTCCACCTTAAGTAACTAGAACAGAACTAATTGGATCAATAGACGCATTCTTCAGAAAAATGGACCAGTCTTAATTTTGCACTGTTAAAACTGCTCAGTCAGACCATTCATGGAATCTGTTTTAAATGTCCCAAGAGTTCAACCACTTTATTCCTGCCATACTGCTGCCTTCTTCGTGGGCCATTGGACCATCCATACCATAAGTCAGTGGAGAAAACAGGTAGAAGCTGCGGCAAAAATTCAAAAATGTGTAAATGTACATGTATGAGTCCCATAAATGGTGAAAAGGAATTTATGCTACCATATTTAGGAACAATAAATAATTCAGTTAGTGAACTGCAAGTATTACTGTTTGTGTACAAAAACTGGCATTTTCAAAATTTAGCACACTCATTGGGCAATGAATTGTTGAAGTATTCATGAATAGGGCTACAATCTAACGTGCCATATCTTGTATTTATGAATCATAATTTAATGGGGTATTCATGAATTAAAGCATCGGTGTCCATGCCAAATTGCTAAAATATGAAGCCCGCTTTTTTAATCATACATGCAGTAATTCATTTTAATCTGATTTTACATAACTTAAATAAAATTTGTAACCTAGCAACACAAAATTAATCATTTTTTCTTTGTTTAATATATACACTGTCCTTTAACCTTTGACCCCATTCCTACCTCAATAGAAGCCCTGATATCAGAGACCCAACCACCGTATGGAAAACTGTCCCCGCCAGGCTCTCGGGGGCTAAGGTCATCAGTAAAATCACTGTGTGGTCCAGGATCACACCTGTAAAATATAACGTACCAAAATCTTAGTCACAATTAGTCGAGTAGTCCAAACTTGAGTGATATACATAAACTTCCTTCTGAAAAAACTGGATCTCAATAAGTATCCACAGTTAGCAGCTAATTGGTTTGGATACTCCTCGAGAATTGCAAGAAAAATTGTGTAAACAGTTGAGCTTCTGTATACCAGAGTATGTCACTCTGCTTGTATACTGCTGTACCTGTTAACATGGCACTGAAGAGGAAGGCAGGGAAGTAGTGATGAAAGTAGAGTACTCTAGTCATTGGCCAGAAGGGGAGATAATGCAGAGCCCATCCCAGAAGGAGCCACCAACAGGCTGTCAGCATGGTCTCCTTGTGATCTGCAAGAAAAAGGAACTTTTTATTTCTTGCCTATATTTTGATTGATTTTATAATTCAACTGTATTTAGTGAATATGTATGCATACAATGTTGAAAAGTCTGTGTTTAATTTAATTTATCTGCTTGTACTTATCAATGCACAAAGTTAACTAATTCAAGATCAAAATTTTCAGAATCCCATTGCAGATCAATCAATGTACCAGTACATACTTCTCCAGATTTTGTTTTCTCTGTGTCCTCTCTGGGCTTTTACTGAATGAGCCAAAAAGTAAACAATAAACAACACATGGGCCGCCAGACATCCCCAGAAAATGACAGGGTTCCCCAGCAGGTAAATTCTGTGATCCTTCCCTGAGAAAATCTGGCCCTGCAAGTTATAGTATATTACTAAGACTTAAAAAATAATATATGATAAATGAAATGAGGCTAGAAAACTTTTTTTTCATGATCATTTCAAAACTTATGCTTATGTTTTATAGACTACACCCTGTCATAAATGAAACTTGGAATCAATAGGTAAACCATTGATAAAAGTTACCTTGTAATACATGTTCAAGTATTCATGTACGAGTTTATAAGTAAAGCATACCCTGTAATCTATGGGCCACTGCCAAGGCCTGGAGGTTATCTCCCCTTCCCTTGGCTTTAGTCCACTGTTTCCCTGAAAACAAAAATCCAGGTGAATTTCTATTAACTACTGCGATAATTGAAAAAAACATACTAGTAAACTCACCATCCAAAAATTCAAATGACATAAAAAGTATCAATTTGAAGAATATATTGGTTTAATTTACCATACATGTTAACTCTACCGATTTAGGCGGGAGTCTACTGCTTTTTCACTCCATCTCCCGCCTACCGATTTTATTTGTAAATATACCGCTTTTCTACAAAAGCTTCGTCTAAAATATTTTTGGTTCGCTTGGGTATCCATTTTTGAAGCCACTCGTCATAAAATCTCGTAAGATAACGCGTGATTGACCCGGAAGCATGCAAACGTTTTTTTTTAAAACCGATATGTACATAGATTTCAAGCACGTATTTGACAACGTCTACAGCACAAAACTCAGTGATTACATTGGTTACGATACATTTTGTCGACATTACTGCCATGAAAAAGAAGATACAACATTTTAAAACTGGATGAAAACGTTTGACATCCTCTATGAAAGCACAGAAGCTCACAGTTTTATCAATAAAGTCAATAGAAATCACTCGATTGACCAAGCCATGAGGCACATCTCTACTTTCGTTTTCGATCATCGCGGGAAATCCGATTTATTTAACGAAAGATAGGAACGAATTTTAGATCTTGATTAAACTATGTAATCATTTGTTGTGTTTGATAAATGAATAAACATTCAGAATTATTGCTTCTAGGCTATATCAGCAAAGATCACTCTTCAAAAGGCTAAGTTAAGCAGCCAATCAAAGCAAAATGATGAGCATTAAAAATATTTGAATTTGTATAACTTATATCAAACTTAAGGTGTTTCTGTCTACTTCTTTGCAGTTGATATCTAAGATTGATTCTTGTAGTTTCATATAAGACAAAACATGTATATTACATGCAATATATCTACATAAATCCAAGCGTAAAACAACGCACGTGCAATGCTACCGCTTTTGGGGTCTGAATCTCCCTATTTTTCATCACAACAGGTTAACATGTATGAATTTACTGACTTCTTATTCTGGTGCTTTACTGAATAAAGGTAAACTATTCTGCATTAGTATAAAAATACCTGTGTCATTACAGCATGGCTTTCCATGAACCTCTCCATAAACGAAGGTGAATAAATTTCAAAACTGGCATTTGGCACTAATAAATAAAAAATAAAACATCAATACAATGATTGCCTTAATAGCACAAAAATGTAGAAGTTAGAATTTCACCCTCAAGTATTACATTTATCAACTTCGAAAATTTATTTCTTCTGAACAAAGCAATAATAACATAACTAACATCTTTTGTCTGTGACTTCTTCCACACTCCACACAGCTTTTGGTTCCCTGATATTTGGATTACAAGTGGCTTCAAGCTGTTCCCATCCCCTGTAAAAAATGGGACATATTACTAGATTACTCACTTCAATAAAAATTTAAATTATACCAGTGAACATTGTTTAAAACAACTATTTTACAGGCTGTTAATGTTTTGAGCTTCAAGCTTACAATGCTCATGAATGAAATTTCCTAACACAATATTAATCTATTACTTTAGAGATAAAATGAAACACATTGTAAGGTAAGACTTTTTGTGACTTAAAGGCATCTTTCTGTCTTTAAATAAAGCTAGCAGATGACTGTCATACCATTTTGGGAGTTTCTTATCATGGGAGTGTAGAACACATCGGACATGGTAGTGGATAAAACGCAGATGTGACTTTGCTGTCTGGATGGCGGTACCTGGAGGAGATCCCAATACTTCTACAATCCAAACATCGTTAGCATCCCCTGTACCATTCTGTAATTTTTACAACACATAAGTGCTTATAGGTAATTTGAAACACAAATTCATGCTATATTGATGAAAAGCAGATTGATTGCATTCTGAATGACGAACATAGTATTGTATGTGTATTTAAAAAAGCAGGCTTCATATTTCAGCGGCACTGGGGCAGACAACAATGCGCTTATTCATGAATACTGTTGTAATTTGTGAATATTCTAATGTGCACATGTGTAAAAAGATTATGCCAAGCACCTTCCAGTGATTGAGCTAAATTTTAAAATGTTAAAAGTTCACTACATATTTTGTTTTGTTTGGAGTGTTTCTATATAATGACAACATTCTAAAAGAAAACTCACCACTCCATAACCCGACACCTGGAACTGTCTTTTACTGAGTGGGGCTGGCTCTGTATGACTATGAAGATTTCTTCTGGTCCTATCAAATCAATGTGCCGAATATTTTTATAAATGGAAAAAAATTTAAGAGACATTTCTTTATCACCATAGAAGTACTTTATTTTTTTATTTATACACATACATGTACATGTAATTCAATATTAATTTACAACCTGTCCATTTATATATTATTTCAAACTTGTAATGAACAACAGCTATAGATAGAATCTTTGGTTCTTACTCTTTGTGCTCGAGCCTGACCAGATCACCAGACACAACCAGCTGAGCCGAGTCTCCTGGCTCTGGTTCTCTGTCAGCCAACTTAATGATCCACTCATTGTTGAAGTCCTTATGTGCATAAGTGGTTATCTTCAAAATCAAAAATCTCTTTTTAAATCCTAATCATAATCATGGTATTTAGCAAGGATATTAACAATGCACAAATGATACCAGGTAAATCAAGACAAAGATTAAAACAAGGCAATGATGAAATGGTTTAGGAGTGGTCTGGTAGCTGCTAATTAAACTCATGTAGGAGATACCTGCTGTTGTCTTGGAGGGTGTTCTTCAGGGTAGAGGTGCCAGTGAGAGTGGAGGTAACCCCCTCCTGTTCTCCTCTGCTTTAAAGTTATTACACTGCCATAAGCCACATCTAGCAAATACAATCATAAATTGTTTGTTCAAGTGTCCCTCTTTTAAAGTCATAGTATCAGTGTATTTTATTACTTAATTCACACAATTATACATATATATCTTTCTGTGAGGAAAATGAAGAAAACAGCATGTTTAATAAGAAGTTTTTGTAACTGATACTTACTCTCTGGCATGCTAACATTGTACAGTCTGTTACCAATCAGTTGTGACTGAAATGCTGAGCTGTAAAATCCATCTCCATTGCCACTACAATGCAAAAAATAGCTTTTCATGCTTGTTCTCATGATCATTCAGAATTTCTTTTTTTAAATTACAAATTTGCTTTCTCCAGAAGTTAATCAATGTGATGTAGATTTCATTGACATATGAAAAATATACAATATTGGTTTTTTGTAGACCAATATATATCCTTCTAATTTTAATGCTGGAGACATGAAAGAATAAAAAAAACATTACAGAAAAATTACAAACTGTGAAGTCTGAAATCTGTTGCTACTCACCTGTGATTCAGAATTTTGAGATGGATGGCAAATATTGCAATATACATTATCACAGGTAGTATTATAAGGCACAGTGCTCTAGCAATGAAATGCTTAACAACCGCTGCCTAAAAAAGAGGAAGAAAAAAATCACAGCTCCTCATAAATACATAGTCTATGCCAATAGCCAAGAAAATGTCAAATTTTCAAGGATCACAGGTTTTGTCTCCTAATATTCTCCACAGATCATGAATAGTGGACATTCCCACAAATAAAATGATGAATAAACCAACAAACTTTACTCTGAAATAAAAATGTTACATATTTTAATGATTAAAAAAGGTATTTATGTAGTACCCCAAAAAATACATGTATGTATATTGATCTATAAAACACTGAATTCAAGGCATTTTGACATGAATATATATGGCCTTAATAGAGTTTTCATACACACATTATAATATCTGTGACTTTGTAATTCTCCAGAAATACGAGGGGTGAAAAAAAAATTTGAATAACTTCCATACAAACAATATTTGGTTTTTTTTGTCCCCTAATACATTCTCCATGCAGATCATGAATAGTGCGTTTTGTCACAAGAAATTCCCACAAATAAAATGATGAATAAACCAACAAACTTTACTCTGAAATAAAAATGTTACATATTTTAATGATTAAATTATAAAAGGTATTTATGTACCCAAACAAATATACATACATGTATTAATCTATATAACACTGAATTCAAGGCATTTTAATACATGTACAGTAAACACATCATATCTGTGACTTTAATACAATACACACATACATATAATATCTGTGACTTTGTAACTCTTTATAAATACAGTGTATTGTAGTTTAATAAAAATAACCAAAAAATGCAAATAATAATACTCATTCTATAATATGGTTTGTTGTCTACAACTAAAATAAAAGAGAATTTTTCTGTACATACAAATTCTCTATCATAATGCACTATATGCTGAGACATATTTCAGTAAGTGTTAGATATCTCTGATGCAATGTGCCTAGCACTCTAACATGTCACCTACCCAATTGCTGCTGCCATAAATGTCCCTGTTAAGGCCAACCAAATCCACCAGGGTATTGAAAATGGTCTGCAACATTAAAACATTCATCATATACATGTATCTTTCTTCTTTAAATTCAATTATGGTTTCATAAATAAAATAAGCAGAATACTGTAGAAAAGACAAGTTATAGTTAATTGATAAACTGTAATTAAAAGATTTTAAAATGATGGGTAACACTCACAATATATATTATGATCTACCAGATAACTGCTAGGTATGTTGTGAATTACATATCATTTATTCAGTTTTATAAATCATTTTAACAATACAATCATTATTCATAATGTATTGAGAATGATTATTACATGTAACAGCAACAGACCTGTTATGATATGACAGAAATTTGAGTTGACAATAAGTTGACATCATAATGAAGAACATCATTATCGGATCCAGTAAAATGTGACGAGAAAGAGTCAATGTCCCAACATCTGGAAAAGATGATCGTGTTTCATCACAATTACAGCATGACTACAAAGTTCTTTTCAAAATCTTACTTGAAGAATAAACATAACAAATACTTACCTAACAAGATCAGAAGTGCTGCAAAAAGTGAGGACATGAGGGACTTAGTCAGGAGCCAGACTGACATGTATGCCAGAGGAACTAACGCAGCTCCCATAATAGCACAACACTGAAATAAAGGCTCAGAATAGATAGGTGCATGATATGGAAAACTAACTAAATTATGGCAAGGAGTGCTGTTATCCAGTATTAATTATTGTTCATTCCTTTTTCGTGTTTAGAGGTAGATTTGTAAATCAAATTTAGTACTATTGATAAATGAAATTCCTTTAAGGACTTTCATAAGTCTGAGCAATGGACACACTCATAGTATATACACTATTATATATATAATTGTAACATAGTAATCCTTTTTTATTGCTCTAAATTTCATTTTTTTTCTCTTACCACTCTCATTCCAACATATTTTGTTTCACCATACTCATCACCAGGTTTTCCGAAGGGGAATTCCCCATCATAACCAGTCAAAATACCAAACAGTCCTACCAACATCTGTAAGTAGAATATCTTTTATGTCTTTTAAAATATTCCTGACTCATGATGCATGTTCCAAGTGGTTAGAACTTATAATCGACTAATTTTGATGTTTCTTAAAAGTTTCAATGTCAAATACATGGAGAATATACTAGTACTTGTATTACAGTCACTAAAACTATATATGATACATTGCTGATATATTGGTTACCTTCCCTAAAGGTGGGTGAACATCAAAGAAGAATTCCCTCTTAATGTACCAGCTTCCCATTTTCCCAAAGTGAGTTTCATCCCAGCTGAAATTAAAATAGACATCATTCTAAAATCTCCTGTCAGAATGCATCTTATGTGCCATAAAAGCTTTATTATAAAAAAAATATTTTTTCTACTCCTCGTAAACCACTGATTGCTTTATTATAAATAAACTCCTGACTTTTGATAGATCCAGAGGCCAAATGTTTGTGAGGAGAGTAGCAATCAGAAAGCTTTGGTAGTGAAGATGAATGTTTATAAAGGATTAATAGTGAGTGCAGCGAGTGTCACGAGGCGACACTCGCGAAGAGAGCTCAATAGACTAACGTGTAAGAACAAAGGAAACCTGTAAATATGTCAGGCAAATTTTCCTGTGAAACATTCTCAGAAATCCTTTGCTACCCAATGACCTTTGCGCGAATAAATAAATAAATAATAACATAAATCATAAAAGGCTTTTAGTTTGTAGAAATCTTTAAAAGACACAAAAAATAACTCTGCAATGTCTTTCAACAAAAATTGCACTAGATCTATAGTTTCAACTAGATGCTCCGCTGTCTCCGTAAGCTCCGACGAGCTCCATGACATCATATGACGTCATAGCTATTAGAGAAGTCTCGTGCAGCTTGATGTTTGAAGTGGCTGATAAATTTTTCAAGTGTTTTTTTTTTATGGTACAACTGTGCTTGCCCTAAAGGTTAAACGTAAAACATATTACAATAAAATGCCAATTAACAAAATATTTTTAACATAAAATGGAGAGAATAAATTAAAAATTGACTTTTCTGAGACTTTGTATTGAACAGTATCAATGGTTTCAAACGGTGAATTGTTTCAGCTCTACAAGAGACAAACTACCGGTACAAATATTTACTTATTACTCATCATTAAAGAATAACATAAAACAAAATATGAAAATTTCCTTAACCCTAGTATCAACTAAATTGAATGGATTGATTTTTCCGTTTTAATGAAAAGCTTCATTGTTATTATCTACTGATTGATATCATAGAAATTCATATTATCATAGAAATTCGGGTGCGTCGATTTACCCAAAAGGACCCAAAAGAACCCAAAAGGACCCAAAAGGAACCCAAAAGGACCCAAAAGGAACCCAAAAGGACTTTAATTAATCTATCATAATACATTGAAAATTAATAATTTGAAGTAAATCACGAATATTATATTATATCTTTACATAAAAGTTGGCAAAACATACTTATATTGTTCATAGACCTAAAGCGAAGTATTGTTGCAACTGTAACAATAACATACAAGTTTTCAAGCACATCAAACACTAAATCTGGTCAGGTATGCTTTGATTTCTTTTAGCTGAAATTAACGAAGTATTAATCTACTTCTCTTTCTGTTTTACCATATCTTACTATATGATATTTAATAAATGAAAAAAGTTTTATTTTATGACATGTTCTAGGCATATGGTATCGGGGATGAGTGGGGGACCTCCCACCCCCACCCCTAACACACACTTTACCCTAAAAAAACTAGTTTAAGATTTAATAAAATATGAAAATGTTTATTATATATCCATTTATTATCTTTTATTCAAGTCCTTTTGGGTTGTTCTTAATTTCCTTTTGGGTCCTTTTGGGTTCCTTTTGGGTTCCTTTTGGGTTCTTTTGATATCCTTTTTCCTTTTAGAAATTCATGTTATCATAGAAATTCATATCACTTACCAAACATGAGAGGGCTTATCAATGTTGTAAAGCCTTGATATTAATGATAAAAGAGAAATGGACAATAAGATTGAGTAATACGTCCTGCCTCCAATATCAGCAGGTTGGGTTTCGTCATCAGATTTTATAAGTTTGTTCTCCTCGAACTTTTCTTTAAACTCATCGTCGTCTTCGTGTAGTTTCTTTTCCATGATTTTCTCATATTCTATAGAATCTTTTGATGATAGTTCATTTTTCTTTTCTTCTAATGATGACTTATTAGTTGCCATTTACTTTTAAAAACACAAAATGTAAAAGCAGATCATTTTTTAAAGTGCCCCGAGGAAATTCGTGTCATTGACCGGAAGTATTGTAATTTGCTAACTCGTACTTAGATTATATCAATATTACGCTTAAATCGCGATTGGAATTTTTATGGTTTTAATTTATAATGATATAATATCTTCAAAAAACATTTAATACACAATATATACATTTGAAAATGTTTCTTTTTAATCTAAAGCAATATCCAAATTCTAACGAATCAATAAAGATCAACTTGTCTTCAAAATTAGAAAAATGTCAACAGTAAGTTTCATTTTCACAAAAATACAATATTGTAGTAAAATTTGGCAACATAAACCCAATATTTTATTTATTTATGCATCAATGAACACGATTATATAATGAGATACAGTTGTCAACACACCAGCTCTTCTACTATGTCAAGATTAGAGTTTAGACATTTTTGGATACCTACCCGAAATTCCTCTAACTCTTAATCCACCCTATGTCCCTTTTATATCACGGCATATTCGGCGAAGATTGTGAATACCTTATTGTCAATATTATCTTTTCTTCATGTTTGAACATTACACATTGAATTCTGAATAAATTTGTCGCTTTAAGTTTATAATGCAAATATTTATATTAATCTGTTCAAAAGGAATTGTTGACTGGCAAAATAAAAATTGATTTCCCTGATCCTCTAAATGTCAGGGTCTTGAGTCCACTTAAGAAATAAACAACAATGTTGCACAAACTTCTTTGAAATGTTTTAGTTGTGCACACATACTTGCCAACCTCCAGCATGTACAAATCTGGTCATGACCAGATTTGGAAAGTAAAAATTCTGGTCATAACGCGTAACGACATTCACGACATATTTACCATGATTAAATTTTATACATATATACAAAGTATTTGTGTATTGAGAATTCTTTTATTGAAAAAGGCTTTCATTTACAATGACAAAAATTCATACATAATTTGATTAAATTTACATGTTAAAACTAAAAGAATTAAAACAAACCTTTTTCAGTATTGACCTTATGTGTGCATTTTTTTAAAAAGCCTTCTCAGTTTCTGCTAAATTTTAAAGTTTATACATGTACCAATTTCAGTTTTGAAGTTATTTTTTCTCTCTCTTAATCAATTAACTACTGCAATATGTATTAAATGTGAAGTTATATCAACATGTCTTCGATCACTTTATTTTATCTAGAATGAAAGTTTTTTTTGCTACATTCCTTGATATCTTCATACCGGTAAATATTGTTTCTCTATTTCTTGGTTCAATCAGAGACATGTGTTTGGTTCAATTTGTTCCTGCTGGCCCTGATAACGATCTATTCTATCTAGGGCCATTTTAATTGACTTCAAACATTGATTTGTCCAACACCCAATTAATTGTTTACACCTGCACAATAATTAATCCATCGGCATTGTTTACGTAGATCTAAGCTTGGGTTGTAACTGGAAGTTAAAAGTGCAACCTAATTTACGTAAAATCAAAATCTTTAATTTTCGTTTTAACCTAAATCGGGTGTGTTCCTATTGCCCGCCGGGTCAAAAAAAATAATCGGGTTACGGGTTGAAAAATCGGGTGTGACCCGACGAAATCGGGTGAGTTGGCAACTATGTGGACACATGATCAAATCCTGTGAAGCCTGAAGGGCTTCTCAGAAGATTTGATCATGTACCAACTAAATGTTCATTTCTCAGTGAACTTTTTAATATTGTTGTTTATTACTTATATTTACATTTGAGACGAATACATGCATTTTGAGTTAATTGCATTTATTACATGAACAAAATATCACCTCACTCTGCGATTCGGTCGTGGTATGACCTCTGACCCCTAAATAACATTCACGCAGAATTGAACATATTTTCTCTTCAATAGGTTTATCTAAGAAAGATATTTGCAAATGTAAATATTTAAGGTTGTCTGTACTTTGCACAAACTTCACTTGATATGTTACAATTAAGCTGAATGCCGCACCACTAATCTCAGTGAGATTTCGTAGGGACTAAAAATTTTGGTCTGGACACTAGCAAAATTTTTAGTCCCTATGACATCTCGCTGAGATTACAGCACCACATTGGAGAAAAATACAAAGCATGATTGTTTTTATTATTTCTTGAATTATCAGATCAAACCTTTCATTGATAAACATATAACACATGCATTGAGGGATCAGCTGCTGGAAACAAATATTGTCATTGGTTGGTCACAGCATAGAGGCAAAAATATTAGAGATTGCTACACTTTATATGATCAATCAGCCAATGCTGGAGAGAGCTATAACAGACTCTGGTCTGTGGCTTGAGACAATTATTCATGTTATACATTGTACAATAAATGAGAATGTTTGTTTTGTTTTTCAGCCAGTGTTGTATTCCTATTTTAGAAGCTCTTGTGCATGGAGAGTAAGAATAGGTAAATTTTTTAATCAGAGAAACTTGCTTTTTAGATTTAATCATTATTTTAATCAGTAATCAGTATTAACATAGATTCAGAGAACACCATATTTCTTGACTTATATTATATCATCTTAAAACATCAATCACCATCATGTAGCAGCAATCAAGCATTTGTTCAATATAGATCTGCTACATATGTATATACATTTAGGTAGTGATCTGTTTCAATAGTTCTTATATTATTTATTTTAGCTCTCAATATCAAGGGTATACAGTATGAATACAGAGCAGTCAATCTAATCAAAGATGGAGGAATGCAGGTTTATATCAATATTTATTGTAATAATAATCGTACATGTTTAGTAAATTACAATGTAATTAAAATTGTATAGTTAAGCTAATTTTAAACATGTACCTCTCGCACATGTACATATTTCTTTCATGAACATTACAATTATAATTTGGGAGGAAAAAAATTATTTGGTTTTGATTGTTGTTCACAGAGGAAAGATGAGTATACCACAGTTAACCCAATGCAGCAAGTACCAGCTCTGATTATGGATGGTGCTACTCTCACTCAATCTGTGAGTATTTTACCTGGTTCTTTTATTGTCTAAGGCAAATTTACATGAATTTGTTTTCTCTGCATAAACATGATAAAGCATCTTTATAAGTACTAACATGTGAAAATTTGAAAACTTTTTCTATAATAGAGTAATTCACATCTGACAAGTGATGCATATCTATTTCAGAAATGTCTTTTTTTCTTCACAGATTTCCATTATGGAATACTTGGAAGAAAAGTACCCAACCAATGCAATTATGCCAAAGGACCCCCTTCAAAGAGCAAAAGTATTTAACTAAGATACATGTATATTTTTCTAAGCTTTTTAAAAATAAAACAAACTCTATAAACTCATAACAATGTTATACATTTACCACCATTACCATTCTTATTAGGTCAGAGAAATTTGTGAGTTGATAGCATCTGGTATTCAGCCCATCCAGAATCTAATAGTCCTGCAGAAAGTGGAGAAACTCTCCAGTGCAGAGGAAAAGTCAGAGTGGGCCAGATTTTTTATAGAAAAGGGATTTATAGGTATTGAAATAATTATATTTTATTTTGGAAAATGTTTACTCACTTTTTCAGTATCAAAATCATGCAAGAAAAATTAAAAATATGTTGATTTTTTAGCTCTACTGGTTAGGGACCAGAAGAGCTTACGCCATAGTAAGGTGTCCATCGTCCGTCCTTCTGTCTGCCTTGATATCTGTCCTTCTGTCTAAACAATTTTTCAAAACTCCTAAAGTTTTGGTCTGATTTCAATATAACTTGGCACACAAGTAGACTACACTAAGATACATAAAATAGTGCATTGGTTTTTATTTTTGACGAACGGTGTTGCCATGGTTACTAAAAATAGAATTTTCTGTGAAATGCCTTTAAAATGCTACTCCTCCTACAGTTTTGATCTGATTTCAATATTACTTGGCACACAAATAGACTACACTAAGATACATAAAACAGTGCATTGGTTTTGATTTTGATGAACGGTGTTGCCATGGTTACTAAAAATAGAATTTTCTGTGAAATTATTTCAAAACCCTACTCCTCCTACAATTTTGGTCTGATTTCAATATTACTTGGCACACAAATAGACTACACTAAGATACATAAAATAGTGCATCAGTTTTTGATTTTGATGAATGGTGTTGCCATGGTTACTAAAACAGAAATGTGAAATTCTTTAAAAATGCTACTCTTTGTACAGTTTTGGTTTCTTTTCTCATCCTTTTTTATAGCGAGCGCAGCGAGCGTCACCGAGCTCAATAGACTAACGTGTATGAACAGAGGAAATTCTGGTCTGTACATACGTGCCAAATTTCTTAACATTCCCAGATTCCTGCACTACCCAATGTCCTTTGCGCGAATAAATCAAAAATAGTAAAAAATTAAAGGAACATTGTTTCTACCGAAATCTAGTAAATTTTAAAAAAATACCCCCATGCCACAACACCGGCCTTCACCTTGCCCTTCGGAAATCATACAAATGACATCACCGGAAACTTTTTTGACGAAGTTTTTTTTCCGTGAAACTTGTTGCAGTGCATAGCAACATGGTGGCTAAAACACAGCAACAACTTACTTGAAAAGAACATTTAATGCAATCTCTTCTCCATAAAACTAGCGTTTGCATCCTAAGTCAACAGAACTTTTTATTCGTCTTACTTTCGTCACTTCAACGGTTCAGGTATTTCCGACTTGCAAAATCATAAAGTCTGAAATTATTTCTTTTTATTGTTTTGTTTTTTCTTTTTGCTTTCTTTTTCTTGAATGATAGACAGTACATGTATAGGTTTATGATAGTAAATAAACTGCGCTCGCCCCAACGGTCACACCGTAAAACATATTAAGTACAAACCAGTAGAGCTACAGTCTTGACAGACACTTCTGGTTTCAAGTGCATATTAATTAATGTTATAGATTGATAATTTATTGACAGGTTAGAATTTCATGTATCTAAGTTTAGTAATTTTAAATTGTCCCAGCTCTTGGGCAGTGGGCACCATCCCAAAGTCTTTAACTTAAGTTTTTTAATTGTTGTTTCTATAGCACTGGAAACTATTCTTGGTGAATGTGCTGGGAAATATTGTGTTGGGGACACGGTTACAATGGCTGATATCTGCTTGGTACCACAAGTTGGTAATGCCAAAAGGTAGCTATCTCTTTTTTTCTCTTTGTTCTGTTTTAAGCTTTCACAGAAACTTGCAAAATCATAAAATCTGAATTTCATATTGTTCATTTTTCTCAGGTTCTCAGCTGATATGAGCAAGTTTCCATTGATTTCAAAGATCAACGAAGAACTAGAAAAAATTGAAGCATTTCAAAAAGCAAGTCCCTTTAAGCAGCCAGACTGTCCTGAGGACTTAAGAGGTGTGTCATTCAGCAATGCATGTTGTTTGATTAACCATGGCCAGATAGCTTAGTTGGTAAATCAACAAGATTTTTTTCCGTGCAAGCCTTTTATACATTCTGTATGTAAATTAAAGTAAATATATGAAAATGCCATTTTTATTACATTGAAAATATTGCAATACATATCGGTGTTACTTTAAAATAAGTAATCAGAGCAATATATGAAATCAACAAGATTTTTTTCCTATTTTTTCAATTTGTATATCAGAAAATCTGATAAAATTAAAATGTTTTTGACCTTAAAAAAATTCCAATTATTTGCAGTTCAGAGGTTGCATGTCATTTTACATATGTATTTTCAGTGAATATCGAGGTCATATTATACTTTGTATACCATTTTTAACAGTAATACCCCTTGAACTTTGAGAAAATTCAATTATTTGATTTTGGCAGAGGTTGTACATACCGAAATGAAATCTAGTATACAGATTAATGAGACAAATATCTAGGTCAAGTTCTGTTTTGGGTACGATTACACCATTTTGACAGAGTTATGTCCCGTTGGACTTGGAAAAATTCTAATATGGGGGGGGGGATAAGTGTTTTACAAACATCTCTTGTTGATTATTGAAAATCAAGTATGGGTGTAAACTGGGTCTACCCAGGAATTGAGTACAAAATAGATATGTATATTATACACGTAGTTATTGTACAACCCCTTATCTCTTATCCTGTCTTCACCTAATGCTAAAATCATGCAGCTAATTTTACCTCTTATTGCTGTCAACAAATGACATAGGGAATATACACTGTATAAATATTGAATCTCTTTAAAATTTAGAGTGGTTCCAGTTATCAATTTGTATAGAAAATCTGATAAAATGAAAATGTATCTTAGTCCAACCACATATGTATGTGCATGTATTGTATACCATATGTAGAACTTTGAGCAAGGATTTGATTTTGGCATTAATAGTGAGGGTGTTGGGTTTGCTAAAATTGAATACACATGTATTGATGATAAAATCAGGTAAATCACTTAAATGACTTCTCTTTGAAGGATTGTACCATATTTTGATGTTTAATCAGTAAATTTGTGTCTTGCAAAAAATTCAACTTAAACAGTATTTTTGGTAATAAAAAAATTGCATTATATCTCCAAAAGCTACCTCAGTAATTTTTGGACACATCGTTCTTCACTTATAATATCAAATGCTGAAATTAAATGAATTATCATTCAACAAATCGCTTACAAATGACATAGCCCAATGGGACCCCAATATGTAGATTATCGGTAAATAAGATATCAAAATGATTTTGACTATATATTCATAAAAATAGCGATGCATACACTTGTATATTTATCTACTCATTTTTTTCTTTGCAGCCTGATGTTCTACTGACCAAAGATTAAGTGTGTTCAACTTATGAGAGTATATTTTGTTTATACTGTGAGGGACAAATCATGAACAATCATTGCAGCTATTTTATCTTGATACTGATACATTTATATTTGCAAGAATTTACATTCATATAGTTTAAAAATGATATAGACTTTCTTTAAGTTTGTAGTATGAATTGTATTGAATTTCTCTAGGAATATGAAAATTTTTGTGTTTTTGAATGATTGGATTTTTTAATATGATTGTCATTGATTTTAATTGTGATACAAATATATTTGTACATCATTGATCATCAGATGTTATATTTCTTTATTACAAACATAGACATACAAGAATTTGCATTGTATAAAAGAATATAGACATTGAAGCTTTTTACATTGAGAAACTGTGCAGGGTTTTGGATCAGATAAAGATTAAGTAGCTTCCTTCCTGTTTTAAGGAGGTTGTATATATGCACTGCATAATATTTGGGGAAGTGCAGAAGGCAGTGATTTCCTCACTGTTTACTGTTAAAATTAAGCTAACTTGAAACTGATTTGTATCTTCGTTTGAATATAGAGAGCTTACTCTCTATCCAAGGGGAAAAAACAATTGGATTAGAGTTGTAAGCCTGAATTTTCTTGGAGGAAAATATTTTAATAGGCTTCTTTCATTATTATTTATAAAGCAGTGAAATTGTTTGTTGGACTTCTGCAAGAGGCACCAACTTTTACAGTCAATGGCTTACTTTGACATTTAAACTTGCTTTATGTATGGAAGTTCCAAATTGAAAATAGGTAAGAAAACTTTAATAGTGGTTTTAGGTATGGTGTTAGATGTGCTAACATGATTTTACCAGTACACAATCAATACATGTATTGGAATATCACAGAGACTAAAATAAATCGAAATACATTATTCATGAGGGGTAGTATCTCTTTTTTAATATCATTTTTTTAACAGAATAAATCAAACGAGGGGAAAAAATGAATATTCTGGAAGAAAAATTTGGAAGGAGTTGGTCAAGGATGGGAAAGGAGGGGGTTGAAGATGGGGTGGTTTTAATTTCCATCCCAGAGTAAACAATGTTCTTTAAAATGGCCTATTATTGTCTTTTAAATATGTACAGTGTAGGAAAAAAGCAGAAGCTGTCAATTGTAAAATTAAGTCGGGGCTTTTTTCTAAAATCCATTGGGAAGAGATGTAATTTTTATGAAGTTTTGCAGTTTCAAGAGTGTTCATCAATTAATTGCAATATGGGTCATATTTCAAGAGTGACAGATCCAGGGTGTGTGTGTTAGGTATTGCAACCCCCTCCCTTCCTCTGGATTTGCTTAATAAAGAAAATGTGAAAGGCTAGTATAGTGATATATGAATAAATTTTGCTGTGAAAACAAAATGGAACCCCCCCCCTTCTATACAAAATAGGATTGAGGTGTTAGTATAATTATTTTCCTTTCTCGGGTATTTTTTTTATCCATAATTTTTTCCCAGACTGATCCCCCTGGCCTCCAAGTTTGTAAAATAGATAAAACACCCCTGTATCCTACTACATGTACATTGTGAAACTACATGTACGTGTATTTGTAAATGTACATACGTTTTAGGCCACACCAATTTAATTTATTGTTCATCGGATATTTGATGGAAAAAAAGTACGAGCGGGCAAGCGGTTAAATAATAATATTATTACTTTTTTTTAAAGTAAAATTTTTAAGCGGAGCGTAAAAAAATTTGAGCGAACAATTATATTTTATCTGATTTGCAGATTTAGCAGGTTAGACAAACGATTAATAGAGCGGAAATGGAACAGAAAATAGCCCATTATTTTTATGGTGCGGGAAATTTAAATTAATATTATTTGTAAAGTTTTGTTTAAATACGAGCGGGCGGGTCCAACGAACAAGAAAATTTATTGGTGTGGCCTTAAACACTTTTTTCTCTTCACCCGCCCCTCTCAAGCTGCAGATCTGTAGCGTTATGGATTTATATACAGTATTTGTCTTTGACCAGATTCCGTGATGCAAAAAAGGTGCAATTTACGGTGCAATTATGTTTTGCGCATTTTTGGGGAGAATTTCTACACTTTCCAGCATCGGTCAATTAACTACCTACTAAATTCTATTATTATTTACCGATAACATTGTATATAATCTACAGGGAGTGAAAGGTACATGTATGTTCTCCCCAAAAAGTACGTTTGCGCCGTAAATTTTTTTGCTCTTGTAGCGTTATATGGTCAAAGACAAATATATAAAATCATAACGCTACAGATCTGCAGCTACCCCCTCTCCTGCCCTTCGCCCCCTTTGAAAAATTTCTAGATCTGCACCTGTTTCAAAAACCCCTAGGCTAACTTTGTCAATGTTAAATTTGTCTCAGAGTACTGTAAAGCGGTTTTTTATTCGTGGTAGCTTTATTTTTTGCGCAATTACTTCAGATATACATGTGTATTTGTGCTCCCCAAAATATAATTCTTGCTTAAATTAGTATTCCTTAATTAAGATAATATAGAGTAGTTACCACATGTAATTCATGAAAATAATGTCTCGCTAATAAAGAGTAAATATCTATGTCTATATCGCAAAGATAAGGTGTCGGGAAAATTTAGTGATCTTCAGTATCCTCGTCGTCGCAGACCACGGCAAAAATACACGACCCTCTCTCATTCTGGAAAAACTATATGCAGACTCCGGGCCGTGGCTTGAGAGACGATGTGGTTTCCGTCATTCAAGGGATTCATTTGCAATAAAATTAATAATAGAAGATGTGACCCTCAAACAAGTGGAAATAATTAGGGAAATAAAAACAAAAGTAGTGGTTTCTGAAAATCTTCAACAAACTTATGGATAAGGATGAGGATGTGTTGTAGATTTAAAATTGTTCAAGGAATTACCCTCGGGGAAAACGGCTGTGGTCTTGAATTAATTCAGTGCACTTAGTTGACCTTATGATGATTTATTGAAACATCGTTATTTTGCCCACTATGAGGAGCATGATCATTTTAAAAACTTGTCATTTGATGCATGTTTGGACCTCATGTCACTTTTAGAAAATGTAGGTATTAGAATTGGTACTTTTTTCAGTAGTTGACATTTTTAATCAAATTGATTTTAATATACCCCCCCCCCCCCCCCCCCCCCCAGTAAGAAAAAAAAAAAAAATAAAAAAAGTAATATAAATAAAAAAAAAATATATTTTTTAAATAAAAAAAAAAAAAAAAAAAAAAAAGGTAAAGTTGCCCACTTTCAAAAATCCTATTTCGTGTGTGTGTGTGTGTGTGTGTGGGGATGATTTATTGAAACATCTTTTTTGCCCACTATGAGGAGCATGATAATTAAAACTTGTCATTTGATGCATGTTTGGACCTCATGTCATGTTGACCCAAAATTAGGTCAGGATGACCTACTTTTAATATTTTCAGGTCGTCATTTTTAATTAAATTGATTTTAATATACATCTTGGACACTTTGAAGCATATGCATGTGTAACCAGTTGTCAGTTAATGCATCATCGAGCCATGACACATCGACTATCAGAATTTCGGAGCGAAACAAAGATCTTATTTAAATCATATTAATGAATGTTATTTATGTCTCTGGGAATAGTAAGGTACGTAATATCAAATTAAAGCAAAATGGAAAAGCACAGATTGTTCAGGTCGAAAAGGGCAAGATTAAAGTTGTAATGATATTTGAATAATTATCTTATTTTGAAAAATAAAACATTCTTTCTCATCTGTCACCTATTTTCTATAAAAGTTCATAGACTCCATTTTGTAAATGCTTGAACGTTATAGGAATATTGATCAAGACTCAATATAAGAACCAGTTAACCAAGACTCACTCAAATCCTAGAACGAGTTAATCAACGTCATATTGAAAACGAAAATGGCGATGGAAGAGCTGAAGACGAAAATGAATGAGACATTTGGTGGATTAAAACATCTCATGAATGAAAAAATGTCTGAATTTGAGCTCACTGTGGTAATTATTTTTTTATTCTCTTGTGTCATTAATTGTTTTAACAGCAATGTTATATTTTGAACGATGTGAAATTATGCGCAAGTAGTGGCGAAGACGCACTGTCCTTCAGCAGTTCAGTCAGTTATATATTAAATTATAAATGTTAATGGAGAGAATATTTCATAGAGTGTTGGAGAAAGACATAATATCTATCTACAAAAATATATGGAAATACTAATATGCAATAAATGTTATGATACAGATGCATAAAGTACAGCTGATTTTTAGTATCATATTGATTTCTTACAGACATTGATGGATATGACAAAAATTTGGCCAAAAAATGATGATAATCAATTTTGATTTTGTATAATTTTTTTGGCCATTTTGATTTTATGTACATTTAATGCAACAAAAAAATGTTGACAATGCATTCAATCTATATTGCTATCAAGTTTTTTTTTTTATTGATTTTATGTACTTTTAATGCAACAAAAAATGTTGACAATGCATTCAACATTATCAATGGATGAAACATTGTCTTAAACATTAAATGGATAAAACAGCATGTAAGGCCTTTTTTTAAAAGTTGGTTTACTGATTCGCAGAACCAATTTTTTGAAACATTAGAAAAAAAAGAAATGGAATTTTTCTTCTTTTTATATTCCCGCCGATGAAAATTTTTTGTTGTTAACCCCCCTCCCCCCCCCCAAAAAAAAATTAAAAATTGGGATTGATATATACGCAGATCCTAAACACAGCAGTCACAGAAATGCTTTTTACTGCATCGTAATCATAATAATTTAAATGCGCCTATTTTGCATAGATCATTAGAAGAAAAAAAACAACCACATGGTTGAACGACATGGAGGGTTTGGGTAACAACTTTCTTTTAACGTTCAGTGAGCTTTCACAATCTTTTACAGCCATGATAAAATCAAAACGCAGGCAATCTATTGGGGACATATAACGTAACATATTGAAAGTCATGGCACTCTAACCGTGAAAAAAATATATATGTGCATCTAGAATTCTAGATCAACTTTGAAGTCATCAGAAAGTAATAACTTTTGACTACATGTACTAAAATTTTGAAATCTGTAAACCAGTAAAAAGAATTGGCTTAACTTTTTATATCTTAATTGCTTATGCAGAGCATCGTGGTTGGGATAGGAGTTGCTGTAATCACATTTATCATCGTCATGTTCTTTGGTGTATGGAAATTAAGGTCCAAAGGTAAGTCACTGCTTTGTAAATATATTATGGACCCACTTAAAATTTGTTGTAAATAATGTTATATAATCATAGTAACTTAAGTTTTATCATGCACTGTATCATGCTATAATATACATGTATTATATAGCACAGATCATACTGTATCTCTGTAATACAAAATATAGACCCACAATTTTTATGAAGTTTTTATTGTGTCCAGCCTATTCTTCTTGTTCAGCTGTTCACACTGTAATCCATTTTTTAAAATTATTATTGCATTCATTTTTTATACCCCCCGTTTTTATTTTGTCCGTACGCTTTTTCTCTTATCCACAACTCCTCTTATACTACTGAGTGAAATTTAATGAAACTTTCACAGAATCTTTATTCATGCCATTGTGCACCTCCTATTTTATTTTTTTATTCGGTGGTCACAAAACATGGACATTGCCATTTTTTGTTTACCTATGACGTCACATTCTTTTAACATTTCATTATTCCTCTTTACACATTACCGTAAAACAATATAAAGCAACACATCGACATTATGGGAGGCGGGGGGTATCATTTAGTGAGCTCATTGCTCACAGTACCTCTAGTCTGCATTGAATTTGTGAAATTTATAAAATGTTGAGAAAAAAAATCTCAGAGTTGGAAGTAAAGTTTGTATTTTTTGAAAAGTATTACCAAGTCAGACAGGAGGCCCAAGAAAACCACGTTTTAGAAAAAGGGACAAAGTCATGTTTTATGGAAGAAAAATGCTAAGGAAGGTAACTCTTTTTTTTTTTTTTTTCATTTTACATGTAATTTGTTCTGTTTATTAAGAATATGAAACACACTGAAGTGAAACATGATTTTACATAATAACCAAATGAAAATTTCTCTATACATGTACATTCTATATAAATTTTCTTATTTTCAAGCCATTTTTAAAAAACTTTTTTATGAGGCATATGTGGAATTCACATCGGAGGAGAATTACTTTTTTTTTTATGTAGTATTAGCATCTGATGAGAATATTTTCAAGCTAATGAGTTTGAAATTAAAACACTATGAAGTTTATAATGCAAACATTTTTAACAGGTCCAAAGCTTTACCAGAAAACTAGGACCGACCAACAGAGGAAAACTAAAGAAAAGACAGATTGTAATGAAGCTTGCCAAAAAGTAAGTCTATCCATGGCTCCTAGGCTAAAATAGTAATCAATATTGTAGTGTTTCTTAATAATAATCATTTGCTATGGAGTAGTATTAAGGGAGAGGATTTATGCAACCCAGCATTATTTAGAAATCGTGTTGAATGAGCATCATCGTTATTATATGTGTGATATTCCCTAGCTATTCTGAGCTTCGACAGAAGACCTTGCGGTATGTATATCATGTTCTCTTCAAATGTATACGTAGATGCTTGTAATGAGGTACATACCTTCTGTTTATCTAGAAAAATAAATGAGTAAGTTGTTGTGTGTAAGTGTGTGTGTCTGTGTGTGTGTGCGCCAAATTTGACCACTTGGAAAGCTTATTAACTAATACAACATTTTGATTTTAAGTTCGTTTAATTTGCAAAAGTGGTAAGTTTCACTTTTATTAACACTTATTTTGTTTCTGGTTAGATCTCATGAGGAAGGAAATGGGATGGGTTGGGTTTTGTTATTATTTTATTCATACAATTCATCACCTTTTTCAGATTGATGGTAGGAGAAACCACAGTTTCTTTCTCTCAATGGTTTATAAGAATACTGTATTAACTTATTTAAACAAGAATATACCAACTGTCTTTCTTTTATAGAAATAAGTTTAATGTATACCTGTAAATCACCGTAATAATTTTAAACAAATTCATTCAAATGGATATATGTACGCTGCACCATCATGTCCAATCTGTATATTCCCCTAGATAATTATCAATATTTTTTTTCATTCAGTTTTATGAACAATTCTAGTTGCATGCTCAGTACATTAGATTTTGTATTTTACTCTAAAAATTAAGGAATGAATCAGTTATTAGGTAAAATATGGTACTTATTTGATTTACAATATTGATTGTCATTCCCTAGTGTATCTCCAAGTGATTTATATTTAATATTTAACCAGAAACAAATACCTTTGCCTGTTATAGAAAATCAATTGTTTTTAAGCTTCACTGTACTAGATTTTGAATTCTTAAAAATTTCTGTATATTATGTGCATTAACACCCTATTTCAAATCTTTCTGTGAGCCAATTTATTATTCACAAAACCATATCAAGATTTGCTTAATAATATTTTTATTCTTTATATTTTATAACACTGACAGTAATATTTTCTCCATAAATGAAAATATAACAAAAATTTAGGCTTGCTGAAAATTTACATTTCAATTTGCAAGTTGATTTAGTAGCCTTATATATGGTGTGATACATATCTGTTAAACTTAGTGAATGATGTGACAATTACGGTATACTCGTTAGCCCTGCTTTGTTGAATTCTAATAAAACAGCTTTAAAATACCAAACCCCTTATTTTACTTAGCAAGTACATGTATTTGGTATGTGCATTGTTTTTGAATGGAATTGCATGTTGTGGTACATGTATTGAATGTAAAGTGAAAAAAAAACATCTTCCTTGGAATATTCCTAATGTTACATACAGTCTCAAAAGAAATTCTAATATTCTCTGCACATAGAAAGAGGATAGATCTTTACCTTAGTTGTATTCAGGGTGCAAAGTTTTCTTTTTTCTTTCATAGCAAACTTGATTGCCTGAATGCACCCTTTGTATCAACCTTTTTTTTTACCTTTACTGCTCAAAGGTATATACCTTGTAACTGAGTACCTTAGGTGTTACTGAACACTATTAAAGAAATTCATGATTTCCTTCACCTATCTGAACACACAAAAATTTGATCAGTTGTTATCTCTTATGTCCATGTATTTTGTATAATTAATGCAAAATTTTGCTGGTGAAGAAATTATGAAAAGATAGACTAATAAAATTATCCAGATTTTCCCCCTTAAAGTTATGTGAACAAAATTTGGGAAACTAGGAAATGAATGTTACAAATCAAAATTGAAAAAAAAATTTCTTATCAATTCCACTAAACTCTATTATGTAATAATTAAGAGTGTGTTTTCTAGGCTACTTCAGATGAGAAGGGACTCCTCCCAACCCCTACTGAAGGTAAAAGAACCCCCTCAATCCTTCCTAGAGCTAGATACCTGTGATATTGACGACAGTGAACAGAGGCTTCCTTCAGAGGTCCTCTATATGCTTAGAAGTACAAGGTTAGTGTCTTAGTTGTATGATATTCCTCATCCAATCTGACGATTATTACAGAAATGAATTTGTTTTCAATATATTCCATGATATAATATATACAAAACTATCAATACAAGTTCTTTCAAGTTGGTGCATTTTCTCTGAGACATACAATGATTACAGCAGTTGTTGAACATATAATTACATGTATGTTAAAAACATATTAGTATAAAATGTATATATAACTTTACCAAGTATATTCTATATGTGTGTAACCATGCTTCAAATGTAACTGTGGTTTGGATGGCATCTTTTAAATTTTTACATTCAGGTACCTGTTGGAATTATTGAACTTTGTGATGTTGAATTTTATTTCAGAATTTTTGGACATTTTGAAAAACCTTTATTTTTGAATCTGGTGAAACATATGGAGTCAAAGATTCTGAGGTGTGGAGAGTACTTATTTAGAATTGGAGATTTAGATGACAGCATATATGTAGTACAACAAGGTCATATAAACGTCAGTATATGTGAATCGGTAAGTATTGTGTCAACTAGTCATAGCACTCATCAAAATATTGAATTATTTCAAAGTACTAGTGATGCTCTGCAGGATAGAAATCTTATTCCTAACTAAGGGGTTTAATTAATATGCAGTTATACCCCCTGCAAACGAAGTTTGGGGGGGTATATAGGAATCACTCCGTCGGTCTGTCCGTCTGTCTAGCTGTCTGTCTGTCCGTCTAGCTGTGCAAACGTGTCCGGTCCATATCTTTCTTACGGAGGAACATTAGAATCTACTACTCCACACAAAGATTGCCCATGACCTAATTGTGTGTCATGACCTTGACCTAAGGTCATTTGAGGAAGTTCAAGGTCACTGGAAGAAAAAATTCATAACTCGTGTCCGTTCCATATCATTCTTATGGATAAACTTGGTAGGTTCTAAGAAGATGGTACAGTTTCAATACAAATTTTAAAGCCCTATATTTTTCAAAAATATGAAAGTGATGTAAAAAATAAAAATTCATTCTTTCTGAATCATAAGAATTCAATGCAGTAAGAATACACAAATCGTTTTTCTCATATGACCTCCTAAATGTTAACTTTGATGTCATTAACTTGTGCATTTTCCCGCATTTACATAAAAAGTTGCAGAAGACATCAATTTTATGTGGAATTTTCCTTCAGAAAACATACTCTGCCACCGTCACCCAGAGAGATTTTGAGATATGTGATTTTTCAAAGCATTTTAAAAAATATATCCAAAAATTGAAGCGGGCGACGGTGGCCTAAGGGTGTGTTGTGACCTTGAACCAAGGTCATTTGTGGAAGTTCAAGGTCACTGGAAGAAAAAAATTCATAATTCGTGTCCGGTCCATATCTTTCTTACGGATAAACTTGGTAGGTTCTCATTTCACTCAAAGATTGCCAATGACCTAAGGGTGTGTCATGACCTTGATCCAAGGTCATTTGAGGAAGTTCAAGGTCACTAGAAGAAAAAATTCATAATTCGTGTACGGTCATATCTTTCTTATGGATAAACTTGGCAGGTTTTCATTTCACACAAAGATTGCCCATGACATAAGAGTGTGTCCTGACTTTGAACCAAGGTCATTTGGGGAAGTTCAAGGTCACTGGAAGAAAAATTTCATAATTTGTGTCCGGTCCATATCTTTCTTATGGATAAACTTGGTAGGTTCTCATTTCACACAAAGATTCCTCCTGACCTAAGGATGTGTCATGACCTTGGGTCAAGGTCATTTGGGGAAGTTCAAGGCCACTGGAAGAAAAATTTCATAATTTGTGTTTGGTCCATATATTTCTTATGGATAAATTTGGTAAGTTTTCATTTCACACAAAGATTGCTCATGACCTAAGGATGTGCCATGACCTTGGGTCAATGTTATTTGGGGAAGTTCAAGGTCACTGGAAGAAAAATTTTATAATTCATGCCCGGTCCATATCTTTCTTTATTATGGAAAAACTTGAATCTACTACTTCACACAAACATTGCTTATGACCTGAGGTTGTGTCATGACTTTGAACCAAGGTCATTTATGCAAGTTCAAGGTCACTGACAGAAAAAGTTCATAATTCATGTCTGGTCTGTATATTTAGTCTTTTTTTTTATTATGCTGTGCCTTCATTTCATTTATGAAAAATATTATGAGCTAGTACATTTGCACTAAAAATGTTTTAGCATTTCTCTCTCCTCTTAGATCCATAAAATATTCGTGATTTAGCACTTCTGAAAAACCCAGCGGGGGGTATTTTGTCCCGTGTGGACAGTTCTAGTTTATACTAGTAGTATAGAGCACTTTTATAAGAATAAAATGACAGTTAATTTATAGAGTATGACATAACTCGCTAGAATAAAACATGTGAACACATATGTGTCCATTTATGTAAGTTTATGAGTCTGAATTTTTATAATTATTCACCAGGTACATGAACTGAACAGATTAAAACTCTGTATTGTAGGATGGCAGTAATCACTTAGTAAAAGTGGTTTGTCCTGGAGACAGCATCCATAGTTTACTTAGTGTACTGGATGTCCTTACAGTAAGTTCTGTCAAAATGCAGTCTAGTACAAATGTACATCTTTTTAAGGCATTTTTACATTTCCTATAATAAAAAGCTGAAATAATGTTGTAAAGTTTGAAAACTCTTTTTATTGTGATAACAGGGACATCCAGCTCCTTATAAGACTGTGTCAGCTCAAGCTGTAGAGGACTCCACTGTTCTCAAGTAAGTCCCAATACTGTACAGCATAAATAACATTCAATGCTGTCAGAGGAAACTTAGATTAGATAATATTTTTGTGCTGAAATCAAAAGTTTATTTTTAGAATCATATTCAGGTAATGTGTTAAAAATAATGTAGTCTTTTTCTCATGCTTCTTTAAATACTAGCAGTATTATTAAGTGTATACATATAATTTTATGTCTGATATTTTCAGATTGCCAGCCATTGCGTTCCAGTCCATGTTTGAGAGATTTCCAGAGTCTCTGGTCCGCATTGTTCAGGTAAATGTCAGCTCATTCATCCTCTGTCATAGAAATCATGTTCTGTCTGTACACAATTTTAAGAATCCTATGACCCATTTCTTCAAAATTGAATCAGATAAATTGAATATAGATACATGTACCATAAAATGATATTCATGTTTTGTGTTTTGAATTTTACTTTATAGTCAAGGAATGATCCTAAATCTTTTTTTTTTCTTTCAGATTATCATGATACGGCTACAGAGAGTAACCTTCACAGCTTTACATAACTACCTTGGACTTTCTAGTGAGCTCATCAGCTCAGTGAGTATAATTCACTTTATAAACATCACAGAACATTGGTCAAAGTAGTAATACGAGGTACAAGCATTTACCGGTACTTGGAAATATGTTGCTTTTGGATGGTAGATAACTTCTTTATCTAAGGTTTTTTCGAAAATGACTGTTTGTTTCTAGTCTAGAATTGCATTAAAATGCACTGAGTTTTTCTTTCTTGTACAAATGTATTTTAAAGTGCACCTTGAGGTTGTGAGTTTTAGTAAGATACTGTAATGATATATTGTGATGTTTAATTGTCTTGTTATAATGTATTCTTTCTAGCAACTTATTGAGGAACTTCACGCCATGAGACAAAAAGATCCAGCTTTCGCAAAACGACACAGCATTTGTGTTGTGTGTACATGTGTATCTCCTTTTCTCTTGTAGTGTAGTATAAATAACTTCTATTGTGTATACCAGTGTCATACTATGGGCTTTTTGAAAAATTATTTTTAAGAATATGTTTAGAAAAGATTACAGAAACATTTTAAATTCTGTTTACTTTTCTTTTTAAAATTTTTAATGATTTATAAAATACTGATATGTGATTTACATCTATCCAGAGATTTTCAATTTGCATAGAATGAATTGGTATACATAATTTTTTAAATGATGACCTTTGACCTTTCCTTAATTAATCCTACTATCCAGGTGTTTTATTTGTGTCACGGCTGCTAGTTAAAAAAATAGAATTACATAGACACTCAATATTCACATTTTATGTGTTTGGAAATGAAGTGCACTAAAATGATAATGTTATTGTAACATATGTCTATACAGTAGTAACTTTTAGGGTAGAGGATATCTAAACATTATGTATCACAAAGAAACGCAGTGCTAGTGTCCAGGGGAAAATAAAGTTAGTCAAAACAAAAATGATTTACAGAGTAAAAAAAAAAAAGCTTTTGTGTTGAGTTTGATACTTAATGAGTATTTCAAAAGCCCATAATATATAATACAATATAGTACATCTATATATTCAATGTAGATTGTAATTGTTATTTGGTGTTCAGTGAACATTGAGTTTACTACAGATTCTAGTTTTATTTATTAGACATATAAACAGACTTGCATGAAAAGAATATCCTGGGATTGGTGTATGGTTCTTACAGCAAATGGTGCTCATTTCAAGGGAGCCATTCCTTTCAAATTTCTTGTGTCCATTATAAATAAGAATTGAAAACTTTGGTTCTTTAGAGGAGATTTTCAATTTGAACATGTAATTCATAGAAAGAAGCAATGATCATGAATTAAAAAATAAGATAAATATTCAGAACTGCATGGTCTTATTGTTTCATAAAATATCCTTTTTATCTGCTTTTGAATTGTTTCTCATATAAATCCTTATCATAAATGAATAATTGAACTGTATGCAAATCTCTATGTATAAAAATATAAAACTACCTTTTTTTTTTTACAAATTATGAATGTTTTCATTACAAATATACAGATATATCCATCAAATTATCAAAAATTTAAAAAAATGTATAAAAACATCTCGCTAAAAATAAATTAAATTTTCTATAACATTTCCAGGATATACAAATTATCAAAAAAAAACTGTATAAAAACATATAATTTTCTGTAGTAAATACACTTTTCTTATTGATAGACTTGAGTAATATGTATCACGAAACTCCAATTCTTAAACATTTTTTGACACAGGCTCATGCATACAAGATTAAAAGGGGGAACCAAATGCACACAAGCACATATTGTCATTTTCTTTGCCTAAATGAGTAAATTAACAGTTTTAGCACAGTTGTGTTATTAACTATTTTTTTTTAAAGAAGAATTTTTAAATTCGTTTAAAAAAAGCTTTTGAATATAACATGTATTTTTTTTATATCAACCAAAGGCTTGATGTGTGTGAGTTTTTTTTCTTTAAACCAGTAGGTACATGAAATGTTTTATTTCTTTTTTCCAGTTACAGAAAGAAAGTTTGATTAAATAATGAGAATGTTCAAATTTTAAAATACCAATTAAACATTTATTTAATCTGAAGAAAATATTGGTTGTTATTGACAGATGACCCAGAAAGAGATGAGGTCATTGTCAGGTCGTTTCCAGACTAGTCCTCATAAACAGCGTAGCGTCACCAGGGATACCAGCTCACAAAGGGACATAACTGAGGAAAATGAGGACACACAGACACAAAAACAGCTGACCAATGAGGTCAAGGACAAAGTAGACGGTGTGTTATTTTATATGGATGTTGCATTGAAAACAAAATTTTCAAATGAAACCATGCAAAGAGACAATTGGAATCCAAATATTATTTTGGTTTCTTTTAAAATGTCTTGTGAAAATTACCGGTTAAATGGTGTATTCTCAATTACACATATATCAGAATAAGTTCATTTTATTTTCTTGTGGTGAAATAACTGTTTATATGTGGAGGGACTGTGATATTTTTAGTAACTGATTCCTGCATTCTATATATAGGGGAGACCCGTGATGAGACAGATAGTGCCTTCACAGATTTTGCTGCAGCTGCACAAAGAGCCAGAATAAACAGTTTGGATCTGGAGACCAGTAAATCTCAGGATGAACCAGTCAAGACCATAGGTCACATGCCAAGGTCACGTAACAAGAAGATTTCAGACACAGGGATGTACGTGTCCCAGACCAGTGTAGACACAAGTGAAGAGGAGGCTCTGGAGTGTGCCAGGAAAGATCTCATCAAGTTAATGAACCTACAGGTAAAAATAGTTACAAGGGGTTAAGAAATTTTTGTTTGAACTACTGCAGAAAAGGAAGACATTTTTAGAAATGTTTGTTTTAACTAATTCTGTAAAAGTAGACATTTGAAAAATTTTACATACTGTCATTTTTGCACTGTATTGTACATGTTCATTAATTTACATGATTTGTTGATAGTCCTTAAAATTGCTTTGTCCAAAACAAATAAGAGCTGGATTATAATTCATTTATTTAAGGATGAATCACTTTTGGATGGAAAGCTTACCTTGAGAAAATTTAAAGCAGGGACCACAATTCTTAGTCAAGGAGATCAGGTCAGAAATTGCATCATCCACCATTAAAGATACATGTACTAAAATCTGTTTAAATTAAATAATGATCCTTGAAAAATGTAACAATCTTCTTTTCTCTTCTGTTAATCAGGATGCCAGTTTGTTGTTTTTGGTGGCAGGAACATTGAAACTCCTCCAGCATGTGGTTGGCAAAGAACAAAAGGAGGTGAGAAAGCTATGTCTTTAACATATGATTGTACAATACCTAGGAGCCAATATTTACAGATTCCTTAATTATTGTCACAAATTTTTGCCATGCAGTTGAACTTTATAATCTCAAACACTTTTTAGCTCACCTGAGCTGAAAGCTCAAGTGAGCTTTTCTGATCACATTTTGTCCGGCGTCCGTCTGTCTGTCCATCCGTCTGTCTGTCCGTCTGTCTGTAAACTTTTCACATTTACGACTTCTTCTCAAGAACCGCTGGACCAATTTCAACCAAACTTGCCACAAAGTATCCTTGGGTGTAGGGGATTCAAGTTTGTTCAAATGAAGGGCCACGCCCTTACTCAAGGGGAGATAATTGGGAATTAATGAAAATTTGGTGGTAGATTTTAAAAATCTTCTTCTCAAGAACCACTGTGCCAGGAAAGATGAAACTTATATTGAAACATCCTCAGATAGTGTAGATTCAAGTTTGTTGAAAGTCATGACCCCCGGGGGTAGGGCGGGGCCAGAAAAGTTTTACATAGAAATATATAGGAAAATTCTTTAAAAATCTTCTTCTCAAGAATGACCAAGCCATAATTCATCATATTTATATGGAAGCATGTTCAGGTAATGTAGATTCAAATTTGTGCAAATTATATTGAAATGGCCGTCCAAAGTTTTACATAGAAATATATAGGAAAATTCTTTAAAAATCTTCTCAAGAATGACAAAGCTATAATTCATCATATATCTACGGAAGCATGCTCAGGTAGTGTACATTCAAGTTTGTTCAAATCATTACCCCCGGGGATAGGGCGTGGCCAAAATAGCCGACCAAAGTTATACATAGAAATATATAGGAAAATTCTTTAAAAATCTTCTTCTCAAGAATGACAAAGCCATAATTCATCATATATATATGGAAGCATGCTCAGGTAGTGTAGTTTCAAGTTTGTTCAAATCATGAACCCCGGGGGTAGGGCGGGGCCTAACTGGCCGACCAAAGTTTTACATAGAAATATATAGGAAAATTCTTTAAAAATCTTCTTCTCAAGAATGACAAAGCCATAATTCATCATATTTATATGGAAGCATGCTCAGGTAGTGTAGATTCAAGTTTGTTCAAATCATGACCCCCGGGGGTAGGGTGGGGCCAAAATGGCCGACCAAAGTTTTACATAGAAATATATAGGAAAATTCTTTAAAAATCTTTTTCTCAAGAATGACAAAGCCATAATTCATCATTTTTATTTGGAAGCATGCTCAAGTAGTGTAGATTCAAATTTATTCAAATCATGACCCCCAGGTGTAGGGCGGGGCCAAAATGGCCGACCAAAGTTTTTAAAGATATATACATAGGAAAATTCTTTAAAAATCATTTTCTAAAAAATAGCAAATCCATGATTGGTCATGGGACTACTTTTGGATTTAAACTTCACAATAAAAAGCCATTTTCTACTTTTTCCTACCCTTAGTGCTCAGGTGAGCGATGTGGCCCATGGGCCTCTTGTATCTCATATACCATGGATATATGTTCAAATGAATTTCGAAATTCAACTACTATTATTAGGTATTTTGCCCTCAATATCTTGAATTCTCAGGTATCTCAAATTTTTTTCTTGTTTGAGATAAAGAGATATGACTGTAGATAGATATTCCCAATTAACAACTTTTCTTACTTAGCATACATATTATCAAGGTATGGTATTAATAAATTATTGACATATTATTATGACACTGTCAAAATAAAATTGTCAGCCGTGTTTATGTTTTCTTTTGTTTAGGCTTTACTGTTCAATGCGTATCCTGGGGAGCTGGTAGGAGCCCTGGCTGTACTGACCGGGGAACCATCATTCTTTACCATCAGGTGTAAATATGAGTGTAGAGTTGTCACCATATCCAAAGAGGACTTTTACAGGTATTAACACAGCATAGATGTAAAGGAATTAACTTATAGTTATACCCCCCGCTTGAAAAGTGGGAGGGTATATTGTAATAGGTATTTCCGTCCGTCCGTCTGTTACGCTTTATCTCTTATCCGCAACTCCTATGCTACTGAGTGAAATTTGATGAAACTTTCACAGAATCTTTATTACATATTGCCATTGTGCACCTCCTATTTTACTTTTTATTCGACACGTATTTTAAGTTTTCCATAGCAAAACATGGACATTGCCATTACTATAGTATATGTTTACCTATGATGTCACATATAGAAGCTTCTGGATAACATTTGATAGGACGAGTTATTTCACTTTACACATTACCGTAAAACAATATATATTATTATACTTTTATGTTAAATACTAAATTCTAATTGGTTTAGATGCAGTACACAATCCGTTCTATTACCCTCAGCCTTAGCAACACACGTGACAACGGGTAACACAACGGTAATGTCACATGCGTGGAAATTATGCGCCTACGGTTCACCGTAGAATTCTCAAAACATCAGTTGCGCGTTTGAAAGAACCGGAATAAACTTGAAGTGAACAAAAGCTTGCGTCCGATGTAGCTTACTTGAAAACGACAAACGACAGACGAAACATGCTTGCGAGTGCAGAAATAACGAAACTTTAGATGATAAAGGACACTTAGAGTATCAAATAAACAATAAAGAGGTCAGTAAATCTTTTTCTAAGTAGTGGAGAGTTTGAAAGCTTTCTGAACGTAAAGATGATCGACGATTTTTTGCTGACATCCTAAATCAAGAAGACATTCAGTATAATAAAATAAATGGTGCCTGTTTTGGAGGGTAACAGTTGAAATTGACACCCCAAGGAAAACCATTGTCAACCGACGCTTACACGTCGGTTGACAATGGTTTTCCTTGGGGTGTCAATTTCAACTGTTACCTTCCAAAACAGGCACCATTTATATAGCAACATATGAGCATTATGGAAGGCAGGGGGTATCATTTAGTGAGCTCATTGCTCACAGTACCTCTAGTTTACATTATGATTGTGAATAAAATTACCTGTAACTTACAACATAGGTGTATAATTTACAATCACAAATCAGTAATCTTTGAATATATACAGGTCATTTACATTTTTAAATGTGTAAATTTTGAGAGAAAAATCATGTAGTCAATTTTAAAATATGAAGACATTTGAATCAGAAATGTTAAGCAGATATCTGGATTTGATGTTTTTTTCTCCTAAGCATCATGCAAGCCCAGCCCTCTGTTGTCCTATCAGTTGCTCACACCTCTGTGGTTAGGATGACCCCCTTTGTCAGACAGATTGATTTTGCTCTGGACTGGATTCTCACAGAGGCAGGAAAAGCTCTTTTCAGGTATTATCATTTGGTAGAAAGTAGCTTGTGAAGTATGATTTAAGTAAGTTTTAAATATCTGAAGTTGGAAACTTACACATTTTTTGTTTTTTGAGAGTAAATTAAAAGATATTTGGAAATACATGTATTTTACAATCAATGATAATTCTATATGAATATACCTGTAATTAGAAAGCATTGTTTGTTTATTTAGGACTGTTGTAGAATTCCTGGCATATACATAAAATTATGTTTCTCAGGAAACATTAATACTTATGGTTGTATACCTCTCTAACATCTTTATTTGCATCATAAAAATTTAGAATCAAGAAATACATAATAGTTGTATCTTTGTTTGTCTTTTAACTTTGTAGACAAGGAGACACGTCAGACCACATCTATATAGTCCTGACAGGTCGTCTGAGATCAGTTATAACTAAGGAGGATGGGAAGAAGGAGCTGGTGGGGGAGTACGGTCGAGGGGAACTGGTGGGAATCGTGGAGGTGCTGACAGAGGCCAAGAGAACCACCACTGTCATGGCTGTCAGGTAAAGGTGTTAGGGGGGATGTTATGGGGGGAATATGGTCGGGGGGAACTGGTGGGAATCGTGGAGGTGCTGACAGAGGCCAAGAGGACCACCACTGTCATGGCTGTCAGGTAGAGTTGTTGGGGGAGGGATATTTTTGGTGGTGGGGGTATTGTTTGGATTTTATAAATACTAGGGATGTCAAATCGGTCAATTTTTGATACTCGGTTACTCGGACGTTTTTCCGATCGAGTACCCGGGTACTCGGTAAAAGTGTAAATAGATATGAACAAGTTAATTGATAACTGTAAAACATTGTAAACTCTTGTAGAAATAAAACCGATGGGAGGTTACCTGCAAATGCGTTGTAACAATTATGACCACTTTGTCCGACGAAATTTAATCTAACATTTTTTAAAGTTCAATTTATTTATCAGATAAATACGAGAAATAAAATCAGAAATGATTCACAGTGTTTTTGTTTAAAAAATAATCTGTTCCGTAATTGTAATGTAACTCTTTGGTGCGTTTGATGTCCAAGTGATAAGTTGTCTGAGATACATGTACGGAATAAACTTGATCAAGTTATCCTATAACAGAGCGGATTTATACGATCTTCGTACACTTTTTGATCCTAGATTTCATAGAATTACGATACGGTGTGTTGTAGTTTGGAGAAACGATGGACATAAGATTTTTAAAGCATTAGCCTTCAACCATTTGCATTAATTAGCATGTAATCAAATGCATCCAAATCAACAATCGCACGTGCAATATCATCTGTGTCTTTCCGGAGAATATACGGCTTCTTGGAGAATTGACAAAATTATTTTTTAATTTGTTTAAATATAATGGACCTTCAACGATGTTCAATGAAAACAAATAATTAAAGCAAACTAAATATAAGGGAAGAAGACAATCGAAGGTGAGAAAAGCCAGGTAGGTACATCAGGTGTTTGGTCACGGTAATTACTGTATAAACACTGCCACAGGCGATAACGATCATTTAGAGGCATAGGAAACCCTAATTACTGTATGTACAAGTGCAATGAACATTTTACGTTTTAAAACCGATGTTTTAATGCATTAATAAGTAAGCTTAGAAATATTTCAAAATATACATCCGAGTAACCGAGTACTGATTTTAGTATTCGATACTGGGACGTTCGATCGAGTACCCGGTTAACCGGGTACTCGTTGACATCCCTAATAAATACAGTTGACATGAAAACCATGAGTGTCATTTCTAAAAAGTAAAGCTGTAAGTGCTGGTGGGAAGTACTATTGCCTTCTCTTTGAATTCTTACATTATGGTTGATTTTACTTACAGGGATACAGAATGTGCTAAATTACCAGCAGAATTGTTGAATCTGATCAAACGTAAATACCCTCAGATTGTGACACGACTTATACACCTACTGGGCGAGCGTCTTCTTGGACAGCTGCAAAAGTCCTCAGGACTCAATTCATTTCCAATAGCAGGTTTGTTAGACAATATATTTCTGAAAGTCTTTTTTTTTTTTAAATAACTTAAATTAAATCTTTATTTAATATTTATGTAAGTGTCAGTCTTGAAGTATTTGATTCAAAAAAAAAAATTAAGTTGTCATATTGGATCAACATTTTTATAAGTTCTGCCTACTGGATATACATGTATAGATTTTTTTATGTAGAAGCTCACAAAACTCTAGGGTAATAGTGCATTTACATTTTTTACAAATTTTAATTTTTGTATAGACCCTGTTATGAAAGAAGAGACCTCGGTTGGTAACTTAGCTACTGTGGCTGTCCTGCCCATCAGCAAAGACGTCCAGATCACAAGCTTTACTCTAGAGTTACAGCATGCTTTACAGGCCATAGGTATAAAGCATTGAAAAGAAAATGAAAATGAATCCACTTTGCTTCATAAGATGAAAAAAAAACCCAAATATACTTTAGTTTCATTGTCAACAGGTTTAAAGAATAATTTCTTTTATGCATTCATTACTGTTTTAAGGATAAAGTCCAATAGGAAGAGGAAATGTGTAAAGACCGTGTATTTAGGAAACGGGTTCGTTCGCCCGATCTACCTGTTTGTGGGAGTTCGTTCGTGCAGAGTCCGTTCGCCTGAAATATTTTTCACCTAATATCTTGTTCGCCCTGTATGTGGTTCACCCAATACTTATGTATACTTGTATATAAACACGTATGAATTAAAAAAAAATTTCTATTTATTTACGAACTTGGGATATTTTTTCTCAAATTCTGATACGAGGAACAATGTTTATCTAGTCTTAATTAAATTTTGATTTGATTCTAATGTTTTTTGAATGACTTAGTGTTTGCACTATAGTTAATTAGATGATTAATATGACTTATATCAATGTTAATTAGGGGGATACTTCTGCATTATTTTTACAAATTGCGCCATGTTTTGAAAACAATTAAAGGACTGAGATGTTAATAGGTCCATTATAGAACTGAACAGCGGATGTTTAAGGTTTTACCTTTGAAGAATTTCCCTTTGATCTCAAAAAATGATTTAATAGAAGTCTTTTAGGTCTTTGATAGGTTATGTACTTAGTGTGACCATTTGTGGCAACATGCATAACATCTGACAGTCTGTTTTATTTCAAATGTACCAAAAATTTGGAAAGAAATTCGATAGATTTTATAGTACATTAAAATAGGGCAAACGGACCCTGTGCTAACAAGATTTAGGGCGAGCGGACTCTGGGCGAACGAGAAATCGGGCGAAGGGGTAATTGGGCGAACAATTTTTAGGGCGAACGAACATGGAACCGTGTACATGTATTTACCAGTTGGCATTTATTTGTGTTAGGTTCAACTATGAGACTTACTAGTGACATTGTAAAGAACAACCTAGGAACTGCAGCTCTAGACAGGTTAGACTAAATCTAGATTCTAATCTTCAATGATTTAATTTGAATCAGAGAACATGTTCCACATGTGATGTCCACACTTCTACTTTTTCAGTGTGAATGAGTTTCGGTTGTTGAACTGGTTAGGACAACAGGAGGATATACACCGGATGACCCTGTACCAATGTGACTATACCCTCACTAAGTGGACCAAGAACTGTATCCGCCAGGCCGACTGTATCCTCATTGTGGGGCTCTTTGAGGGGGACCCAGCTGTCAGTGAGGCAAGACTTTTTACTGATAAAGTGTTTATTATTCATTGATTAATTGTTTCTCTTTTATTGGTCGCCTAGACAATGAGGTAAACTCTTTTATGCAAGTATTCTCATTGGGGTGTAGATTTCAAGATTATTGATCCAAAGCCCCAATTGTCGGATTTGGGAGTAAAAAGAAAAGTACCTGTACAGGAAAAAAAAATATCTAGGCAAATTAAGAATTTCAAGTTGTGGTACCTAGAACAGACATTGAAAAAAATAGATAAAATGTTTTACTTACAGATGTACATGTGTATTAAAAAATCTTCACAAAATTTTCTGGGTTTCAAAATTACCTTGCAAATTATCATTATAACAATTTGAGGTACATGTACTGACAGTGCTGTGCAATAAATTTATTGATGAGTAATTTATTCAGATTGAGAAGCAGATAGAAAATATGGCTGTCAGGGCACAAAAAGAATTGGTCTTACTTCACAGAGAAGATGCAGAGACACCTACACGGACGGTGGAATGGCTGAATGCTAGAGGATGGCTGTCGTCTCACCACCACATCAAATGTCCAAAACGTGTTCTTACCAAGAGATCTGAAGCCAAAATTGTAAGGAAAAATTCACATATGTCATACTGATAACCCATTAAAGAAATTTCATAATCAATTTGATTAGTAGAATAGGTAAAAATTCTAATGCAAGTTCTTTATTTGCTTTTTTCTTCTTTAGATTGAGCTGTATCAGAAACATATGGAAACCAAACCAGACAGAATGACAGACTTTTCAAGGCTGGCTCGATTTTTAACAGGAACTTCTATTGGTGTAGTACTTGGTGGGGGTGGAGCAAGGTATTATAAGAAAAACATGACTGTCAATAATACATTTTGCTCTGTAACATGGTTTTAATATCTTCTAAGAATCTGTACTTTGATTTTAGGGGTCTCTCACATGTTGGTATGTTGAGAGCTTTAGTTGAGGCACAGATTCCGGTGGACATGGTGGGGGGAACCAGTATGGGGGCTTTCATAGGAGCTTTGTATGGAGATGCCATCAACTTAAATAGCTTTTCACAGAGAGCAAGGGACTGGTCCATTGTAAGAAAGATTTCTATGAAGTTCTGTTCAGTACATATATATATTAGTTAACAAAAATGGGATTCCTCCTATATATGGTGTTCCATTTGATAAATTTGTTAAATTCATGACTTATTGGAAATTGGATAGTGTTCAGATTCAATTTTACATACAATTTTAACAATATTTCAAGTTTCTTCTTCAAAACAATTTGATAAAATATTCTAAAGTTCCTCAAGTCATGCCGGTAATCTTTAGGGCCATTTTGAATGTTAAAAGAAAGATGGCTGCAGTGACCATTGTGTTCTACAGACTTTTCATTTTCTTTTAAGGGTATGACGTCTCTTTGGAAGAAGATTTTGGATATAACATACCCAGTCACTTCAATGTTCACAGGTATTATGCAATATTTGTTTGGGCCCAAAAAAGTATGTTTTGAATGTATGTTCTCCTACACGTAACTGCTATATAGACCAAATATTTGAAGGTATGTTATCAATGTGTTGTGTCTTCACAGCGTTAAAATTTGTAAGAATCATGTAACATGACTACAGATTTCTTGGAAATAGAGATTAGAATAGCAAATTAATTTTGTTTGTAGGGAAAGCCTTCAATGACAGCATAGAGGAGGTGTTTGGACACAGACAAATTGAGGACCTATGGATACCCTACTTTTGTATCACCACTGATATCTCAAACTCTTCCATGAAGGCCCATACTCATGGTACATAATCACATTTGTATCATATGATAGAACATTGTAACTTAAACTTATGATGGCATTTTGAATGTTTCTGAATAATAATAATAAAAAAACAAGAGGCCCGTGGGCTCACCTGAGAAGCTTTGACCATTCTGTTCTTTACCAAATTTCCCCCTTGTAATACATATTGCGACCCTACCCTACCCCACTGATCATAATTTAGACATTTTGAAATCTAAACTACCCCAGGATGCTTCCATGTGCACATAAGTTTAAGCTTTTCTGGCCCAGTGGTTCTTGAGAAGATTTTCAAAGATTTTCCTATATATTTCTATGTGAAACTTTGATTCCCCATTGTGGCCCTGCCCTACCCCCAGGGGTCATGATTTGAACAATTTAGAATCTACACTAACCCAGGATGCTTCCACATAAGTTTCAGCTTTTCTGGCCCAGTGGTTCTTGAGAAGAAGATTTTCAAAGACTTTTCCTATATATTTCTATGTAAAACTTTGATTCCCCATTGTGGCCCCGCCCTTCCCCTGGGGGTCCTGATTTGAACAATTTAAAATCTACACTACCCCAGGATGCTTTCACGTAAGTTTCAGCTTTTCTGGCCCAGTGGTTCTTGAGAAGAAGATTTTTAATGACCCCACCCTACTTTTGTCTTTTCTTGATTATCTCCCCTTTTGAGGGGACTTGGCCCTTCATTTTAGCAATTTAAATTCCCCTTTACCCAAGGATGCTTTGTACCAAGTTTGGTCAAAATTGGCCCAGTGGTTCTTGAGAAGAAGTCGAAAATGTGAAAAGTTTACAGACGGACAGACGACGGACAAAATGTGATCAAAAACGCTCACTTGAGCCTTCGGCTCAGGTGAGCTAAAACAGAATACAAATTTTAGCAGATTTATGTCCTAGAGCATGAGCCTCATACTGATTAGATGATAACAATGTGTATATGAATGCATTTATTGTTAATGCTTCTTTGAACCTTGGCTGACTTGTTCTCTATCTTGGTTTACAGGCAGCCTTTGGAGATATGTCAGGGCCAGCATGTCCTTGTCTGGTTACCTGCCCCCACTCTGTGACCCGATGGATGGGCACTTGCTGTTGGATGGTGGATACATCAATAATCTTCCTGGTAAATATACCCCCAGAATTCTTTGGAATATTATTGTTAAAATTAACCCCCTGTTAAAATGTTTGTCCTACAGTCTAAGAAGTCTTCAAATGTTCATATTATGTGAGATAAACTATTATCATGCAAATTGATAACTGACTTTATTCTATCTATGATAAAAATCTTTAAGCCCCTAAACAGTATAATTATCAAATGTTTGGAATAAGATGAATTTTTTGTCATTGGAGATGCACTTTTTATTTATTTTTATTCAGCTGATGTAATGAAAGCTAAAGGAGCCAGGAATATATTTGCTATGGATGTAGGGAGTATTGATGAAACTGACCTCACAAATTATGGGGATCAGTTATCTGGTTGGTGGTTACTATGGAAACGATGGAATCCTTGGGCTTCTGCCATCAAGGTGCAGTTCAGTTTATTTTGGTTTTAAAGAATTTCTTACATGATTTAATTTTACTTTCTTTTGATTAGGAACTTAAAATGCACCAGACTCTAAAATTCATATTTCATTTAAAATTTTATGATGGCAATATTGTTTTTGACTAAATCAATTCCCTTTTGCACACCAACACATTCCAAGAATGATCTCAGAAAGCATGAGTATTATAGAATTTTTGTTTTTATTTATTTTTGTGATTTTAGGTGCCAGATATGGCGGAGATTCAGACCAGACTGGCTTATGTTTCTGGTGTAAGGCAGCTGGAAATGGTCAAAAACAGTGACTTCTGTGAATATATCAGGCCACCTATTGACAAGTATGGCACTCTACAGTTTGGAAGCTTTGATGAAATCAATGTAAGTAGTTTTTTAGCATGTTGTAAGAATTTTTTCATGAAATAATGCCCCCAAGAATTAACCAAATTAAAATAATCCTTATCATAAAGTAGCTTCTTAATCATCACAGGAATTTTATTCATACCTGAAATATATCTATAGAGATCAATATATAAAAAGAGAGCACTAAAAATAGTGAGATATTTGACAATGAATTGTATTTTGTAGGAGGTTGGCTACAATCATGGTAAAACCTTACTATCGGGGTGGATCAAAGGGGGCCTGATTGATGAACTCTTTAAAGACAAGCATTCTGCTCATTCCTCTAAATGTAGCATCCACAAAGCTCAGGTAGGTTATCAGAGTGTAGCATTCACAAAGATCAGGTAATAAGTCAGAGAACAGATCAAGCTCAGATTGTAGAATCCAATAAATCTCTGATATGACGAGTCAGAGTGTAGCATGCCAAAGATAAATCAAGTGTCCAAAAAGCTAAGGGAGTAGCCCCAGATTGTTCTGTAGAGTGGTTATGTTTCATATGACATACACCAATATGTAAAAAGTAGCCCCATATGTTAATTTAATGCTTTGATTCTAATTTTATTCATTGTCAGTACATTTTTTAACATTCTAGAACTAAGTTGAATATATGTATTCGGTTGTGAATTCTTGCTAAAATTACTAGAATCTTGTGTCAACATGAAAATTAAGTTTTTAATAAGAAAACAAAACTTTGGACCATGTGCTTTAGGGTTGTCTACATAAATTGTATATTATTATTCTTTGGTGAATCCCAAAATACACATTATCTGTTTTAGTATGAGAGCTGAATAAATGACAATAAATGATATATGAACAGTGTGACCCATTTCTCGTTGCAGACATATATGCCTGCCATGGCCAAGTTTACAGATTTAGCGGAGTTAGTGTCACAGATAGAGAAACCTAAACAAACAAAGAGGGCCAGCTTCTATGGAGAGAATGATGAAGATTATGAGGACGAGTCAGATGGTATGTCACTTTACAGTCTCAGTTAAACCTTGACCCTTAGTAACCCATATTGAGATCTTCCTTTTGATTAATTATGTTTTAATAGAGGATCTCTTTTTTTGGCATGCAAATGGTAAATTTTAGTATTGCCTTTTTAAATAAAAAACAAACATTTGTTTGATTTGATATTAAAATACAGTTTTCAACATTTCAGAAACATTTTGCTTTGATTTTGATTAAACTGAATAAACTTCCTGATTTTCAGATTCGCTCTCTGATGAAGTGCTTATTGAAGAGGATGAAGAGGAAGTAGAAAATGAAGAAGTAGCCAAACCAGTCTTTAAACCAGAAAGGAAATCATCCAACCAAGCCTCACATGTCACAGAGGTAACATACAAGGGGTGTTTGGAAATTATTGAGACATTCACTTTTACTCCATAAAGGACAGAGATAAATTCAGGAAAATTTGTCAACATTTAACGAAAAACATATTAAACAGTTATGCAAACTTTCTAATTTTTATGATAATTAGATAATTTCTGGTGAAATTATAATCATGCATATGTCTAAGAACCCTTAGCAGCATCGCTACGTCATTTTAACGTCACGTCAGCCGGAGATGTTTTTGCATGTAAAAACCATCGGGAAGCGTTCGCTCTTCTTTCTTTGTTATCATATACTAGTATTCCATATTAAAATCAAACTGTTTATTTTCTTAAACAATTCTTTAAAAAAAAATGTGCTGTTGCTTCACTTGTGTAATTTTGTCATGCGTCATATATACAGGATGATTTAGTCATGCAGTGCCCATTTATGCAACGAGGGTCAAAGTTTTTAATTCCGTAGCGGTAAGATTTGATGGTCGTCCGGAGCGTTTGATTATACTAGTACTTTGGTTGAATAATAGGTTAGAAAAAAATATATGCGTATGAAAAAACAAACCTTCGACGTGTTTTTCCTGTTGTCAATGTTTTAGCAGGTCGTTCAGTCTGAAAAAGAGTTTAATATAGCGCTACACAAAATTTTAGGTCTCTTGCTTCTCCGCCTTAACGTCAAAATCCATTTTGTCACCGTAATCAGATTTCTGTACCACGCTTATTTTTTTTTATGATCTCCATATTCCTGATCAGAATTATAACAAACTTAAACAACATGAAGTCAAAATGAAATGGAAAAATTATATACATAAATTGACTTGTTTTCGCTCTTATCATGGGTCCACCGTGGGGTTGAACGTTGGTGATACATATATATTGTTATAACAGTAACTTGATCCGAAGGGTCGTATCACGTCGAGTTGACAGTCGCGGATCATCAGATCAAAGCTTCGAGTTTGATCTGTGATCCGCGCCTGTCAACGAGATGATTTCTTCGGATGTTATGATGATAAATTTATTATATACCCCTGCATAACTAGCAAAATATAGCAAAATAAAACTTTAGAGATCAATTGTATAACATTTATCCATAAAACAAGGCAAAATAAAAAGGGACTTTTTAACGTGCAAGAAAAATAACGTCATGTTTCTGTGTACTACGTCATCAGTTTCAGAGAGTGGTGATATGGATTCAGACGTCATGTGATTGCATAAAATCAACAGTAAAATTGAGTGATACACATTAAGTATATAATAAATATTTTCAACATCTGATTTCGTGACTGCTCCGGGTACTCCTACCATTGACACATTTTAATGCCACTGAAGATAAGAAATTTGATATTTGTGAATTATATTCTGCTTTTATTAATTCTTAATGTTTGTCAAACGTATGAGCAAATTTTCACCGAAAGACGTTCATTCTAAAGAAAAATATACACATTGTCTCAATAATTTCCGAACAGCCCTCGTATATTAATCTGAATCGAGATTTTTCTTAGACACAGCAACACTTTTTTTTTTCGCGGCAAGAGGACTACTTATTTCAAGTAAAAAGTACTGTTCATTTTTAATTTTTTAGCTTCCAAGTGCCATCAGAAGGAAAAGTTCTGGGGGGAAATTTGTGACCTACAAATTGGACAAGTAAATCAGAGATCTCCAGGGACAGATTGACTGTGATAAGAATTTTTCTGTGATAAAAAAATTCAAAATCCAAGTAACAACAAGAGTGTTCCGGAGCATAACACTGGTTTTATTGAACATCTTTAATTGATCACTTATATTGAATGATATCTTAAAGTACAGTAAAAAACTCAGTTATTGGGGAAAATCCCCAATATTTCTTCCTTTAGTATAACCAAGATTTTTTTAATCAGTATAAGAAACATGATGAAAATTCTTTCAAAGGATTTTGTAGGTAAAAAAGTTCCGTATTCATAAATGAGATTGCTTTCTAAACAAGTTCTTTATTACTGAGTTTTACTGTACGGACCAAGATCTAATGCGGGTCTCTTAAACGCAGTGACATTAAAGGGTTAGATGTTCTGATATTGTTTTATCTGTGCTTTATCGTTTGCAGTGCTGTGTAATAAAATGTCAATGCTATAGTGTGCCTCTTGTTCTGCAAAGTCCAGTTTACAACCTTAAGTGTTCCTGTCAATGTGTATGCTCCAAAATATCAATGCAAATTATACCAACTGTGTATCTGTGTGTGATGAAAGTTTTTGTAATGGATTTATTAATTTTGATTTGTTAAGGTTATTCACATGTTTGTTTCTTTATAGATTGTAAGTATTGATAAAGTGTTTACCTTTACTAAATAATTTTAAACCAGATCTTATCATTGACTTCCAGTATCTATTAAAATGATTGATTACAGTATTAAATCTACATGGGACAAATCAATGGCATTTTATATATATACAGAATATCTACTTTGTGATGGTAATTTTTTTCATTTTTTCTTCCCTCATGCACATGGTTAAAAGATCCAACATGGGTTAAAGTATAGCTGCAGAACTGTACCTATACAAATTTATATATATTGACAGGCTGGAGAGCTACAGTGCCATGCATCGAAAAAAGTGTATATTTATTGTGCACAAAAAGTGCTTATTTTCTAGATTTTTTTCTCCACATTTTTCAAAATGCCATCTGAAATATTACCTATTACATGTTTTTCAAACCAGGAAGCTATGGATCTGCAGCTATATAAATTAGAGAATTGAAATGATGAATAAAATGACCAATAGTTGAATTCTGAATATTACTCACGTTTTTTACCCAATTCATTTAACGACAATTTCATTATGGCATTTTTGTTCTGTTTTGATGTTATGATTTTTATTCTTATTTTCTTTTTAATGAGTTGAGTGTTAATTGTTTTATAGTCACATGAACTACTCTTATTATTTACCTCATGTTTGATCAATCAAGTTTATGTAATAAATGCATTTTTAATGGCAACATAAAAGATACCGATACAGTACACAACATAGTGGTACTAGTTATACTGTACTGGAAACAGAGGGTCCACTTCTTTATTGTTTATATATCTGAAACTTTTGTGGAGAAAATTTGACAAAACAGGTTAATTTATTGAATATATAAAATAAACTTCCTTATAAAAGTACTTCACTCTTCAATGGTTATTTATGATTCATTGTAAACTAACTGTGTAGATTATCATACACAAAGATTTTTAATTGTGCCTTGTGTTTTGTTATGACCTTATTCATTGATAGTTATACCATATATACTCGCCTGTAAGTTGGTTGTATTTTTGAAGCTTGTATTGGACGGATTGACCTTCTAAAATACCAATCTTTTTATAACTCGCCTACAAGTCGGATGTAGAGTTTTAGACTAAAGTATCTCAAAAATCCAACTTTTCTTAGCTGAATAGACAGTGTCCTTGAAAAGATAAGTGAACCACAGTAACTACTTGAGCAATTGGATTTATTGAACAACAAAACAATTCATGTCTAACAAAAACTCAGTACAGACACTCCCAAAAATACATCCATTTAACCAACGTAAAAATATATTGTTTGACGACAGTAGTTTTTACAGGTAATCAAAACACCCACAAATGTGATTTAAATTCCTAATTTGAAAAAAAAATATTAATTGTGCACATCTTTGCTGCCACTTTAGAATGAAGACTTTCATTGTTATATCAATTTATTACATTTCAAAGTTGTTGAATGATTATCAAATATATAATGCATATGTTTTCTTTAAAAAAATACAACTACATGCAATTTGTTGTTAGTGTGCAAAATTAAAATGAAAGTATCAAAAAATTAAAACTTATGACAATAATTATCAATATACAAGGCAAAACTACTTGATATTCTACATGTTTTTTTCAAAAATGTGTATTAATTAATAAAAGTACCGCTAAATGAAATTCTTAGCTACTTGGTACAGAGTGCCAATTACGATATGTTGTAGATTAGAGTAGAAAACTATAATTAAGAAATCATCTATTTATATCATTATTATTTTAAGTTTTAGTTTTGGAGGGGGGGATATAATCATTGCAACTTCAGTATGTTGTAAATCTGGTGTAATTGGCTTCACTCTACATATTACTACTGTAAAAGGGAATAAGTTTTGAAAGTTCAATAACTTTGGTAAAGGGAGAGGAAACTTTGACAGTCTACTAGTCTACAGTTCTGTGATTTGAATGCAGATAAGTGGAAACATTGATAACTATAATGTTAAAAAAAATTGTTGATTTTGTCAACATTTCCAGAACATTTTACTATATTGGCTCAGATGTATATTGTATCTTTTATCATATGTTGAAGCTTAGAGAGGTATTACATATAAATACATGTACATGTATATATAAATATAATGTAAATTAATTTATATGTATATATAAATTTATATATTAATTTAATATTTTAAACTTCTTCATATATTTGACTTAATGCCACTAATTTACAAGCAAATACAATTGTATACACATAATGCTCAAGGATATGACATCAAAATGGCTTAACACAGCCTTGCACTGATCACTGTAGACAAGGTTTTAGGTACTATATATAGGCCTAACGTAACGTCCACAAATACCGGGATTCAATCAAGATTATACATTCATACCAAATAAAGGAAAATATGGCACTTTTTCTTGGAATCGTAATTCTTGTAAGATCAACTTGGCCTCAGACTTTGGCCTAAAACTAACCTGAGAGGCCTGGAAAATTAAAAATCCACATTCATTCATTTATGGTTATTACATAGATTTAATTTGCATTTATGATAGATTACTTAGAAATAATGCATTTATAATTAAATACGATACACCCTATAGCCAAAGCGATGAACCAACCAGACAAAAATTTCCTTATTTTCATAGGATATAACTGTATAAAATATAAGTAATATTCTATATATGAGAAACTAAGTCTGGACCCAGAGTTAATTGATTTTACAATTTCGGAAGAGAGCTTGTTGCTTTTTTATGATAATGAAAATGCTTTGCCTGATAGTTGTTCAAGAATAGAGAATATGGTTTGAAGACTGCATAAATTGTACATGTAACTGCTCCACAAATCCAAAAATTTCACAATTTTCACTCCATATATCCACAGACGTAACATATCAAAACAAATTACAATATACCTGTAGTTGAAGAGGGAAAAAAACGGACATTGTTAAAAACAATGAAATCACAAAAATGGTGTGTAATAAAGTTATCAAAGTCACGTCACCTGAGTTCTCCGAGTGACTTTTTATAGAAAACATTTTAGAAAGTGAAAACTTCAGTGCTAGTTAGCTAAACAACATCTTTTCAGCAAATTGTTAATAGTGTTCAAAAAAAAAATGCAACTTTAATACACACAACTAAAATATGTGAAAAAAGAAATGAATGTAATGGTAAGCATATAGCTGTACAGGTAATAAAGAATTAAATAAACTGAGGTAAGGTACAACAAAGAAATCATAATCAGCACAAATTGAAAACTAAAAATCTTATCTCTAAATAAATATTAATCAGTAGTTAACATAGCAAGTGTAATTTTGTTTAAAAACGGAAATCTTTTATTTGAAATACTTGTAAAGTTCCTTCATCAGTTGAGAAATTTCTAAGTCTGGATTGGATTGGAATATTTTTGACATGGTGGTAATATGCCGTTGATTTAAACCAATGAGTTCGCCAATGCGCAAAACCAACATGCCAAATCGCAGCTCCCAATTATTAAATTTTTCTGAAAATGAAAAAAAGAAAATGAAATTCAAGGACTGCAAATAATACACGGTAGTTTTATACATTTATTGACCGAGTTCAAGGGCAACATGAGTTTTGTCGGACCCAAGAGCCAAACTGTTTGGTTCAAGGGTCCACAAAATGCATTTTGCCTGAGAACACCATCAATTATTATTTTGTTATACCTTTCATTTTAATATTTATTTTGACATTCATGTATCTCGAACTGTCTTCTATAATGTAATCTGAGGTTAAACTCGGTCAAATACTAACAAATGCAAATGAGATTTAGCTCCACCCATTTTGTGACGTAAGCGGTCCAACATCTCATCGATAGGTCCAACATCTCACTCAGCAGTCAAACATTATACATTTATTGACTGAGTTCGAGGGCAACATGCATTTTATCGGACCCAAGAACCAAACTGTCTGCCAGAGGCCATCATGCCAAAGGTAGACAGTTTGGTTTGAGGGTCGACAAAATGCATTTTGCCAGATAGTCAATAAATGTTTAATTTGTTATACCTTTTAATTTTTATTTGACACACAAGTATCATGTACTGTCTTCCATAATGTAAACCTCAGGTCCGTCACTGTTATACATAAATGAAAATGAGATTAAGCTCCGCCCATTCTGTGATGTACAGTAAGCGGTCCAACATCTCATCAACCGGTCCAACATCTCACTCAGTGGTCTAACATCGATTTTTTATGCCCGCTCAGCAAAACATTAGAAATGTTACTCTTTTTATGTATAGATTTGTATAGGAACAAATTCTTAAAGGTATAACAACGTTCAATGTCTACCTCTTGGTCAAAGTCAAAGTTATCATTTTTTAATAATTTTTTTTCATTTATAGGTATTCCTATTAACTTTTAGAAAGACTGAAGTTGTAGATATGGGCTGTAAAATGTTGACATTTGTACCCAAAGATTTTGAATGAGCAAGGTTTACATACTTTCCTCATATTCTTCTAGGAAGGACATTAAATTCTTCTGTGCCTCTTCAACACTTTCTCTTTTCTTTAGACTCAGTGCATCTGCAACATATGTTTTAGGTAATCTCTTGTTATATTTTCCTGCCATTGGGCTGATTAATGTATAAATATAGTAAGATACATCATATTTTTTTCTAAATGTTAAGGAATCAAAATACAGTTCTTAATTTAATACTTTTATACAAATTCAGGGAGACACTTGAGTACTGTGGCTAGGAATCAAAGTACTGAGACAGTACTGAAAGACAGGCTCAAAATAATCTTCCTGCTAGATACACAAATGTGATTTTTTAAAATAGTTTTGAGAACAACTGATTTTTTTTATTATCAATTAACACACTAAAATAGAACTTGATAATATATCTTCACATTTTTCATTTATAAGTCTATAAACCTTTTTTGTATTGTCCGAATTCCACTGTGTCCAAATTAATAGTTTTTCAGAAGTAAACAATGGATGATGCACATGCAGTTGTAATACTACACAGTAGAGTACTTTCTTTGTTTACTAGTGTGATTTACAATTAATATTTTCAGTTTTAGATTTTCAAAATGCTTTATTGATTTGAGTAAAAAAAAGTTCATATCACTTTCTTCAGTTTGATACAAAATGTTTGTATTTCAATCGATCAAAACAATTTCTGCACTCTTTCATATAGCGTAGATTTAATTCATGTGTTATCACCATGGCTTCCGTTTTGAGGCCTCGGACAGTAAACTAATAGATAGGGTCACGTGACCCCGTCTAAAAAAGCCAAAATGAGTGTAGTATTGAAAAGCTTAAATGCATTAAGTGGTCCCGACCTACCCCTAAGGGATTGGGGTATAATTTGAATAAAATTGAATCTACAATAACTAAGGATGCTTACATATTTCTTGACTGTGACATTTTTCCTCAACTTTCATTGTGGTAATACCCTACCCCTGGAGGACATGATTTGAACAAATCCCCCTTACATATTTTTTGACTAACTGTGACTTTCCCAAACTTTCATTGTGGCCACATCCTACCCTTGGGGGTCATGATTAGAACAAATTTGAATCTACACTAACTGAGAATATTTCCATATGAATATGTCCAATAATAAGCTTTACTGTTCTTGAGAAGATTTTTAAAAAAAATTTCATATACTATATACTCCTATGAAAAACTTTGATCATCCATTGTGGCCCCACCCTACCCCCGGGGGTTATGATTTGAACAAACTTGAATCTACATCACCTGAGATTGCTTCCATATAAATATGACCAATCATAGCTTTGCTGTTCTTGAGAAGTTTTTTTATTTTATTTTTCCTATATACTCCTATGTAAAACTTTGATTGCCCACTCTACTCCCGGGGTCATGATTTGAACAAACGAATCTACACTAACAGAGGATGCTTCCATATAAATATGACCAATCATAAGCTTTGCTGTTTTTCAGAGGATGAATGATTTTTAAAAAAAATATCTTTCCTATATTCTCCTATGTAAAACTTTGATCATTCATTCTGGCCCCAACCTAACCCACTGAGCCATGAATTGAACAAACTCGAATCTACAATATCTGACAATGAATCCATATGAGTTTCATCTTTCCTGGCCTATTGGTTCTCAACAAGATTTTTCAATGATGCCAGTCATTTTTCGCTAATTTATAATAATTATCTCTCCTTGGAGTAGGGTGTGGCCCTTCATTAAATTTTGAACAAACTTGAATCTCCTTTACCCAAGGAAACTCTTAGCTGCAGAACTGTAGCTCTCCGAAAAGTATGTATTCACAAATCGGAGAGCTACAGTGCCACCCACTGAAAAAACTGTATATTTATTGCGCAAAAAAAAGTGTGCTGTTTCTCAATTTTGTCCTCTATGTTTTTAAAACTGTCATCTCAAAATATTACTAACTGTGTGTTCCTAATATATTCTTTCACTGTTTCCACAACAAAACATTCCTTTATAATTGTTTATAATAGCCCTCCTGGCCCTGAAATTGAGATCATCGAAAAATTTGCCTATTTATACTGCCATTTTGGTTTGCAAGATCGGTCCAAGGCACTGTGTACTGATGTAAACTACAAGAGTACTTGACAGAGGAGTAAGGACTTTTTTGAAATCTAGCTTTTTTGGAGGAATTAATCCAGAACCGAGCACACTATTTGGGTGGCACTGTAGCTCTCCGGTCTGTCAAAAAAAAATTTGGAGAGCTACAGTTCTACTGCTAGGAAACTCTATACCAAGTTTGGTTGAAATTGGTCCAATAGTTCTGGAGGAGATGATAAGATTGTAAAAGTTTATGACAAAAACAACAACAACAGACAATGGACAAATTTCAGTGTATATGGCAAGTTTGGGGAAAATCTACTATCAAGGTATTTTTAAAGGACCGTCTCAAAATACAGGTACATTTACTATATGATTATATAGGAAAATACCAATTTTTCGCACTTTAAAGCAAATTATACAAATACTATAGTAGACTTTTTGCTCAAACTATAATACATGTTTTTTGATGAGTTATACTATATTGCACATTATGTATAAAAACCACGATGTTCTACCATCTTGTTTCCAGAGAGGGCATCTCAAAATGCCAAAAATTAATGATTTTTCTTGTTTTATAGAGTGCTACGTGATATGACGGATACAAAGGATTTATACCAACAAAAAAAATAGAGAGATTCTGAAATTTCTCAGTTTTAAATTTGAAGGGCATATATTTATTACTTTTAATTTTGTAACACTTTTATTACCTCTTCTCTATGAGCTTCATGTTATCTTAACGTCAAAAACACACTATAATGACCTCAATCTACCTATCAGTTGAAAATTCGTTGAAAAATCAGTTATATAAAATTGTAATTAAATTTTTCAACCTGCAATTTCTTAAATTTGCTAAATTTTTTAATTAAGGGAAAAAATTGATTAAAAATGGTACATACGCTTCATTTTACTATGATGTGCAGAATAATGCGCAATGGAAACCCCCGTCAGCCCCCTAAAAGTGTCAATTCTTTGATCTATTCATTCTTTTACCTGCATTGAAGGTCAGTAACCCGGTCAAGCATGTTATTTCCACTTCATCAAATGCTACTGTCTTCAATAAATTCCCCACGTATAACAGATCTTCTGAAACAGCTTTGAATTCTGGGAAGCAATCAAGGATTATCTTCTCTTCATACTTTGTGCAGCCAAAGAAACAGTAATCCTTAGTCTCCATATTAAATCTACGTGACAGATTTAATATTCCCACCGAGTATAAACAATCTTGGACCAAAGCTATTCTGTCATCCAAATCCAGGATTCTAAAGGCTGTAAGGAAAATTAAAATTAAATTTTCTGAAAAAAAAATATCCTATTTTTATGCAAGCTTAATGAATGACAGGAGAGTTTTTCTTTTGATCAGGATGTTCTTAAATGACAAAGTACCACAAAAACCACTTATTTTCTTAGGGTCAAATATTTGCGGTTTGAGAAAAATTTACTGGTTTGAAGAGAGAGAAAGACCTAATTTGTATCCTTACCTGGGAACATTTTTAATGCAACTACAATTTGTGAGGCATTATAGGTGAATAAATCATTTATTATTTTCCAAACTGCAGTCTTGCAATCAAAGCCTTGTTGAAAAATTTCATCATATCCATCTCTCTGTAAAAAAAAAATAATTAAAAAGTGAAATCATTACCCCAATATTTTCAATTCAACATGCTTTTTTCCTTAATACGTAACTACATATTGGTAAGTAAAACAAGTAAATTTGATAAGAAGAAGGGCATTCTTTTTAAAGTGATCACATGTATGAGTCTTATTTTTTATAATTTAAATATAATAACAAAACAGACATGTTGGCGGACAACAGTGGCAGAATTTATGAAATCTACATGTATGTTGCAGATAGGAAAAATATTACATTTCAACATACCGGTATTATATGTAATTTTATCTGATCAACATCTAAGGGTTGCCCTAAAAAGTTGTACACAAAGTACCGGTATCTAACTTTCTAAATGTATTTCATTTTGCATTACTCTCAGTTATTTAATGCCCTTCAAAATAGTGAATTCTTAAATGAATATATTTTATTAATAATAAATGTTGGAGATACATATTACATATGGAAGGCATCCCCTTAGAATGACAGACAGACATACAGATGGAGTTAAATGAATTCTAAACTGCTGCTGCCATGCAAGAAATAAAGTTACAGTTTTTAAATACACGTACAGATCCAACTTTTTGTAATGCTGTGTCGATGTCTTCAATATTTTGTTTCATTCTGTCAAACTGCTCTATCTTTGAAGATGTATTAACCTCACAACTCAGGAACCAGCTACTGTCATAACCATCTGATTTTACTTGTACACAAGAACTTTTGCTCCATCTTACATCAGAATCTTCCGGTTCATCTTTAACTCTTATACTCTGCCCTATATTACTTTCTGTTGATTCAGTTATCTCCACTGATTTATAGGTAAAAGTCTGTTCTGGATCATTTCCTGAGATTTCTACATCAGCGTCGACAGAAGGAGGTGAGGTGAAGAAGTCCATATCCGGGTTATTTAAACTCTTGAAATCTATGACCTTCCTATCGCTTACACCAGCAGAATCTGAACTCTTTCCTTTTTGAAGTTCAAGGTTGATGGCATGCTTCACTGAATTTGGCTGTCTTCCTATTCTGCTTGCTAAAATTAAAGAACAAAATTTTTTAAATCGGTTGAAGACAATTTAACTCTAAGACATTAAAGAAACAGTAGCTCTACTGGATTCAATCTAATTTCCAGTAATGGTTAACTTAAACCAACAAAAACACACGACTAAAGCGACATCTTTGCTAGCCATGGGTTTCCGATCTGAAATCTACTCTACAACTTTTTTTGTAGAATAGATTTCGGATCGGAAACCCTTGGCTAGCGAAGATGCTAAAGCGACAGAAACATAAATATGCAGCTCGAAAACTTTTTTTAAGAATGTACAGATGACTGAATTTGATTGGCCAAATTTTTAATGCTAATTCATAAATGTCAGATTGAATAGCCCCGTTTAGACTGTTAGATGTTTTAGAAGCATCAGTGGATTCAGAATGTGTATTTATGAAAAACATTAAACTTTTACCCCCCTAGGTGATTCCACCTTATCCCTAGGTGTCATGATCTGAACAAATGTTTGCATGTGTCAAACAGAAACAGATAGCATGTCAACCAAGTTACCTAGTGACCTCATTTTAATTTTAATTCAGGTCAACTTGAAACAATAAATTTCTTTTTACCTTCTACAGACATTCCAATATCAAGACACTTTTGGTAGCGACAGGCCCTGCATGTATTTCTTGTTCCTGAGGTGACTTCACAATTCCTAGATTTTGAGCAGTGGAACTGTTTCCTTCCATTTTCTTTAGCTATACGTCTGAAAAATCCCTGAAATGAATTGATATAATATGCTAGTGAGTAATGAAAAACTAAAGCATAATTATTATCATTTTGAAAACTACTCTTAGTTTAAGGTTTGAGAATTTCGATTTACAGTCTTATCTGTTATCTAGCTGTTTCAGCAAACATTATGTTTAATTCTCATGCATAACCATACAAGACCACATCATTCTTTTGCAGGTTTGTGGTCAAGCATGCTGACAAAAAAAGTTTTGCTAAATAGAAAGAATATACAGTGCATCTTTTATTCCCACAAATTAGACATAGCTTAATTAGGACCTAAGCCCCTATTCTACGACCTACATTTTTCATACTTTGATAAAGGGTAATTTCTTTTACATGGTAATATACATCATATGTATTAGTGTCATATCATATCATAGTGTCATGCCAGTACTGCTGTAAAAACTTCCCTCATTTAAAATATAAACGTTTTGTCTGACAAGCTTTAAGTCAAAGAACACAGTTGGTATAAAATATTCTTGAGGACTATCCGACTTGTACCATATAAGAGAAAAATAGCACTTGGACTTGTACCATATAAGAGAAAAATAGCACTTGAACATAAACATTTTTTTTTAAATTTTAAATTTAGAGAATTTTGGGCAAAAGAGAGGAATTGACATATAATACAGTAGAGAATGGCAAAGCTCATCTTGAAATTATGCCATAGAGTATCCCTCATGTTAACAAAACTTGGGGATGAAACCAAACTGTTTGTATAAGACTGATTTTAATCTATGATATTGATGAGATTTTAAGGATTTTTTTTTAAATTTACATTTAATGTTACATTTAATGTTAGAGACAAATTAACCCACACAGGGCGCTGTTATTTCCTTAATTAATAAAGCATATCTTTTCAGCAGATCAAAGGAACTATTTCTAATTAAAAACATTATAAGGATTCCACTGGAATAGAGATAGAAGTGATTCATTGCTTTAACACACACATACTGTTCATTAGACTAAAATCCATCCATGACAATTCATTTTTGTGAGGAAACACATAAATGAATAAATGGTTCAGAGTAAGAAAAACTCAGATATTTGTCACATTCCAATAAGGCTTACAGAATATACTGTATACAGGGAAATCCCCCCCCCCAATTTTATTTTCGCCCAATTTGCGACTGTCACAAGTGGGCGAACTTAAAATGTGGCAAATTTTAAGAACACAGTATATTTTCTTAAACAGAACTGTGAATAGGTGAATTTAAAACAGGGTAAAATTGTTAGCAAGTGTAAAAGGACGAAAACAACACTGGGTGAAAATAACCCTGTTTACAGTAGCAAGATTAAGGACAGATGATACAAACAAATTTTTTCTTTGAAAAAGATTAAATATCATGTCACAAGTTTAGAAAAATGGATGATTCATAGAATTTTTTCTCCGACGAACTGGAATATGAAAAAGACTTGGAAAATATTAGTAATATTTCAATGAAAAAACAAATATAGACAAATCAAATTCAGTAAAGGTTTACAGGTGAAAATTAATTTCAGAATATGCTATCTTGGAGCTAAAAGTGTAATATAAACGAAAGAAAAATATACCGAACCAGGCGAATTTTATTAGGAAAAGCTAAATGGTAAAAATCAGCCTATGTTATATTGCCAATTTTTTGTCATTTCGATCTTCCTCTTGAAATTCACCTGGCTTGGTATATTTTTCTAAATATTAGGGTAAAATTGTTAGCAAGTGTAAACATATTCTGAAACAAAACCTTTACTGAATGTGATTTGTCTATATTCGTTTTCTTATTGAAATATTACTAATATTTTCCAAATCTATTTCATTTTCCAGTTCTTCGGAGAAAAAATTCTAGGAACCGTCCACTTTTCTAATCTTGTGACATGATATTTAATCTTTTTCAAAGAAAAAATTTGTTTGTATCATCTGTCCTTAATTGACCTCTAATTCCATAAGATCTGAGGTAAAACTTAACACATTCCCCATACCTTACATCCTTCACATGTTATTGCACCAAAATGGAACCCTGAGGATGAAGCGCTGCACACCTGACATGGAATGTTACTGATACCATTTTCTTTCCTGTCTATACTCTCTTTCTGACCTGCAAACCACAATGAGGACATTAAAATTTACCACTTTGGGTTACAACTAAAACCTTTTTCTTTGTTCTTAATGACATTTACACACTAGTGTGAAAATCTGCATGTTCCTAAAAGTGCTTGTGATACATACATGTATGATGAAGAAAATTAAAGAAGAGTCATACAGACAGACAGACAGATTGGCAGATAACTACACATGTATTTAATCACATTAGCTATTTGAATTTTTTCTTAGCATTTTACTAACCTGGAATACTCATGTTAAAAGAGAGACATTTCTGGAACCTGCAGTACTGACATTGGACTCGCGACTCTTTTGTAATTTTACAGTTTTTGTCCTTGAGGCAGGTGTATTTCATTTTCTGCTGCCTTGAAGCTCTCATGAAAAATTTCTGAAAAAAAAGGAAAAGTTAAAGGATTAAACTTTTTTCTGAATAACAATGAATGAAATTTAGATAGTGAATTAAACCTGTACAGTTTCAATGTGTATCAAACTTTGGTGCAAAATCTGAATGGTGACGTATGAATATCCCTTTTAATTACAGAAATTCTAAACACAGTAAAATATGTTTCTACGGAATTGAGAAAAACATGTGTTGTACAAGATGAATACTGTTAAATCACAAATTTTTGTGGGGGTTTAATTTTCGTTGTTTTCGTGGCAAGAAGAGACCCACGAATTCATGTCCATCACAAAATGTAAAATATAACATGCATTTGTATTCCACAATACTTCACCCACGAAATCAAATCCCAATGAACCAAAATTTTTTCCTCAAACCACGAAAATTTAACTCCACGAAAATATGTGATTTTACAGTATCTTCATTTTCAACATAGGGTACCAGCCATTCACCCCAAAGGAAAAATTTTAGAATACAATGAAGACTAGAAATCATTGTTGCTTATTTTCAGCTGGAAAATGTGAACAAAATGTTCTACTAATATTTACATGCACTTAATAAAATGTTACAGTAGGATTCTTCTCTGGTTTCTGACTAGATGAAACATTTAAAGTATATTTGCTTATATGTCTTAGAGATTTAGGTGTAAGGGATTTAAAAGACCATATTTTTCTTTCCTCATCAGAATTGCACAACTTTAAATAGAAATGGTAAACTGCATTTGAAAAATAGCAGGGACTATATTTTTGGCGGAATGATGGCATATGTTAATATCTTCTTTTCTGCCTCTCAAAATTATAACAGAATTAACAAATTTAGTTACAATTTTTAGACAATCAAAGACTTGCAGAAATTTTCAAATGTAACTTAGATTAGTAATAAGGGACTAAACTTTCAAAATATATCAAATAAATATGGTTTTTCAAACAAACCAGAACTATGTTAGCTTTTAAACGCTTCCAATCAAATTACAGAATTGAGCCAAAAATCCATAAAAAGTATTTTTTCTCTCTTAGTAAACCATCAAATTTTTTGTTTTTGTATCATTTTGTACATTTAAAAGACTACTTTATTATATGTGAAAATAAGAAAAAGTTAAATATAGGAAGCATACAAAAATAACTAATATATCCTAAAAAATTAAGAAAAACAGAGAAAATTCGGATTAGCCAATATCCAGTTTAGTTAAATTATTCATGTACATTTGGTAATATCATGCTGTAGAACCGATATAGTAAAATCTTTTTATGCAAAAAGAACAATCTTTAAACTTTTGAAATAGAAGTATGCATCACATGATTGGCAACAGCATTATTTTATTCATTATGTCAAGGAAAAAGATAATGACCTTGACCTGACCTTGCCTCTAATATGAAACGGTCAAATTTAATCTCACTGATACTATCACTTACTGATATTGTCTTCTTGATTCTGTGAAAATTTCATTAATTTTTAAATACAAGAAATATGAGAAGAATCCTACCTTAAGAATGCTTGAATTGATAGCAAACTGTGTAGTATACTGTCAGTGGTGTCAATCTTTCACTCGAAAACTTAAGGCAGAATAGTGCAGTGATTATATAGACAAACAACAAAATCTTCCATGAATGGCAAATCTATACAAAATCCCCCCAAATGTCCTAAATTTTAGGCAACATTTCCCGTCTGTAATGTAACTACCTTCCAAAGTTTGAATAATGTTGATAGAATATCCATTCAAAAGTTTATGTTAGAAGCACAATATTTTGTTGGGATATAATTCTACTGATTTGTGATCTAATAAATAAATGAAATTTAATCCCTAATATTTACATTTGGAAATGTGTGCCCTTATATAACACTATTTGAACAAGGCGTTTTTACTTCTCGGTAAAACATGTTTGTCGTGTGACTATAAATTGATTGTTTAGTCATAAGCTATCTACATAATTTGATAGTGACGTCATAAGTGATTGACATGTTCAAATTATACCGTTGAGTTTTTAAAAATGTAAATCTCTTATGGATTTAAAACTTCACTGCCTTACTATTTTTAATAAATTAGTCATAAATGCAAATAAAAGTAATAGGGTATCATTTTTTTAGTTTTATTGGGATGTAAAACGGGTTGGCACATGATCAAATCCCATAAAGCCTGAAGGGCTTTATGGCAGATTATTGGCATGTGACCAACCCGTTTTACATCCCAATAAAACTCAAAAAATGATACCTTATTTCTTAAATAAATATTTGTGCTTTTTTAATGAGAAAATCATAATGTTTTCATAAGAAAAAGTAAACAAAAGGCCCATGGGCCATAACGTTCACCTGAGTAATGGCCACATTGTTCTTCATAAGATTTTCCCCCTTGTAATACATATTGTGGCCCCACCCTACCCCTCTGGGGTCATGATTTGAACAATTTACAATTAACACTAACCTAGGGATGCTTCCACATAATTTTTGACTTTTCTTGCCCAGTGGTTCTGAAGGATTTTTCCTACGTATTTCAATATTAATACGGTTTCCCTATTGTGGCCCCAGTCTATCCTATGAGGGGCATGATTTGAACAGTCTAAATTCTACACTACCCCAGGATGCTTTCACATAAGTTTCAGCTATTTTGACCCAGTGGTTCTTGAGAAGAAGATTTTTACTGACCCACCACCCTCTTTTGTCTTTTCTTATAATTTCCCCTTGTAAAGGGGGGGGGCTTGACCCTTCATTTTAACAATTTTAACTCCCCTTCACTCAAGAATGCTTTTTAATAAGTTTGGTTAAAATTGGCCTAGTGGTCCTTGAGAAGAAGTTGAAAATGTGAGAAGTTAACAGATGGATGAACGGACAGACTTGCAATGGACAAATGGTGATCAAAAGAGCTCATTTGAGCTTTCAGCTCAGGTGAGCTAAAAAGATAATGTAAAAAGCTTCAAGACTACAGACATAAAGACAGATGATGGACTCTTTGATCAGATAAGCTAAATTAAGCCTTTGATTCAGGTGAGCTATCTTCACAAGTCTGACATACCTTGAAATTCTACTGACACAGAAACGTATCTATTTAGGGTCTAGAGACGATTGATATTTTTAGATCAGTGTCTGTGATTACATCCATAAATCTTGTCTTGATGGATCATAATGTTCAATTAAAATCAATTTTTCTAACTATATATACCTTTCAATTCTTGACTGCTATGCAATAATATAAACTTAAGTTAAACTTCTACAGGAGAAGAACATGCTGCTAACCTAAATGCTAATTCTGTGCTAGATTAAATTTTACATGAAAAGATTGATTGACTATCCTGACGAATTAAATTAAAATTTCATATTTAAGCAATAAAAGATCAGGCTTTCGGTAATAAAAGTTTATAGTCTCGTTTAAGAATCATTCCTTATGTTGAATAAAGGAGGGATTCTTGTCTTGTTTCCGACTGAATTAAATATTCAAAGTATTTTTGCTTATATATCAAAGATACATGTATTTATTTAGGGTCTAGAGATGATATTTTTGCTTACATATTTGGATGTCAGGGATTTAAAAGTCCATATTTTTCTTTCCAAATTGTATAACCTTGACTAGAAATGGTAAAATGAATTTGAAATCTAGAATGGACTATTTCTTTTTTGCATCCAATTTTTAAAAATGCTACTTCTCCCACTGTTTGCTCTATTTCAATAATATGTGGTATAAACAAGTATAGACTACACTAATTTACACATTAATTTTGTTTTAATATTGAACAGACAGCTTTGTAATATACAGCACTTTTAGGCAAATACTGATTATTCACCCACAACATATCACACATTTAAATCAAATTTTGATTCAGAGATTTTTTTTAACATACTGGAATCAAAACAAAAATTAAAAGATGTATCAAAGTAACATTGTGAGTTACTTTACATAATGTTCTTGAATTTAACCAGAGGAACACCAACTATTGAAATAAACAAGAGACCTTTGAGCCACTGCTGCCACTGGACATATTCAATTTGACATACAATTTTTCTGTTGTCAAAATTTTCACGAAACATCATAATGCCATTACTTGCAAACATGATAAACAGACAAACAAAAAATAACCATTATATTTATGATATATTGCTGTAAAGTAACATTTCTAATAAAACTACAGCAATGCTCTAGCATCTGTTGGGATTGTGTGACTTCAAAGGTAAAAAAAAACATATATTTTTTTCCTTAATTTCACCTTACTTAAAGGTCAGAGTAATCTTTAAGTAGGATGTGACAGATGCTCTGAGGATCCTAGGTCTAATAGTTTTCTAGTTATGAGGTTGACAGGATTTTGTCATTATGACCATATCAGCTTAATTAATATTATAATTAAAGGAGACAGGAACCTACTACTGATGTGCAACACACCTTCTACCCAAGATGCATCAGATGATGCTAAGTTTGATAATTCTAGTTCTCATAGTATTTATGAGCTGGACAAGAAAAGGCAAAGTGAGATATTGAGACAGACAGCTAGAGAGATGGACATGATCGCCATACCATAATATGTCCAATAAGAGAGGCAGGTGTATTTATATAAAAAAAACCCAAAATAAATGGACATTGCTATTGCTCAAGCTCGTTCATGCAACTTTTTTGGGCTAAGAAAAACAAGAGGCCCATGGGCCACATTGTTCATCTGAGATAATATGGCCCTGCTGTTCTTCATTGGCAGATTTTTTTCTCCTATATATTTCTATGTTAAACTTTGATACCCAGTTGTAGCTCTACCCTTCCCCTATATGTCATGAAAACTTTCTGAGGATGCTTCCATATCAGTACGACCAATCATGTCTTTGCTGTTCTTTTGAATATAAAGACATTATAGGATTTGGTTCCATTCTTTCCCTGGAGGTTATGATTTGAACAAATATAACCCTGCACTATCTAAAGATGCTTCTTCCATATTGATATCACCAATCATGACTTTGTTCTTCTAGGGAAGGGGATTTTTCCTATATTCCTTTTTAAAACTTTGATCTCCCAATGAAGCCATTCTCTTTTCCCAGGTCTAATGATTTTAACAAATTTGAATCTACACTAGCTGAGCAAGTTTCCATATCAATATGACTAATCATGGTTTTGTTGTTCTTTAAGGAAATTTTGAAAAAGATTTCTTCCCCTATATAATAATATGTAAAACTCGGATCCTCCATTATGACCCACCCAGGAATCAGGATAATCTACACTAGCTAATAATGCTTCTATACCATTATGCATAATCATTTATTTGTTTTTCTTGAGAGAAGAATTTTAAAGACTTCTTCATTCTTACGTAATTTTGAGCTGCCATTGTAGCCCCATTCTATCCCTCATACATGCCAACTTTCCCGATTTAGGCGGGATCCTCCCGATTTTACCCTTTCATCCCGCTTTCCCGATCGTGAGAGAAAAATTGCCCCAATTTCCCGATTTGAAAAAAAAAATCACCAAAATTTCCGATTTTAAAAGTTTCCCTACCGCTGAATTTTGACAATCGGGATAACAATGTCAGACTTGTTTATTCAATGCACACAGACAAGTTTCATTGTTTATTTAACCAGGTGTTAAATCACAGGAAATCACTTCACGCATAAACGCACGCAGTTGTCCAGGTACAAGTAGCTTATAGCTTGGGGCAATTAGGGATTATCTTGTCAGTTTTAAGGGGTATGCAAGGTGAAACACATAGATTAACGTGATAATTGTTAGTTCTTTTATTAAAAACATGAATTAAAGACAATAAAACACTAGTCAACCCATAAAATCGAATCCAAAGAGATCGTTTTTTTTTTTGAAAATGAAAGTAGAAAACTACAAAGCATAGCTGCTGATTTTATCTACCTATAATGAAAAATATTGTAAAGTTTGGCAGTTAAAATATTATGAAAAAATTAAGATGAAACAATCAAGTGTATGTCAATTAGAATTTCTTTTCCCTCCATTCTCCCAATAGTAATATTGTATGTTAGGTATGTGCATGACTTAAGGAAATACCCACATGGCACCATCAAACCTGACAAATTTCATGACTGTAAAAAAAAATTCTCTCTTGGATAGGTGGTATAAATTTCTGTAAATTTAGTATCATATTAGAATTTCTAATTAATTGAAATATAAATAAAATGTGTCAAAAATGTTTACAGAAACAGGAATTTACAGTATCAAAACGCTCATATATTTTTTAGCCTTTGAAAAAAAAATGATTTAAAAGTTGTACAATTTTCAATTTTTCACTAAATAAAATATGTGTCCTGGTAGAAAAATTATGTTGTTTACATATGTAAAACTCTCCCCCATTATGACTAAATACCCCTTCTTTAGTGAGAGAGGCACCTATTTTAGAAAAAATATTTCAATTTTGGAAAGAAATTAAAACATCATTTTTTGTGTTAAATTAATCCTTAAGTTGTATTGATAAGTGATATCAATATTATAAATAAAAAAAAAGATAATTTCATAATCATTTAATTTCTCTGCAAAATGTCGCGAATTTAAAGCTTTGAAAATTGTCGTCACGCGCTAAATCCCCCATGGGAATTTTCAAAAGTTGGCATGTATGATCCCTGGGGGTCATAATTAAAGAAAATGAATCTACCTTATGTAATGAAGGTTTCATCTAATGCCCTGTTCACAAGGAGAGTTTAATTCGCAGTAAATTAATGCAAAGTAAACTAATGCGAATCAAAGTAATGCGAAATTAAATTGCGTTCATACGACAATGACAGCTAATGTGAAGTAAAGTAATGCAAATTAAAATTTAAGATTTTGCAGCCCGGAGTCAGCACGGCTTTTATGACATCATTTGCAAATCAAGTCACAATATGCAGAAGCAAATCCATTTGACATAATGGCAAAGTGTCTGTATACACATTTTAATGATTAACAAAAGTTTCCTTAATTTTTCACTCAAAAAATAGCACAAGTACCTATAGCTGACCACCGACGAGTGGAATTTGACTAAATTTTGCCATTACGCATGCGTCAGAATTTAATTCGAAATAGCTTCACTTAGCGTTCACATGGAGCTAATGCGAGTAATATAATGCGCAGTAAACTAATTCGAATTAAACTAATTCGCATTAAATTCTCCGTGTGAACGCTAAGTGAAGCTAATTCGCAGTAACTACGTTTAATTCGAATTAAACTCTCCGTGTGAACAGGGCATAAGTTTCAATCTATCTGGCCCAGTAGTTTTTGAGTAGATGTTTTCACTTATTCTTAAATTATCTCATCTTGAAAGAGGGAACAGCCTTTGATTTTCACAAATTTGAATTTTATTCACTTAAGGATGCTTTGTGGAAAGTTTGGTTGAAAATGGTCAAGTGGTTTTTAAGAAGGAAGTTGAAAATGTGAAAAGTTTACAGTTGGCCAAACAGACTGGCGCCAGACGAAATCTGATCAGAATAGCTCAAGTGAGCTGAAAAGGTTTGAATCCAATACTTATTATAAAAATTTTACCTTGCAAGCCTCACAGACGAATGCTCCACAATAAAATCCTGCTGCCTTATCCCCACAGACCTGACATGGATTCTGCGTCCCTAACGCCCACCGTCTCTCTTTTTTCAGTGATGTCTCACTCAATGCAATGGTACTATCTGCTTCCTTAACCTGGCACTCAAACTTATACACATCTTCATTCTCTATGGATAGTAATGATTTTATGTCTGTTACAGATGTGCTTAAGCTTTCTATAGGCGGTGGACTTGTAGGTCTTATTCCATTTTCTCTTATACTAATACACAATTCGTTGACTTCAACTTTTTTATTGATCCTTTCTATAAGTTGACCGACACTTAGGCCATATCGGAACCCTAGCGATGACTTTGTTTTACACAGACCTTCAGTTCTGGTCACTAGTTCATGAGGTCTGGTTGGAGGCAGCGTACTGTATACTTCTGGTATACTTCCTTGATACAGATGTGAGAAGTATTTCTTGGGGTGTAGAATTTCATTGGCATTGTCCATGAAGTCCAGCTGTACTGTAGCAGCCTTCATGCCTCTCTCCAAAACCTTTAAAAACAAACAAATTATAATCTTAAATCAGCAATATTAATTTTAAGTATTTCTAAATATCCAAGCTAAATTACCAATTATTCTTATTTACTATAAGAAAGAATAGATATAGCGAAGGAGAAACTTTTTTGATCTTTTGACGCATAGCAGGGTAATATGCAGCTAGTCATATTGATATATTGTAGATCGCTAAATTTTCACAGCTTCTTTGAGTGAGATCGACATTTACTATAGATCACAAAATTTTCATCCCACTTTATTTTCATGAGATAGTCATTAACTCGATCTTCATTAGTGAAACAAAATTTTCACAAATTGTGGATACTGCTCAATATAATCTTTAGAAATACTAATATTACAGGAGAATAACATTTTCACAAGTACACCATCTCAAGCAAGTACACTATCTCAAGTATTAATTTCTAGAAAATAAAATTCTCCATATAAAAACTGATAATAATATTTTCGTGAACATTCTGTTTCACATAATTACATGAAAGAAATTAAAATAAAGCTTTCACATATATAAAAAAATATTTTACAGTACAAATAGTCCAGAAGTTATGCATCCTCATAATGTCAACTTGTTTTGTGATATGGAACTCGAAAAATGGAGTTCCAAAATCATAAACACTTAACATTGTGAGGATGGGGTTTCGTAGAAACGACTGACAAATTTTGTTTATATATGGTTAGTTCAGTTTCAGTTCAATTTTTCTTAATTTTCATTTGGGCATGATTTTTGTACTAAGTATTAACTATTAGAATCTGTTTTATGAAAAAATTGGTGTCTAAGTGTGGAATTTACAGATGACGACGATTACAGTATTAAATATATTACAACTGAAATGTACCACTAAATCTATTTCATCTATGACAAAAAATTGTCAAAAAAGGATGGGATAAATATGTTATCCATAAGATTTATTTCTTCTAGCGTCAAGAATTTAAGTCATCATGCTCACTTTTACAAGTAAAGAAGATTGATGAATGAGCCAAATAAATGTCTATTGTTCAACAAGTAAAAATCTCACTTATTACACAATTTGTTTTGTTATTTCAAATCATATCATTAAAAATGAATACTCTATATAAAATCTCCAAAATATGCAAAAATCTCACAACTGGTAAAATTATTTTTTCAAAGTTTAAAAAGTACTGTAAAACGAGAAAATTTGGTGCATACATATTTTAGCGCAAACGCAAGTGGGAATGCACTGGGGCAAATCAATTTTAGCGCTTGCACTTGTCATTAGAATATATAAATGTAATATTTTGCTTTTTTTTTTATACACAATAATATTTGACTTTTTGGTTATTCAAGCACAGAAACACAGTAGCACTCCCGTATATAAGTAAACATTCATCAACTTTACCGTGGTGTTGCAATCACATGGACGTGGCACAATATTAAAATTTATTTTATTTTTATTTTAAATAAAAGAAATGGAGTATTTACGCATTTTATTCATATTAAAACAATGCATGCATCGAAAGAAAGTTACTTGGATAAACGGTAATCATAATCAGGTATTGTTTGCAATTTAAATCGCCATGCTTGATTGCATTGTTTACCTCGAGGCGATAGATGATTGACACGCCGAGAAGTCAAAAATTGAAAGTGCTAATGATAAGAATCGGGTAAAAACTACCAGGTTAACAATAGTTTATTAATTAAATTGTAATTTGGCAGATCTTTCTCGATTGATCCTACCAAATTGACTGTGCAGTGCTAGTGTGTATATAAATTCCAACAACCCTTCGATATTACGTAATTGTGCGTTCCGGTTTACATGCACTTATGTAAAAGCTTTGAACACGCACAAAAAAATAATATCTAGAAATCTGTTAGCGCACAATAAATTTTGGCATTCAGGGGCTCTTGCGCCAAAGGTGCTAAAATTAGTAGTGCGCCAAATATTCTCATTTTACAGTATATACCTTCAAATGCAGTTGATCTTATCTCTAACACTGATATCTCGAATACCATGCCATGATGGATCTGTGAAAGTAATTTATAAGTCCCAAATACAGTCAAAGTTCGTTATCTCGAACCTGATGGGACTGAGAAATAACTTCGAGATATCAGAGGATTCAAGATATCGAAGGTTAATTAATTAAAGGATATGTGGTTGGGACTTTGAAATCACTTCGACATATTCATGCTATTCGAGATATCGGAGTTCGAGATACCGAAGTTCAACTGTAATATGTCCCAGTCACTTTAATATTATTGAAGTATTTTACCCTCAATATCCTGAAGCCTTGAATATATGAAAGCATTTTCTAGGTCCAATTGAGTTCAAGGTAATGGGGCTTGACTGCATCTCTAAAACTATACAATATTTGCTTAAAAAAAAAAACATGGAGCAAGGACCTACTCTACCTGGTAAGTACACTTTCATGATGCAAAATTACTATAATTACAAATCTAGAAATATTTGAGGGCAAGTTATGCAAGATTTAAATGCCACTACCCGTTATGAACACATGATTGTTAATTTTAATATCAACCTACCTTATTAAACTTATAGTGAGAATATTGTACCCCTGTATTCAAATTTGATTGGCTTATTGAGAAACAATAAATCCTGGTAAAAACTTCAGAAAACAATAATGACCCAATTGTAAAATTGTAGAACATTTAAATTGCTCATTTGGTAAGAGTTAAGAGTAGACTAAAGTTCTAACATTCAAGAAATACGAGGGGTGATCAAAAAGTTCGCAAACTAATTGAATAACTTCCATACAAGAAACAATATTTGGTTTTAATGTTGATTATATTTTAAATTAATCCTCTCCGATTTTAATGCACAACAACCACCATTCTGCGCATGCGCGAATAATGTGATATTGGCGGTCACGTGACCCCCTCCGTAGCGTTCTGTCATAAAAGTTAAAAGATTTTTTCCGAGTTTTATATTTCTTACCGTGTGAGTTAATTTTTATGACAAGAACAGTTAATTTGTCAGAAATGGTCATATCTCGGCAACAGAATGGGTGGATAATAACATCCTTTCCAAAAATAAGCATGGGGACCATTAAAACACAAATCTTCTGTCTCAGGAGAGACCTTTATTCAAGGTGGATAGAGAATGGGTGCATCTTTTTTATCATATCTAAAATGTTTAAAATCTAAAGTAAACGATATCTTAGGTATTTAATACTTATATCATTGTTCAAATATTCAACTATTTTTCAAAGTGCTAATTGGAGGTCTTTGATAGCAAATTGCTTAATAATTAAAAATACATATATTTTCAAACTTGCTTTCACTGGGCAAGATGACAAGTATCATTTTTAACCATCAGCCTTCCTTCACTATTAAAACGATTAATCCAATCATTAATTGAATTTATAGGAACTCATTTATCTCAATAAACTGTGTACAAATTATTACATGATACTGTAGAGGGATTTCTAAGATATTACAATAAATTGTACAGTCGTTTGTTGAACGAGTTCGACTGAGACAACCATTTTTCAACACAAGTGACCTAAATAGTGATGTCATTTTCACATTGTGACATCACAAACAAGGAGAGAAACTTTATTCAGCATATGCTATTTATAGACCTTGTGTATGGCTATGTGTGTACCGAATTTCATTCTAATCTGAATTGTGGTTTTGTAGATATAGAGATAGTTTGCGAACTTTTTGATCACTTTTTGAGACTGTGCTTTTCGATTTGCATGCTCTTTTTTCACTGGTCCAGAAGAGCCAAAAATAAGCTCCATTTTAAATGCCTATATTATGTACATGTGCATCTTTGCACAAAAAAAGTGGGTGAGCCCGCACCCCCTCCAGCCAGCCCATACCCCTCGGTTCAATGCCTATGCTATACCCAAACATATCTATTTTATTAATGTAACTGGTTTGACATTGAAAAATTTTAATAAATAAATTCAAGTTAACATAAAATAGGTGAAAATTAGAAAATTCTAAGTACAGTAAAACATATAAGAGAGAAAGAATTTTCATATTATGGAAAAATCAAAATTGCTCCCTTTTTTTTCTTTAAAACAAGAGGCCCATGGGCCACATTGCTCTCCTGAGCACTTTGGCTAAAAAAGCAGATATCAGATCAGTGCAAAAAAAAAGTTTTCATCCATAAGTGGTCCCAACTTACCCTTAAAGGAGACAAACTTGAATACTTGAATCTACACTAAGTAGGGATATTTGTATATTTCTTTGACTGTATAGCTGCAACTTTTTATCCCTTTAAGTGTTCCTGGCACAGTGGACTGGTTCTTGAGAAGAAAATTTTTAAAACATGCCACCAAATTTTCGATATTTCTTAATTATCTCCCCTTAAATGAGAGCTTGGCCCTTCATTTGAACAAACTTGAATTCCCTCCACCCAAGGAAGCATTGTGGCAAGTTTGGATAATTGACCAAGTGGTTCTAGGGAGAAGTCGAAAACATAAAAAGTTTACAGACAAATGGACAGACAGACAACAGACAATATGTGATCAGAAATGCACATTTGAGCTTTCAGCTCAGGTGAGCTAAAAATGGGGTGCTTTATGTTGATCACTTATAGCCCCCTCCTTTTATCTACCATACTTTATACACACTAGAATTTTTTTTAAAAAGAAACAAAATTATGCTATAAAAGAATCACTTCTCCATTAATTCTGTTATATTTACATCAGCTGAATATTTTCTCCTTTATTTCTTAAGAAAACCCATTGCGTTAATCACTACATGAACTACAGTCGGCATGTCGCCTATACAGATTTCTTGATCAGTGGCTGTTCCATCAATGAAACGTATAAAGACGTTCACATCATTAATCCAATAATTAATCTTTTTAATCCTACTTTAAATGATTATTTAAACAGATATAAATATAAACAATAAAATGTCTTTCTTTGTTTGTTATTACTGGAATTAACAGTCGCAGCTATTGCAGGAAAAAAATTTTCTGCAACAGCTGCTTCCGTTAAATGAGAACCTAAAATATTTCTAACTTCTATAACTCAGATCCTGAAGTGACCTCATTACCGAAAAGTTATCCAACCAGGATCATTTATTTATCATTACCTAAAATATGCAAGAATATTGACCAAGCCATACACATTTTTTCCCCAAAGTATATTAATAAGATCGATATTAACACACTTTGAAAAGAAATTTTATTTGTTAAAAGTGTGTTAACTTAGGTCCCAACAAAACATTTTTTCAAAGTGCGTAATTTTTCTAAATGCGTTGTAACATATTGCTTCCTATGGGCCTGAGTTAATACAGAAGTCATTTAGATACATAATTTATGATGTCTGTACAATGACAGATGATGAAATTAGCATTTGCTGAATGCTTTGTTGCACAAGTTTTTAGGAAATTTATTATCATTTATTGGAAGCTCTAATTTTTTTCCTGAGCTTGTGAGGTTGATATTCAAAGTCATATATGGCATATCTTTTGTAAGTTCAGCTAACCAAAATTTAAAAAATCTTTCTATTTGTTCTATTACATTACACAGAGAAAAAAATTTTCTGTAAATTAAAGAATTCAAATAAATCAATTGCCTTTCAAAGTTATCAAAATTTTCAAACAATAACCAATTTATTCAGCAACTCCACATTTAAATAACAGACAAATTTAAAGTCAATTTAACTATAGAAACTGGAGTTATTCAAGTTCAAAACCTATGACAATTTTAATTTGAACTTAAATGACATTATATCATGTATATCGATGCTAAATCTTTTGAGATATGCAATAAATAGATGTAAGTACTTTCTCAAGTTTTATATCACGTGAAAATCAAAACCCATTAAGTGTAATGGGTACTAGCTGTCTTAACCTAATCTTATGAATTTGCAAATTTGAAGTCCATGATTCGATATTGACTATTAAATTACATTATAGGTACAGTACACCATATGAGATGCAGATTTTTGTCACTGGAAATTAAATTAAGCTCTTGAAAACTAAATTAAAATAACAATGGAAAATGCATGATTGTATGCAAACGTAACCATTTACATCTATACATCCTTGTTAACCATAGTATTTGAGTCCATCCTCCTCAAACCACATTTGTGGGGAAAGGAAAGAATGGACACTAAACTCCTGGCATCTGACAGTTTGTCTATTATACTGTTAAAAAAGGAATGAATTATAACCGACACAACCTTGATAATTAAGCATGCTAATTGACACTTACTGCGATCTTAGCTTATTGGTTTATGCTCCATCATTATATATCTATCAGTCAATAACATATTCTATTTGTGAATAGCACTGAGAAAAACACACATTCAGGTCAAAAAATTTTCTCAGGTGTGTACCTTGATCAATATTTGTTTTTTACGCATATACAGTAATGTTTTCCAATACCATTCAAAGACAAGATTCAACAACTGATTGTATGGGTAAAATTTACCAGAAATCATTATACTTGATATTTTAATATATATGAAAGACGAGGAACACAAATATTTATCAAGCATAGAGTCCATTGAAACAATACAAATTGGAAGCAGGGCAAAGACCTTTAAAAACATCAGAGGTGGATCAGGTGCCATGGAGGAGTAACCATCCCCTGTTGTTGACCAGTCACAATTAAGTGCCAAATGCCCAAAGTCAGGATCAGCAAATGGAAAAATCTGTACACAATGCATTAAATAAGGGACTAGCAAAATAGTGCTATAATTAATCTGGAGTCTCTGATTAATGTATAGATTCCAAAACAAGTGCATGCCATTGGGGAATTTATTAATATAATTTTGTGAGATATTTGGGAACAATCTTAAACAAGAACATTAATGGTATTCAGATACATGTCCAGATACTGACAAATTATTTAAATTTATTTTTTTAGATCAGACAATGAAACCTTGAAACTTTTTACATATAAATTTTTCTGAAATTAAGTTTTTTTCTATAATATTAATCATCTTACATTACTGATGGGGCCCTGCAACTCTTGAAATTCAAATTTTTAATAAATAGGTGCATACTGTAATGTTACTAAGAAAGACTGTTTGAAATGTGTTTACTGTTAGTGACTTGCTGAATTTTTGGACAACATTTACGATCTTACTACAAGAAACTGCATTCAGCTAGCACTGTTAACTTCATATGTGAAGACTGGGTATATACAAACAACATAGTGAATATATGGGTATAAATACAAAAATGGTCAGATTTAAAATGTTCCTTTACTTTATATGTAAATAGAGAAAGAACATAAATGGCTCTTTTACACCATTGAAGGAGCCCCTCCCATCTCTCTCTCTCTCTCTCTCTCTCTCTCTCTCTCTCTCTCTCTCTCTCTCTCTCTCTCTCTCTCTCTCTCTCTTAATTAAATGAACAAATTCAAGTATTCATCAAGATATGGTCATTACCCTATCTACCATGATCTATTGAAAAATTTTTATTGAATGAAATGCATGAGATTTATATGATGAAATAATTCATTTCAATATGAATCACAGTCAGTTTTGAACCAGCTTTCCAATGATGTAATTAATTTACTCATTAACAATATTTGTTCAAGACATCAATATCTTTCAAGGATATGTAAGGCTTGAACTTTAGACAATAAAAATTGGAGAGAAAAAAGTTTTACCAGTTTGAACTTATAGCAAAGGAAGAGAAAAGTAGCAGCTGGGATTTCCTATACAGAATAATGATTGTTGATAAAGTCTCTTTATGTTCTTAAAGTAGTCTACTTGTGTGTCAAGTAATAATGAAATCAGATCAAAACTGTAGGAAAATTTTAAACAATTTCACAGAAATTTTGTTTTTATTTTCCACGGCAACATAAATGAAAAAAAACTGATACACAGAATTATGTTTTACAATAGTAGTAAACTTGTGTGCCAAGTTATAAAATTACACATTAAACTGTTAGGAGGAGTAGCGTTTTGAAAAATTATAGTGCGATGAAATTTCTATTTTTAGTAACCATGGCAACACCGTTCACACATCAAAAAGGAAACAGATTTATGTATCTTAGTGTAGTATACTTGTGTGCCAAGTCTCTAAAAAAAAACTGTAGGAGGAGTAGCATTTTGAAAAATTGTTTACAGACAGAAAGACAGACAGACAGACAGACGGACGGACGGAAAATATCACATAAGCTCTTCTGGTCTCTGACCAGTAGAGCTAATAAAAACTGGAGAGAAAAAAGTTTTACCAGTTATTAATCCAGCATCGCAGAATGTAATATGATTAAAAGAGTTAATTAAGTTTTATGTTATATATCAGCCCAAGTGGCCCAATATTAGGCCTGATATGTCGTATCATGATATGGATAGTACAGTTTGAATATGAAGTAATATTTAAAATATTTATTTTTTGAGTCTACTCACAGTCATAATTTACATATGACTCTTTCCTTTCAATTTTTTTTCTCAAAAAAAACTCATGGAGCCAATTTTAGGTCATATTAAAATTAATCAAGTTGTCAAAATAATATAATTTTATTGCATGCATATATATATTTCAACATGTTCAATAAAACCAAGTTAATTTTCTAACAAATGTTACAAAAACATTATTTCCGTTTTGATATGGATTTCAGCACAGGCACTGATTTAATTGATACATGACGTGGGCTTCCAGACTATTTGTTGATATTTGAGGTATTTTTACATCATTCATAACTATAGTAAAGCGCAGAATCTTTGCATTTAATACTAAATATCATGAAAACATTTTAAAAATTATAGAAGTCATTTGCATGCATGTACATTGAGGATTTGACTTGTGAAGTAAGGTCATCATAACATCACTGTTTCTTTACACAGGTTATTATTAGCAAATCATATTGCTTTGAACATGTTGAATATTAATTTTAACATTAAAAAAATTCAAAAACCCTACTTTTTTGACACATAATAATGTGATTTTGGAATAAATTATAATTTTAAAATGACAAGAACTATCTAGCTGTTTAAAATTACTAGAATAAACAAAAGTGTACTAAAAAATGTCAATTAAATCAAAATGCTTGGGAAAATACATTCAGGTAACATTCAAACATTCAAAACCTGGTTTTTAGAAAGCATTTCTGTATTTTACTTTGGCATTTAAATGTTTTTCTGTGGTAATCTGGTAAATTTTCAGTGTTTTTATTGTTCACGCTATCTCTCAAATCAGAGGTTTCAGATGAGAAGAAGAAATCTGTATCACATTCATTATTGCAAACCACAGCCAAAATGTACAATCCTCTCCTGTTTAGGCTGTTAGATCGTTAGTGTAGCGTCTGTGTGAGCGGATCTAAATTATAATTTTGATTATAGATTGCTCTCGTGAGAGAGCTCTACTATGAAGATTCCGAACAGTGGCTAGAGACGATGTTTCTCACCAGCTGATGCAAAGCTCAACATTTATCATGTTTATAGCGAGCGCAGCGCTGCGAGCTCTTAATGCAGTGCCTGGGCGAAGAGAAAAAATTCGGACTACTGCACATTCATTTGTCAGATTTTTTTCCCTCAGTAACTAGAGTCTAGACGCATCAAATGGCACATGCGGCTTGACGAGCCTGATATAAATTATAACAAAAATCGAAATATTTGTACACGCCATAACGGTCGCACCGTCAACATATTAAGAGGGGGTAACAATTTAATCAGCATATCACAGCAGAGGCAACAACTATAGATTATTGATGATTGATATACAGACCTTAACTACTATTTCTTTTCTTCAAACTCTTGCAGCTAATTAAGACAAATTAGTTTACCTAAAAAATGTCACGCTGACACAGTGACCTGAAACCTTCTTCTGAAAAATATAAATATTTCTCATAGTTTAAATAAAAGTGCCGGGTACCAAATTATGATACTCTCAGGTACATCTGAACTCAATGAAATATATGTCAATAAACGAAACCGTATCATATGACGCAGTTTCCCTCTCCTTTGGAATACAGACTACTATAGCTTCATGAAATGTGTTTTACTGTACTAATGATGTAGATATGTACAAAGGAATTATTTATGCTTCTATTTACTCACTATTGTACATGTACACTCCGTATAAACACCAGAAAGCTTGACAGATTTCAGCAGTGATCCTCAGCTTTTTTGCCCTTCTCCCGAACCCGATCCAAATAGAGCCTGCTCATCAAACTATGCCAAGTGTACACATCCAGTTTGAAGGGACGGGGAATAATACGTGATGGCTTTTAAAATAAATAGTTTTGATATAATAAAATATTGGGAAATATGAATCAAATCAAGTTTTGGAATAATGCCCATTTTATCAGTTTACAAGTGACCAAACTGTTTCTTATCAACGGTTTCTGGTCAACTTATTACATGACCTATTTGCAACAAAGTCATCTCGAACCAATTTTATTTTTAACTACCTTTACAAAGCTAACATTTACACTCATGTTTATAAAATCGTGAAATTTACGCTTTATGCAGCGCTTTAATCTGTAAAATTAACACTTTAATGTAAATTTTACAGTTTAATCTGTAAAATTTACACTTAAATCTGTAAGACAAAAAAATTTTACACTTTAAAGTGTAAAATTTACACTTTACTGCACATAAAATTTACACTTTAATCTGTAAATTTTACACTTTCCCTGTAAATTTTACACTTTAATCTGTAAATTTTACACTTTAATCTGTAAAATTTACACTTTAATCAAAATGGCACATGTGGTGTAAATTTTACACTTTAATATAAAATTGACACTTTAACAAAACACTTTAATCTGTAACTTTTACACTATTTGTAAAATTTACACTTTAATCTGTAAATTTTACACTTTAATCATAAATTTTACACTTTAGGGGGTAAATTTTACAGCATATTCACATAGTCAATTTAGCTTCTTCACACATGCTCAGTAACACATTTTTATGATTGATATACAGCCACTTGCACACTACTTTTTTTTATTTCTACACTTTTCTGTAAATTTTACACTTTAATCTGTAAAATTTACACTTACTTCCATTTAATCTTAAGATTTACCCTTTAATCAGTAAATTTTACACTTTAATCTGTAAAATTTACACTTTAATCTGTAAAATTTACACTTTGACCTGAAATTTTACACTTTAATCTGAAAAATATAAATTTTATTTAATCTGTAAAATTTACAATAAAATTTGCACTTTAATCTGTAAAATTGACACTTTATTCTGTAAATTTTACTCTCAGGTACATTTTACACTTTAATGAAATATATGTTTCAACTCTCTATATATAAATGCATTTTTATATATAAAATGTAGGATAGATTTTATAGAATGTTTGCTTTAGGTAATTTTTCTATTTGTTGGTATAGATCTTCTATGAAAATGTGTTTTAATAAAATGTTAGTTTAATTTTCTGATGTAGATATGTATCACAATTGTGTCATCCATATATTATTTATTTGAAAAAAGTCTAACAGGCCCTGGAATTATATTGGACTCACTATTGTGCATGTATGTTTGATACACTCTTCACTGTATATTCAAAGAAAAGTTTTACTTTAAAATAAATCAGATTAAATTTTATCAGCAGTGACATGGTCTGTTGGTATAAAAATGTGTTACTGAGGATGTGTGAAGACCCTATGTGAATAAACAAATAAAGTGTAAATTTTACAGATTAAAGTGTAAAATTTACAGATTAAAGTGTAAATTTTACAGATTAAAGTGTAAATTTTACAGATTAATCTGTGTAATTTACAGATTATGTGTAAATTTTAAAATAAATAGTTTTGATATAATGTGTAAAATTTACACTTTAAAGTAAAATTTTAATCAAATCAAGTTTTACAGAAAATGTAAAATTTATCAGTTTACAAGTGAAATTTTACTGTTTAATCTGTAAAATTTACAAAAGTGTAAAATTTACTGGTCAAAGTTAAATTTTACATGACCTATTTACAGCAAAATTTACAAAGTGTGTAAAATTTACAGATTAAAGTGCAAAATTTACAGATTAAAGTTATTTTTAACTACCTTTACACACAGGCACGCAGCCACTAAACTTTTTACCATTGAAAACGTTCTTGGAAAATCCGGTTGCCCCCCCCCTTTGTTACAGTAAGGTAAAGGAAAAGTATTGTTGTAGTGAAAAAAATGGCACTGAAAGTTGAAAGTTTAATATATAGTTAATGAGTAATTTAATTTTTCATTAAAAGTTTCACAATTATGGTATTTTAATTAAGGGACAAAAAAATAGTATAGATTAAGGGTGGTTGCAGAAAGGTTGAATTTTGAACATACACGCGTGCTGCGTGAGTCATATGATGAGCGTTTACCAATTCTTAATATTTGAGATATTTATTAGTCGCATCATTTACAACCCAAAAATATATATATAGTCTTCAGAGACTAGGTCTTTCAAAAAACTGACTGGGAATTCCAATGAGCAATAATTATGCTCCTTTATTAACAGGAAGATTCTAAAACAAGCAAATAGATTATTTTTTAATTCTAGTAGCTTAATTGTTTTAAAACCTTTTTTTAAAATCATTTAGCAGCTAATGTTTTAAAATCTTCTCTTCAAGAAACACTATAATTGGGCCATGCAGAAAAGATGTTAGGATTATAGTCAAAATAGGCAGTCAAAGATTTACATAAGAATTAAGGGGTTCTGAATTCGGATCGAGGGCTCGATCTGCATGTTGATTATATACATGTATTAATTACTGAAAATGCAGTTTTAAAAAAAATTCTCTCTCTCCTTATATTATTAAGCAGTAGAACTTATAGGTGCATGATATTATGATCATCTGTGCCTTCTCTAAAGTTGTGAATATATAGCCTCAGGACAGGGGTTCTGTTCGAGGGGGCTTCTTGTATTCATAAGCTGACTATAAAGACCACAAAGGCCAACTACTTGTACATGTGTAACTACTGTATACAGGGTTATTTTCGTTCCATGTTATTTTCGCCCTTTCATACTTGCATGCATACGATTTTGCCCCGTTTTAATTTTGTCCAGTTTCAGTTTTGTGTATGAAATTATATACGTACGTAAAAATTACGCGGACGTATAATCGGAATTCACACATAATATAAAAGAATCTTTACTAATATGGTCTTCAAAATTTCACATAAAAATGTTGTAAATTGGTATTAATTTTGAGTGATTTTTCCGGGCATATCAATAAGTCACGGAGCAGCAAAATCTTCGACGTCACAGGCATAATAAAAAGTATGTGATTGATCTCTCATTTTCTCAAAATTTTCCCTAGAGTACCTGTGCAGTTTGATTTACCTTATCTATGTCCAAACACCATTTCTTGTATATATATTAAACAAGTACATTTTTGTTAAAATTCAGGTATTTATGAAAAAATGAAATCATGTTCTTTACAGTCCGGATAAAGTTTTCGTCGAAAATCTTCTTCCTGTCCTCACGTATAGCCTTTTAATAGAGGTCTAACAGTCTAAAATATCAAATTGCTATTTTTTGACGAATGTCACAATACCCTAGTTTACTACATGTTTTATAATGCATATTTTGGATCTTTTCTTATTTATAATTTAACAAAAGTGTGCATTATGTTCTCTCAATATTTCTTTTAATACTTCAAATATCACGTGCTTACATAATAATAGAACAATTTAAAGATATATTTGAGAAAATGAAAAATGTTGCAAATTATAGAAAATAAATGTTAAATTTTGTGGCTTATTTTTAAACCATGGCAACATTCCGATAATTTTAGTTTTTTAAATACAAAATTTTTGCTCTTTATAAGTTGATGCTATTTCTGTGAAATTTCATAACGGGATTTCAAAATTTTTGAACGGCCCTCGTATGTATTAGCAACCTCTATTAAAAGGCAGCATATAGTTGTAAAATTCTATGAAAAATGAATGTTTATATCATTTTCTTATTTATGACTTTATTAGCAAATACTTATTTTTAAACCATGGCAGGTCATTCTCTTCTAAGTTGATGCTACAGGGATTTCAACATGCGGAATTGCAACCTTATTAAAAGGCAGCATATTTTGTTAATTCTGTGGTCTTTATAATGACTTTATTAGCAAATACAACCCAGCACTGTGTCATATTTTAATTGACTTGCTTCATTTCAATTTAATTGTTATTAGACCTTTGATCTAAATTTGACTATGGTATGTTCCATCCACTTGATCAATACATAGGGCTCACTGTGGGTGTGACCGGTCAGTAGAGGATGTTTACTCCTTCCTATATATCCCACCTCTGGCATTTCTGGAGTCTGTATTTATGCTCTTGCTGTTTACAGATTTGTCTTGTTTACAGATTTGATTAATTTGATTCTGTTTGTTATCTTAACCCTTTTCATTGATTATACAGTGAAACTGCATTAATTCTTTGAAGATCTTCTTCTATGGTACTGGTGTCCTTAAAGGTTAAGTTTATTCCCCAGCATATTCCCATGCACAGCTTTGATTTGATTTTGTTTCTCTTCCCCAAGGGGATATGATATATGTGAGCAAAGTTGAAGAAACTATACTTGCATATTATTTAAAATTATCAATTATGCCCCCAATGTCCTTGAGGATACTTAGAAAGATTTTTTCCAATTCTTGTTTCTCACAAACAAACATGAATCTGCAGTATATGAATGTTGGCAAGTATTGACAATAGGGAGGCGAGCTGGTTTGAAAAGGGGGGTTATGGGTGTTGAATTAAATAAATATTATCACAAAAAACTTAATATTGTCAACAGTCTAAAACCACTGTTTTTAAAAGAAACAAACCTGTTTTTATGTTTTTTGAAATTTTATTTAGAGTTATAATGTCAGTGTGAATGTATACACATGAATACACGTGAATAAATGTCAGCATGCTTTTGAAAAGAACCCTGAACTGCATTTCTTCCTTTAAAATGAACATACTCATGGATCCTTTTTATTATGATAACCATGGTTTCTATATCAAAAAAGTTTAAATTCTCTAATACTTTTACATTTTTTGTAGGTTCTCATTACGAAAAATGTTAAATATTTAAGATTGGTTAATGCTTTAATTTTACTTCTTCCATTTATGAGGGTTGTCCGTAAAGTTCGTGAACATTGATAATTACTGACAAACATTGATAAAATTTATGAAACTATTATTTTTTATTAAATTCATGTTTCATTTAATTTGTTAAAATTATATAAAAGTTTTCAACAAAAACAAAGCACAAATAGTTATATTTTTATCAGATATAAAAAAAGACACACTCTCATACTTGGAGCAGTAAAACCAAAATTCTTGACGTTGCCCGACGTCAAAGGCTTAATACGAGTACATGTTACTTTTCTCAACATAGTCACTGTTTAACTCAATACATTTCTTATGTTGCTTTTAACCATTCATAAATATGTGCACAAAATGTCCAGGTTTCATACGTAAAATAATATTTATTAATGCCTGTCTAATATCCTGCAAATCATCCAACCTCTGTCCACGTAAAAACGATTTTATTTATGGAAATACGGCAAAGTCACGTTACAAAATTCATTTTTTACAGCAATGCAATCTCGGAATGATGGTTTTCCTTCACACATGTCATCCTGTAAACTGTTCCTTCCGTCCGAAAATATTATTTGCCACTTAAATACTAATGAACATCCTCTTTTACTATGTTTTCCCAATTGTTTACAGAACTTATGGGTCTCTGTAGGTGTTTTTCTGATGTTTACGCATAATTTTATCACTGCTTTCTGCTCCACCTATTCCGAAAATGTCCCTTTTTTGAACAATTCTGATTCTGTCTTAATATGTTCTAACCCGGATTGCTCAGCCATTTTGAAACTCTGAAAGTTCAAATTTTGCAGGTTTGACATGATAACTACTGTCAATATCATAATGTAAAAGTAATCCAGATTTCCGTGGAATTTTATAAAATACAAATGAAATTTTAGTGATAAATAACTTTTCAATTAAAATTTTGCGCTGCTCCGGGTCTCCATTCCAAGTCTAATTATGGAGCTATAACTGTAATTAAACATTTGAAATTGAATAAAATTTTACATTTTTCAATTCACATTTAGTAAAGGATTAGAAATATGCCAATAATAAATATCCATGACACAATTTTTGATTAATTTTTAGCTTGTCCACGAACTTTGTGGACAACCCTCGTAAACGGATAAGAAGATGTGTAATAACAGTTAAAAAAAAAAAAAAAAAACATCCAAAGTTATTTTCCTGAATTTAAATTAAAACTGGCTTTCAGTATTATGTACAAACATTGTAATATTTCTTGACAATTGTTTAATGACTTACATCTTTGAATTATCAAGACTTCCAAACATCTGCCCCAAAATTAACTGAATATGAACAATAAAATCAGCCAATGTTCTTCTGACCAGGATATTATTTTATCATAAACTTCAAATTTTACATTTTATGAAAGACAATTTATTGACACAATTTGCTTCAAATATTTGAAACTATACATCACCAGTGAAAAAGCCAGCATGGTACAATGGATATCCCTCAAACAACCCATTTTCTAAGTACTGGTTTTGTGCTTTCTTTTGAGAGGAATTCATGTTTGCAATGCAAGATTACATTTTTGAACTTGAACACCTATGCCACATTAAATGTGTATAGCATGCATTCAAGTGAAACTTGAAAATGGTACAAAGTTGAGTTGACACATAATGCAGAAATGGAAAGAAAAAATACTGTAAAACCCTCATTTAAGGAACAGAAAAAATAAGATAATTACATATATAAAAACACATCAAACAGAACAAATTATTTTACAATAATGTGATATTCTGGTACAGTACATGTGTCATAAATGCATTACAATTAAACCACACAAAAAATAAACCAAAGCAAGTTAACAAATTATCTAGACATACACTGTAGAGGACAAATCAAGCACATTAAGGAAAAGTGAATATTAACAAAATGTTTCAAGTAAACATGTTCACAATTAAAAAGTATGAAACACTCACATTCACAAGCCTTTAGAGTTACATGATAAATACTGACATTGTATAGATCAATATATACTGTATATACTGACTATATACTGAATATTTATAAATTAGAAATGGGACTTTTCAATCATAATTGTAAAGTATCACAATAATATATTATATAATCTGTGCTAATAGATTATTATTTTATTTATATACATTGCATTCTTTCTTCAATGGATAGAGATCAAAATGTTATTTAACCCTCATGCCCTTTTATTCTGCATTAATTTTTTTTTCTACTTGCCTTAACTATTCTAAATATCAAAAGTCGTTGAATTGTCTTGTCAATTTGAAACATCAAAATACATACAATGACTTTGTTTTCATACCAGTACCTAACTCCTGCTGAAATATGATAGCAATAACTTTGAACATTACCCCCTCCCTAACAAACAACTTTCAGCAATGCAATTACAATGTAAATGTACAAAGATTGATAAGCTCATGAATTTAGCAATGTGGTGGAAATATTGTGAATTATCAGGATCGCTCTTTCGAAAATAACTTGACCACTACCAAAATATGGAGTAAAAAAAAATTCTCAAAACATATCAAAGCTGTTGCAATTTGTGAAATGCAATGTAGTATGATGTAACATGTTTGTAACTCTCAATATAGTTTTTTTTATGGAAGTTCAGATAAATTTTTAGTCTGAAGAAGAAAAAGGGGACAAAAATAAAACATCAACTATAAATCTGGTAACACAATTACAATTCTTGGCAAACATTTACATAAGTACTTGAGTCATGGAATGATAACACTATCTAGCTAAACCCATGCTTGATAGTAAATGAAATGCAGATCCTAAAGCCCAGCTTATTTCTGTTCCATTCAATTTCTTAATCACCTGAAAAGAAATAATTCTTAAATTATTTATATATTGATAGTTTAAAATTCTTCATTTTAATAGCATATTGATTTAAAAAAAAACTTGCACTTATTAATTGATACAAATAACACAAGTCACACTAAAATAACTCCTCTAAAATAAAACATTTGTACTTAATGCATGTTTGTTAATTTTTTTCTAGATCACCACAGTATCAAACCTGCTGGACTAATGAATCCATTCAACATGCTAATGAATTAAGATTTTGACATTGTTAACTTAGTACAATTTTTAGCTAACCTTGGACTTTCAGTAAGCTGTATGATTGGTATTCTCGACATTACATAATTAGTGTTTGAAATTTATACACAGCTTTCAATCACTTTTGAAATATACATGGGATAGAAATTCGGCAAATGTCAACGAGTGTAACATCATCCAATACAGCATCTCTTACAGCAAAAAGGTGGGGCTTAGGTCATCTCCTTGTCAGCAACAATTTAAAGTTCCTGATGTTATTAATTTTTTAACCAATGAGAATCTATCGGCTATTTGACAGACCCTTATTACACAGTGCCGAGAATGCCACGCCTTACTGAAAGTCCAAGGTTAACTGAGAATTGTACTAAGTTTATTAAGGATTTTTCAGTTTTTAAGGCACTGGAAACAATATGTATCTGTCACTGAGGCCCACCTCCAGTCCTTTGTTTGATCGTATATGGTAGCCATCATGGAGTAAAGCATAAATGTAGGTCAAGTCCATCCCCAAATATGGATGATCCACTAAAGGCTTGGAAAAATCTGTTTCAATAAAAATTAGGCTCATATTGAAAACTGGCACAAAATCTTCAGCCCTGTTACAATCAATCACGTGCATTAAAATATTTCTTTTAAAAAACCAAGTGCATTTCATTGAACTATTTAAATTTCACATTTGATTGCGTCATTCACTGATAAATCTCCCATTTCATCTTATCATTCAGAATACCTACAATGCTCGGCTGCTCTTCTGAAATCTTTTACAGTCATCTTTCCACCATTTTTTGCTGCAATGAGAAAAGGGAAAAAAATTTTAAAACAGTTTTCTTAATGATGTACATGTGTAAAATATTGATGGGCTATGTAAAAGAGCTACATTATACTTTAAGAGAAAGATAATGAATAAATTTAAAAAGAATCATTATCTATGAACAAAATTTAAAGCTCAGAAAACTGTGATTCATAAATATTTGCTTGTACTTTTTTCTTCTGTGTCAGTCTAACAGTACCAGTCTATCAGATACATGTTAAACAAATTAAACATTTTTACCACAATAAAAACAGTTATCACCCAAAAATAAAATTCTGATTCATGCTACATGAGATACCGGTATGTATAAGGATAATTTTTTGATCAATTGATGAATTTCTTTTACCTATAATCCCTGCATCTTTGGCTCTATCAAAGAAATACGAGAAGATGTAGATATCTGCATTACTAAGTTCTTTAACGTCTACCATATAATTATCCACAAAGGTAACGGCATCCTTCAGACAGGCATTAAAAGAGCTGCCATTGGTCAGGGCACTGTGTAAAATATAGAATAGACAAATTGTAGACTACATGTATTAAAAAGGGCTGAAGTAAAACATCATCACCTACTAGATGACCAATTAAAGGCAATTACTGAATGCTTATGGTAGATTGAGGTGTATATTTTTTATGGTATATCTTTAGTAAAACAAATTAGAATCCCCGGGAAGCTAAATTCAGCTAATTTTCAGCTTTTCTGGTCCAGTGGTTATTGAGAAGATTTTTTTAATGATCTCACCCTATTTTTTTTTTAAATTTCCTTGATTATTTCTCCCTATGAAAAGGGATTAAAATTGCCCTTCATTTTAAGAAATTAGAATTGGCTTTACATATGAATGCTTTGTACCAGCTTAAAACTACTAGCCCAGTGGTTCTTGGAAAAAAGTTGAAAATGTAAAAGTTTACTGACAAAAGGCTACAAACAGACATACAGATGGCTGGATGCCGGATAACAGGTGATCAGAAAAACTCACTAAAGGTTTCAATTCAGGTGAACTAAAAACTAAGATAAAGTGCTTTATATTTTTTGTTTTATATCACTTATGACAAAACTCTATCAATGCTCACATTAAAAATATCAACAAGCAAAATGCTGAGCTTGTATAAAAAGCATTTAATAGCAAGCCTTAAAAACTTAATTAGTTTTCACTAATTCAGATTCAGGAAAATCGAACACTGTTAAAAAAGTTGTTTTATGTTGATTTAAGGGAGTTAGAAATGAATGTCATATCTATCTTTAATTTTACAATATTTTACACAGCCCCCATCCCCATTGTCTAGTTATACAAGTAACACAACTGACCAATACTGGCATGTTTCTTTATGTCTAGCCACCAGTAATAGTACAAACTGACATGTAATTTTTTTTCCTTTTCTCCCAGTCTTGAGTTAAAACCCCATTCCAGCAAAAATAGGAAGGACACGTCAATCAGACATTTTTGTATTAAATATATACCAGTATAATACTAGTACATGTTCAGGGTATGTGCAATGCATAACTTTTGTTGATTTATAACAATATCATTTAATGTTTCTGTAGCAAAAATGAAATCACAAATGGAGTACAAGTATAATCAATAAAAATCGATAGTTTTTTTATTTTGGTTCTTCAGTCATTATTTGTTGATTCTAAAAAGTTGCATACATCTTTCATTAAGAGTTATAAATCTGTTATGCTGATCGTAAGAAAAGCTTTTTTTAAAATTTAAAACATCCTTAAGTAGAGAAGTTAAGGTTTATAGACATGCAGAGGAAAATCCAACATATAGAGATAACTTCAGATTGATATAAATCATTACATATATTCAACCAACAGAGATTTGATATAGTTAAAATCAACCTTAAAACTACCGGTAAGTGCAAGAGAAACCCTTTTCATTGATTATAGTTTTGTAGCAAACAAATAACTCTTTTAGTGGCTATATTATGTATATCATCTATGATCGCTAAGTATAACCTTGACTTCACAAAGCCCCTTTAACTTTAGCAAAGATGGAGTCTCTGTCATGTATGTTTAATTATATTTAATAGGAAATTAAAAAAAAAGTGAAATCAGGAATACAGAAAAACAAAAGGCAGACATGAAAAATTTTAAACAGAAAAAATTGATGAATACAGGTAAACAAAGGACAGACAAACATCAAAATTTTAAACAGTTCAAGAGTTGTACCCTTTAGATTTTGATAAAATATTGGAATAAAATCTATAACATTTCATGCCCCTTTCTTCCTGTGTAAGTATACAATCAAAACCCAAGATATACATGAAAACACCACCCACTTTTGAATTTCAATAAAACATTCAGTGTATGTTGGACAAGAAGACAAATATATTTGGCTACAGACATTTTTTTTTCACTAAAGATCTAGCACTAAATTCATGTTGCCCAAACCTCAGTATACAACTGTTTTGTTACACCCTCCACTTGCATGCAACACATATTGACAAATCAAGACTGCACTATCAATGTGTGTGTGTACTTTTGTACCCCAAAATTTAATGAGCTGTTTTGAGAATATATAAGTAGGAAAATAATTTTAATGTTGGACCAAATATTACTGTCATACCCAGTCTATGATCAAAAGAATTCAACCGTTCTCTGTAACATTTGATTTACTAGCATCTTTTCTTGAAGCATTTGCATATTTAAAACTTCAAAGGGTGTAACAAAGTCTAATTCATGCCAAAAAGGTTAAGAATTGTTTATGGAAAAAATCCTCATACTTAATATGTTAGAACTTATTTAATTGAAGATAAGGACCATCACACAAAGATTCACTTTCATTCCATGGAAAGTCTGGGAAGATTATGGGTATTGTTAAAAAATATATAATTCAAATTAAAAAAAAACATTATACCTGTAGTTGTGAAATTTTATTTCAGAAATCCATATTAAGAAAAAAATAAAACTGTATGTTACCAACAAAATGGAAGATGATATGGGATAATGTGAGTGCATAGCTTTTATCAAGGAATCAAACCTGTAGTAAACACTGTGATCATGTTCTCTGGTTCCCCTGAGAAGAATAACAAGGCCATATTTGTATGTATGACTGTAATATATGCACTACTATATTCATAAACTCTACTTTGTATGGCTTAGCCAACATTAAAAACTAAACTATGCTTCAGAAAGAACCAAGGTTATTTGCTTACTTACCGTACTTGAAATTTTCGTGATCCTAATCTAAAATGTCCTGAGAATTTATGTGGTAAGCAGGGGCTAGAGAGTATAGTAGAATTTGCCACTTCATCTATCGAAAATAGATATTACATTTATTTCTTGAGTAACTTAATCTGAAACATTGATATTTTGTGACAAATGCCATTAAAAATTTTTTTTACATGTACATGTATGTTCAAAACAAAGTTACAATTAATATAATCTACTCCATTTGAATAAACAGTATATACACAACAGTTACTGCACTTAAAGGATGCAAAAGCAAGTAAATTCCATGTTTTACCTGGCTTTTTATCATTGGATAGGAGAGAAAATCTTGCTGACATTAAGCCTTGACCAAGATAGCTACAAGACAAAATTTCACTCAGTTAAACAAACTGAAATATCTGAATCTTACATCCATAAAAGTCAAAAGAAACATAAATTAATCAAAATGAAAGGGCAGATGTTCCATGTTATAAATCACTGAATCACAAACTGAAACTCTGCTCAAAGATCATTTCTCTTAACAGAGTGACTATAGTGAGCAGATACAGTGTAGTTCAGTTTTCAGTGCTTTTCTATATGGTAACAGCGACTTTTTCCACCCATTGGGAAAGGGTCCGGTACCGGTTCAATTGGGAAAAATAACATAGAAGAAAAACAGGAGAATTTTCTCATTTATGCAAATGCAACGTATTTTGCGTTTATTCCAAATTAATTACCTATTACTTATTGTTTTAAAGAATAAGCAACAAGTACTTATTGTTTTTTATATCAACGTCCCATGTTTTCACATTTTCATGCTTTCAATTTGTCAAAATGTATGACACTACGCTGTCTAAACCACAGGTCCTGCCAAATTACGACTTTCTCTACTTTCGATTTAAGCGGAAGTGAAACAATTAGTCAACTTGTACACTGTTTCATTTAACAAGAAATACGATGTCGTCGTAGTCTGTTGCATCACAGTTGAATTGGGAATTTTTAGTCACAGAATTGGGAAAAATTAACATTTTTTGGCATTGGGAACGGTGCCGTTTATCGGTACCAGTTATATAAGGGAAAAAAACGCTGGGTAAACAACCCTTCATTATCATCTGTATGAATGATAAATTACCTGTGTGTATATAACTTGTGACTTCTGTTGAACAGTGTAATTTTACTTGTAAAGTTTTTTGGAACAGCTTTCATGGTTTCCTATATAGAATAAAAAATCATATCTTCAACACTCATAATCAATTTCTATTCAAAATACTCTAAAGGTACAGATGTCTTTAGTATGCCGTCATACAGAAATAGTATACAAAACAAATGAAATCCTCTTGCTCTACCTATACATGTACAGTAAAACTTGTTTAGTGCGAACTCGGTTATTGCGAATTCACAGATATAGTGAAGTTATCTCGGATCCCCAACTACATAAATTTAAAGAATTCCTTATACGGATAGAATGAATTACAAATACAGAAAGTAATTTCAAAGGTCCCAGTGACTTCGTTTAAACCGAGCTTTACTGTATTTATAATCTCTATCATATCTCTTTTTAGAATAAAATGTATTTATACAATGTACATGTGTACATGTACATCCAGAAGAAGCAAACTATTTTAATTTGTCCATTAAGGTATTCAATGTATAACGACCATATTTTGTACCTAATAAATGAACGGTCCAATATTTTTAATCATGGTAGCAATTTGAAGATATTATCAAATGAAAATGCTCCACCAAAGGAATTTACAAAATTTTGATTATTGTCCAATTAATATCACTTTGAATTATACATTGAAGTCTATGGGCAGTGCATGTTTTTATAAGATATTGTAAAAAGTAATTTGAATTTGAATTTCAAAGAAATCTCTTGGTGAAAATATGATAAAATAAACTCCTCTCTTTATTAAAATATAAAGTAAAATAAATTATTTACCGCAGAAATTTTGTGAAATCAAAAATTTTCTTCTTCAGCTTGTCAAACCATCATCAAACTTGGCAGATAACTCTTCAAAAACTGTAAATGTGCACAATGACCGTCTCCTTTTCACTAAGTCTTGTGAATTTGGTTTATTTCACTTTTATCGTTTTCTAAAAAAATTCTGTGTGCTTTTTAACTATTTAAAATTTTTAAAATCAGTCAAAATATTTTTGCGAATGCAATACACACGAAATACCTTAAAAATTATAATCTATATAAAAATTTCCAGATTTACGGTAGTTAAAATTTACCCTGTGCTGAGGAACAAATGTAATCTGTGTAGATCCTCCCCCTAAGTCTAGAGCAGCTACAGTTTTGTTGCCACTAGTGAGGGTACCTGTCAATTTATGTAAAGGCATTAGAGTATTACATGTGCTTAACTCTTAGAAAGAGAAATAATCTCTTGCATTTAATTATTCAAGATTCAAATGTACTGATCTTATGTCTTAAATTCCTTATCCTGCACTTTTTAGTTATCCGTCTAATTTCTGTTAACCAGAAATGCTTTTGATGAAGAGAAAAGCAATTTTGTACTGCAAATTAAAATGAAACAATCACAAGAAAAAGCTTACCTTTTACATAATTCAGTGTTATCCAACTGAAAATTCCTGCAAAATTATTACATCTACGATTTATAATAGGTTGAAGCATTATAAAGCTCTTTACATCTGCATAATCTCTAATGTTCTTATTTCAAAAATAATTTTAATTATAATAATTAATTTATTGTATAAAATAATTCTGCCAAACTATGAAGAAACATATTGCAAAAACACACTTTTACAAAGCATCAAGCTAAATTGTACAAATGTATGAACACAAACCTTCATCTATTCCATCCATTATACTTATTTCACCTATAGGAAATGGGTACTCTTTAAACATCTGTGTTACCTAAAAATTTAAAATCTGCTTATTACTCTAAAATAAACATTACTTTTCGTTTCAATTTAGGGATTTTAAAACACATTTTAAAAACACTGCTTTCAAGTACCCCCCCCCCTCCCCTGGTAGTGATAAAATTATTATTACTATCATAGTACTGGTTTTCAAGCACTTTTTTTCATTTGTATAGCTAATGTTTGAATTAATTTTACCTCATTAAGAATGTTGTCAGCTGACCCTTCGGGCAATAGACGGAGTCCCGCAGTAGCTTTTAGAGTTATCGGTGTTGACCTTTGCTTAGCTTTTGGAATAAAAGCTAGTGCTTCAATTACCATTGGCCTTAATGACTCAGCTGCCTAAAATTAACAAAGCTCTCCAAGTTAAAATTTTTTATGATAACAAGCACAGAGAAACAAATGCACATGATGTACTTACGATAATTTTTAAAAAAATCTGTATCATCATTATAAAAGGAGAATTTTTTTTGCACAATTATATGCTGCTACTTTTTGTTTACTATTAAATGCATTATTTTATTCATTACAACTATTGGAATAGTGACAGTCTTTTTTTATTAAAAAAATTGTAATGACATTGTGGTGGTTGTCATCATATAAAACTTAATTTATAATAATTACAGGCTTCAGGTAAGTGCTTGGATTTGTTTTTAAGCTTCATTTAAATAGTGTTCTACATTGGAAAAGTTAAAAAAAAAAACTCACTAAACGAGGATCATTTGCATAAGCTGAGAGTCCCGGCTTGGTTGTCTTGAAAAGTTCCTTGTCTAATCTCAACAGACCACCTAGCAATATAAAAAGAAATACAACATATTTATAATCTGCAAATAATCACATTACATGTAACCACATTATCATAATTATTATGAAATATTTTAATGAATTATTTTTAAAAATTCAAATAATAAAAATATATATTTCTCATGACTCTCCTCATAATTTTTTTTTCTACAGTCTGCTAAACATACACTTGTAGCCTACCTCCAATCCTTCACACCCCTTGTACCAGAGTTCACAAATATGTCCCCATGATCAAGTGTTCAGAATATTTAATTAATTTGTTGAAAATTCTAATATAAATACATGTAGATAGGGCTGTCAATCTCTCTGATTTGGGTCCTATAAACGGACATGTCCCAATTTCAAAATTCCCAAAATTTACTTATCTAGAAATTCACAATATCACAAACTGTATGCCAGTATACATTTTCAGTAAAAAAAATAAATGTGTAGTTGAAATTATTGTGTTGTTTTTTTTCTTTACATTAGAACAATCAATAATTCATCTTTTATTTGTTTTTTAACATCATTATTAGAGTAAAATTTCCCAATCTGACTCAAAACATTGATATTTTTCCCAATCTAAAGGGACTCAGACCCTGTACCAAAAAAGGACTGAGAGCCCTGGTAGATGTACAGTGTATTACCTTTTGTAATTTCGAATTTGAATACATGAACTCTTGATCCAGTGCTTCCTGCATCAAACACAATAGCATATATATCCTTATCATTGTTGACACTATACTCTGGAGTGACCTGTGCAAATCCATTATTTCCCTTCAACTGTTCATGTGGCACATTCAATGTTGCCTCTCCATTAAATACATATGGATTTTTCTTGTCCTTAAAAATGGAAGTCCTGATGAATTTGTGTTTAAAATCATCATATCCAGTAACCACAAGAATTAGAGCAACCACTAACACAACTGCTAGAAATCCACTGATTCTTCCACGGAGCTGATACATGCTGTAGCGTGGGGCTGTATTGAACATCTTTCTGCATCATTGCTTTTAATTCCTACATGTTTGAAAATATCTGAAATATAAATATATATCTTGAAAGGTTCTATGATTTATGGTTCCAGATGACCTTTTTTGGAATTTCAATGTCGCAGTTTTTGCCAATATTTTACTTAATGAATACAGGGTTATTTTCACCCCGTGTTATTTTCGCCCTTTTGCACTTGCAATCAATTTTGCCCCATTTTAAATTCACCCAGTCAAAGTTCTGTTTAAGAAATTGTGTTGTGTTCTTTGAATTCAATCAATCTTAAAGAGAGCGAAAGGGGCAAAAATGAAACGGGGGCGAAAATTTCCCTGTATACAGTATATAACTAAAAAGGGACATAACTTAGTATATAATTGGGCTTGCTGTTTTTTACTTTTACAACAATGGTTCGAAAATAATTAAAAGTATTTCAAGAACAGTTATCATTCAGGATTTGAAATTAACAGTCGCCCACTCACAATTTGCGATCAATATTCCTTGTGGGCGACTTAAAATTACATTCAAGTAGCCCACATGGCGATTAGAAAATTTACGATAATAATTTTTTTTTTCAATTTTGTCCGAATGTTCCGTATTTTTCTCTTTAAAAATTTCATAATCAGTCAAGTGCTTTATATTTACCAGTGAGAAGTACTTACACATAAAGCGTTCGAGTGATTGTGACGGACACAATGGGGCATCGACGCATCAATAAGCCCAACAAACCAAAAAGTATCTTTGTTGTATCTGTGAAAATACCTGCCATGTGAATCTATGATGTTTAATAACCATGTCAATCTTTTTAAACAAAAGCAGTGGTGTAGCTAGCGAATTACTAACTGTATTCAGAAAGGCAAGGGGTCTGGGGGCCGCCTTTAGGCCCCCAGCGGGTCCAGGGCAGGGCCCTGGTGGGGGCCCAGGGGGCGAAGCCCTCGGAAGCTCATGCATTTTAAGGGTTTTATACATTAGAAAACAACCTTAAAATAGTTCAATTTTTACAATTGTAGTTCTAATATACTAAATATTAACAAAAACTTGCCGAGTTTTGACAATACATACAACTCCCCAAATTTCCTTTTTCTAAAAGCATTTCTTGTTTTCATGAAATAAGTCAATAAATTTTCAACAGTGAAAATCTTGTAATATGTGTGGGGCTCCGAACTCACAAAACGTTGACTTTTTAAGGATGCTATAACTCATATTTTCCCAATAATTTTTCACAAGAACATTTCGCTTTTTCGTAAAGTTGGCTAATTTTTCAAACTTTTTTCTCCTTATTTTTAGCAATTTTTTAATTATATTACAAAAAAAAAACTATTTTGAAATTTACTGACGAAAAAGAATTTATTATGGACTTCAGGGAAACCTTGGAAAATTTTTGACAAAAAATTCAATGTTGTAGTAGTTGCTATAAAATTTATTCCTGTTTCCCTGTTTTTTTTTTAATGATAAACGTGAAATGAATTCTATATACAGGTATATCAACACAAAAAACTTGAATATTCTCAATTTGTTACATGGTACAAATCAATGGTTTTCATATAACATGTAAAGTACATATACAACGCAGGTACCTTTGGTTTAAAGAGATTATTAGGGGAATTAGTAAATAACATACATGTAGTTTGGATTATTATTTGCTTTTGCTTGAATTGACACAATTATGAAATTCGTCCTCGAAATTCTTAAAAAAAAAAAAAAATTATATATATATATACTCTGTATCAAAGATCTTAGATAGAAGCTGAATATATTCTTTTAATCTATTTAGCAGGTAATATTGGATTAAAAATATCTTTTGATATAACTTATTTTACTTTAATCTTTTTATTGAACTTACGACAACTTTTTCTTTATTTTTATTTTTTTTGGTGAAAAATCTGTGTATTCATTTGCGTTTTTGCGTAAAGGGCGCTACGCCACTGAAAAGAGTTCAAACTTCAAATTTAGATAAGTCATGCATAATGTTTCTACAGATAGAAAAGAAAGACGAAGCATATGATAAAAAAAAAATAACGAAAAATGGGGTTGTTGTATTTTTATTCAATAGAAGCTAGGCGTCATAATTTGTGGGCAAAAAAATTTTGATGTGGGCCCCAGAATTGCAAGGTTTAGTAGCCCACATGGCGATCAAGGATTAAAAGTTAGTTTAAAACCCTGTCATTGGTTAGGCAAAGGAATGCACATGATGTAAAAAAAAAAAAAAATACATCCTTGGCAACAAAAAAGACTAAGTGTTACTGTAATTACAGTTTTTTTTTCTATGGGTGGATTTGCAGCTAAAATGTCTGTCTTAATTTTATTTACCAGAAAGCTACAGTTTAATTTGAACATTCTACCATTAAAAAGATCGGATATTTTAAATTTTTTTTTTTATAGCGAGCGCAGCGAGCGTCAAGAAGCGACGCTCGCAAAGCGAGCTCAATAGACTAACGTGTATGAACAGAGGAAATTCGGATTGAAATCTGTACATACGTCAGCCAAATTTCTCTGTGCAACATTCCCAGAATTCCTGCACTACCCAATGTCCTTTGCGCGAATAAATCAAAAATAGTAAAAAAATTAAAGGGACATTGTTTCTTACCGAAATCTTAACGAAATGATTTTGCCTTTAAAATACCTTATTCAAAAAAATACCACCATGCCACAACACCGGCCTTCACCTTGCCCTTCGGAAATGATACAAATGACGTCACCGTAAACTTACGAATTTTGACGAAGTTATGTCGGTTGCTTCCGTGAAACTCGGAAAACATGTTGCGGTGCATAGCAACATGGTGGCTAAAACATAGCAACAACTTACTTGAAAAGAACGATTTAATGCAATCTCTTTTCCATAAAACTAGCGTTTGCGTCCTAAGTCAACAGAACTTTTTATCTGACGTCATACATTCGTCACTTCAAAGGTTCGGGTATATCCGATCATAGACCTAAAACGAAGGGACTGCCGACTTATGACGTCACAATCATTATCTTCATGCGCTTGCAGCGCCCTCACCGGGATGTATAGAAACAGACTTCCTGTAATGAATTCAATGTTGTCGCATCATGATTTTTTGCATTCTTTAAGGAAATAACAACAAATTAGAAAAATCAATCACTTATCTAAGCCTTCTATGACGAAATGATATCGACTGACTACTTCGGAACTTATAACTTTACGCTGTGGAGTCGATGGAAACGTTTTAACTGCAGACATCAGCTGACTACGACGTGACACCTCTTGAATGCTGTCGATTATATTTCACGGTAGTACATAATTTATTTTCTTATTTAATTTACAAAATAAGGAAACAATTTTCTACCAATATTTTTAAAACAACGACCAATTTCACATCTATGCTGAATTGATATAAACTGATAAAATAATAAATGCATCGTGAAGTGCCAATAAATTGAGATGTTCCCGTTGGCCGTTAATGATCTACATAATTATGTATTTTTAAATAGTTGGTTCTAACTCTTAAAAGAAATATTTTATCGTGTTAAATCAGGATTACAGCATTGTCAGTGATCAAAAGATTTTCTAAGAGATTTTTTTTTTATTTTTTCCCCACAGGATTTGTACATAGCCTGTCCACTTTTCAAATGAAAATAGGGGTCTGCCTTGAACACCAAACTCTATGGAAAATGTTTGAGAACATGTACCATGCCATGTACCATCTCACTCTGGTATAATAAGTCAAATGTGAAAGAACAATGACTGGTTACAAACCTGCACAGGATTAAATCAACAAAAGTGCCAAGTGGTGTGTCCCATGTATGCACGAATGAGTCGCACATAACTGGATTTCAATGATTTAATTATCATGTTTAGAACTCCAATTTTTTCAACTATACCGTGTATATCCAGAATGTGATTATTTAAATATTAACCTTTGTAAGTCATAACTCAAAGACAAACTGCATCAATATAAATATTAAATATTAAATACACTGTAACTTAATATGACTGTAATGAAATACTTGTATTATTAAAATCATTGTTATATTTTAGACTTTTCCACTTTCTTATTTATTGAAAAGGTTATTCAACTTAAAGCAGTAAAAAGCACTGATAATTAACATTAATTTTGCATGGTTTAAAATTGTATATGAGAGTTACTTTTTGAAATTTTTTACATTTAAAAAGCGTTTCTATAGTGAGTTTGTATAAGTGAGCACTGCTTTAGATGTACATGTATGGCACATTTAATGTCTTTTTAAAATAATTATTTTCAATGTAATGAATCATAACTGCAAACTACAAAATAATAATCCCTGAGCATCATATTCAATCTTATCAGTAGCCTTGAAACAAACGCTGCCATGTATACAAGTTCTACTGCCACTATGATTAAACTGTTTGATCTTTAACCCACTGCCTAAATAGAAGTTTTAATAACTTATTAACTTACTTTTCAAAACACACAGGCACTTGTAAATCTTTTTTTGTTGTTGTCTTTTTATGAAATTATACTCCCTATACCTTGTTATGTAGTCAATGAAAATGTTCTTTTTTTATTAAAAGAATCATATTTAAATGGGATCAATTTTTCTTTCTTCTTTTTTTAACGATGCATATTAAGTTTGTGCGCATAAATATTGTACCTTTTAGCCCTATGCTAAATTTCAAACCCATAAAAAGTTTGACAAGCAAAAAAAGAAAAATGGGGTTGTTGTGTTTTTAGTACCAAATTTTTATCAAGGCTACCACTTTGGCACTTATCCATTTGTTGGTTTAAACTATATATAACGTGCCTGTCGAAATTGGGGAGGGGGGGGGGGGCTAAACACGCCCCAATGATCAATGCCTACATCATATCTTTGCAAAAAAATGAAAGGGGGGATATAGGCTTATCAAAGAATACTCGTATTGATTATATATGTCTACCTCCTTACTCGTGTTACCGTACCATAGTCATGATTGCCACAAAGTTAGCTTAAAATCACTGCTATTAATCATAAGATCTTTACTCTTTAAAAAATCCACGTTTAATAGGCATCTGTTTCTTATATATGAACTTTTTTTCATCGCACATCTTGAACAACCTGCATGCATTTTAACAGCTTCTCTGTGATCATGGTAAATCATCTGTCATGTTAAATACTCAAATATTGTATAGCTTTTTTAACATTAAAAACAAGATAAATACCTCAAAAGTGTTACTGTATAAATTACATTAGTTTTTCATTAATTGCTATAATATGGATGTAAATAACGTTATCTTTTGTAATGCCGGATGTTTCTTGCCATCGGAATTTTATTTACCAGAAAGCTACAGTTTAATTAGAACGTTCTACCATTAAAAAGATCGGATATTTTTATTTTTTTTTTTATATATATTATATAGGCTATATTTTTTTAATATGAGGGCAGGATCACCCGAGTCGAATTTACCAATATTTCTGATTCACTCAATAATTTACCTACGTTCTTTTGTCTAGATTTCGATAAAAGCACAGGATATGGTCGTCTAGAGGCCAGTATAAGTGGTCATCAAGTTCTGACTGACGTGTAACTCTATTTTTACAACCGCCGTGCTTGTTTACTATTGACCGGAAGTAAAGAATGTCCATGACCTTTGAAGAAGAAATGAATAAATATATTTTATTACCTAAATTTTTAAATTATTTACATATATAAACATTGCAAAAATTTCTCAATACTTAAAAAATAAAGGGTAAAAAGAATTGTGCCTAATATTTTCAAAAAATAATTTTCCTCGAGGCTGATGTAACCATAACATCGGGAAAACAATATGGCCGCCTAGGTCGACTACGAGAGATTTTTGAAAAAGTGTTTATGGTTTAGGCTTCTTTAATTTGCTGCAAAATGCCGAAGAAAGGCAAGAAGGGGAAGGGAAAAGGAAAGAAAGGGTGCGCAATTTGTTGCATAAATCAGTTTTAGTTCTTCAACAAAGATTTTCAAACACATTTTATTGCAATTTCATACATAAGATTTATTTGTTTTGATATGAATCGTTAATCATTCATACAAAAATCAGTTATCCCAGTCTTTTAATCTTCACTGAAATCATATATATATTATCAGATATATTGGGAAATGAACTTGCTAAATGAATAAATTTATTGAAAATATCAGATGTAACAACATGCAACGATGTTTGTAGTTAACCCTGTTGTACATATTTGTTGATCTCTTTTTTAATTTGTTAAATTCTCACATTTCTAGAAATGGGTAAGTTTTTTTTAATACCCTTCACAAGTATGATGTTTTACTTCAGTGTGTATGCTTTAATTCAATGATGTTATAGGGAGCTGGATTGCGTTATCTGAAATGAATGGCCGGGGCTTTTGTGTTGATCACACATCATACATTGCTAACAGATTTGGATACAGCATAGAGAAACATTTTCACAAAGAAAAAAAAATAATATCAATTTTATTTAAGGATAGAATTTAATTGTCAGACATTTATAATTAATCATGTTGACATATAGAAATATATAATGATGCTATTTAAGTAAATGTATTAACCAGAGGGAAAGGAAAATTTGCATGTTCATATTCAGCAAGATGTTTTTTTTCTGTTTGCAGCTGATTTGAAAAATAACTTGAGTGTATTGTGCACTAGCTACACACCCCTTTCCCCTGTGGATGTGTCACAGTGTGACATTACAAATTTAAAAATTGAAATAAGATCATGCATTTTTTTTTTCAATCAGTGTCATAAAATGTCATTTTTTTATTGGTCATTTTAAAATTAAGGTATTTGTTGATGTAAAAAAAAAAAAGGAAAGTTAAAGTTCAGATCATTGCATTTCTGCACTGTTGTTGGATTATTAATGGAAATTGAAATGTCTTTATTAAAGTTACTGGGTCTACCAAAATCACAAGTCCTTACATAAATTTTTCTAAATGATTTATATCAAATAATGTCCATTAAGCTACCCACGTTTATACACTAGCTATTATTAGATAGTAAATAATGTGCAATGCAATCATGAATAAAAATGAGCCTGCTTTAGAAAATTATTTGCTGCATTTTGCATTTGAGCAATTTGTATTTTGTAACAGGAAAAAGGGAAAGAAAGGATCCAAGAAGAATGAGTCGGTTGCAAAGATTGCAGCAGCCAACTCCAAAGTTTGGGAGACTCGACTGGAGATTGCAGAGACTTCCAAACAGGAGTACAGGTAAACTGAAAAAAAATCATATATGATTGTTCATATTGCCATATATTATAGACTTTCATGCAGTTATGTAAATTGATTAATAATGTTCTTTGTTTGCAAAATTGTGTGTTTCGATTTTTGCAAGGTGGTCAAAGAAAACAAACTTGAGGGATGATAGTGTGAATGTTGATCCTAAACTTTCAGAAATTACATATACATACACTGATAAATGATTCACTGATTAAAGATTTTGCTTTGATTTAACAGAGAGCATGCCAATCAGCTGGTGAAAGAAAATGACCAGCTTCAGGATATGATCAGAATTACAGAAAAGGATACAATAGAATGTTTTACTTTGCTACAGAAAAAAGATGAAGAGAAGAAAAATGAGGTCATTGTCTTTTTTTGGAATTATATACAAAACAAAGCAGGGAGGAAAATCTAAAGATTTTTTTCCTGCAAGATTTGTTCATTTGATTAAATGAAAATTATAAGTCTTATCTGTACATCTAATGAAAATGAAGATTGAGAATATGGATTTTATGAAATGGATAGATCTTGTGCTAGACAGTGTGATAAAAACACTTTTTTTGTTAACAGAATGAAAGGCTAAAACAATCAATCCGAGAACTGAAAAAAGAACACAGAAAAGAAAAAGAAAATATTGTTGAAGACTTTAGTACACAAATTAATGAACTGGAAGAAAAAGTAGCGGAGAAAACCAGGGAGGTGGAGCTGATGCAGAGTGAACTTAAAGTGGTCAAGGAATTCAGGAGGAAGAGAGGTCAGATGCAGAAGGAGCTGGATGATGTAAGTCAGAGATGGAAGATTTTTCTGCTTTTAAAAAATAAATATATATCTGTACCAGTGTATTTTTTATGAATATTTAGTGTCCAGGGTTTTGAAATATTAAGAAGGAATAATATTTATGCTCTTGGACTGCAAATGTAATTTATTTTTTTTAATTTTTAGATAAAAGAAGCTATGTATAATGCTAATCGTGATCACAAGGGTACACTAACAAGAATGGAACAGAAGTTTTTTGAAGAAAAGGTAATACATGTACATGCATGTACTTACATTATCATATGTGCAAACTACCTGCATTCATGGCTTGTTTTGGAAAAGAATTAAACATATCATTCTGAAACTCCAGATGAATGTATTTATATGAAGAGTTATTGGCCTTTATCACATTTTCCATAATATGTGGTCTTATCATCATCCTTTTGTTATAATTATTCAGATGAGATTACAACAAGAAGCCAATCAGAAAATAGCAGAATTGGCAGAAAGAGCTCACACTGAAGCAATATCGTAAGTATTTCAAATAAGGTATCAGAATTCATAAAAATATTGGCTCATAGCACCCACCAGGAAATATAATTCTAAGAGAGGTGTATTGAATAAAAATTATATTTCTGTTGTATTTCTTTCTAAAACATTCCTTTTTGGAGGCTGAAACTTTGTTTTAATCGGTAGGATTGTGAAAAAAATATTAGATGAATGTTTATATGTATTCTTGTGATTCTTTCATACAGTCTTCATCTCATATCCTGAAAAGAATGCAATTTAAATTCTATTTAATGTAGAAACCTTGATGAAACCACAAAGTCTGTGTACAAAGAGAATGTACGTTTGTCAGAAGCCTTAAGCTATCATATGAAGGAAGGGGAGGTACTGAAGAAACTGAGGGACAAACTTCAGGAGGAAAATGAACAACTTCGGGGGGACAAAGAGCTAAATGATATGATGGTCCAGGAGAAGATTGTGCAGGTCAAACAACAGAAAGAACAGATCAGACAGGTGAGAAGTTATAGATGGAATCAAAGAAGTGGAAGGGGGGGGTTGATGGCAACTGTGGGTGTGTCATTGATGAGAACACATACAAAATTACAATTATTGGAATTGTTAGAAAACATTACAAAATTACATTTTCAACACATGCATTTGTTATTCCTAAGTTTTGAAAATATTAGTGTACAGCAAATAAAGTGCAATTATAATATTCTAAAAGTTTATAATAATTAACTTGTGCAAGACTTGTTTCTACCCATACAAAATTAAAATTATGTGAATTAATGCATTAATTAAATAATTTTATCACATCTCTTTAAAAGTTAACGGAGAAAACCCAAACTCTGGAGAAGTCTTTAAGCCACATGTCACGAGAATTTAACACAGAGAGGAAAACCATCATACAGCAAGCCCGGACTGAAAACGAGGCTGCCAAAATAGAGCTTGCTAAACTACAAAGAGTGATTGACCTTAAGACAAGGGAAATGAACAAGGTCAAGAGACTGGCCAAAAATATTTTGGATCAAAGAACAGAACTTGAGAGGTTCTTCCTAGAGTCACTGGAGCAAGTCCGAATGGAAATCGCTGCTAATCAGTATGTTTTATATTAAATATATTTACAAAAACTTACAAATCAGTTGAAATGAGGAGTTTTTATTTCTTTTTACAAAGCTGTATAAAAACTAATCAAGTAGCCAAATTTTATTAGCTTCACTGACCTTGACAACGGTAAAAATATGTGTTCCACAAGTTCTTTGTCGGCAAATAAAAAAATACAGCATGATACACCAGAAACTAGTAGCAATAGTTAGTATATGTATATAAAATATATTTGTTCACTTCTTACTGTATTTAAAAAAAATTCAAACTATGTACAATAAGCAATATTATTTTAATTCTAAGTTCAAATTTTATTGCTCACATTTGATGTTGCATGATTATTCACTGATCTATTTTGATTGTTGTTTTGGAGTCAACAAAATATTTAGGTAATTATTAAACAATACACAAAGTTGCTGAAATAAATCTCAATTCATGTGAACATGCAAATTCAAAATTTTTTTCAAATATTTTGGATGTAAGTCATGTTTTTGCACATTTGTCATGTATATTTTTTCTGTGTACATATATAAACACACTTTGAATATTTCAATTTTAATTACATTTTATTAATTAATAGGGCCAGCAGAGTTATACATGTATACTATAACTATGTGAATTTTCTGTTAAAATGTTCTCATTGCAGTGTCTACTCTATTTAAAATCCGAACTTCGATTTTTAGGTAGATTTCAAAATCATAATCTATAAATTTATCTCAAGCTTTAAAAATTCATAGTCCACTGATAATATGAAGAAATAATATAGAAGTCAGATACTGCTAGCATTTATATCTTCAAACGTGTACTTAAACTCAACAGTTCAAGTCCAAGAGTGATCGTTATAAAGAAGATTTTTCATTATTTTTCAGGGCTCAGTATCGTGTTGATGCTCAGGCAGCCTATCAGGAAAAAATGCTGAAGGCCTTCGCAGGAAAAGGAGAATACCCTAAAATCCGCACGTTTAACAAATCTGGCATAAGCACCAACAGTGTGTACAAAGATCTGGAGGCGGCAGAAAAAATGTATGTTATATTC